CCCCTTACTCTCCGGATCTGAATTTTTTTGAAACTGCATAGTGGGTATCGAAATTTAAGGTCATGGAGATGTTCTCGGAATTCATGAAATCTATATTAAAGGGGAGGCGGGTATACAGAAGCTAGAGGAGTGTTTATAAGTAATATAAGATGTATTGAGTTTAGAATGATTCGGGAGTTTAGTAAGGAGTTTGCTTTGAAGGATTTAAGTATATGTTAATATGAAAGAACGATGTATTAAGTATTAAACCTAATTTATATATATGAAAATTTGTTAAATATAAAAAGAAAAATTGATTTGAAGTTTAATACTTTACTTTCAGGCCACTTTTAGTTTAGGTTATCTTTTTATATTAGAAATATTAAAAAGTAATCTTTATAACTTTTTTATTTATAAGTATAATTTAATGAAATTGGAATTACAAGTTTATTATTTATATAATAATAAATTCTGAAAATTTCAGATTTTTCATGATTTTATTAATTGAGATCTTAAAAATTGAGATTTTGAATTTAATTTATATAAAATTTATATTCAAATTTGAAAATCATTAAAATTTAAAACAACTTTTCAATAAAAATTACCAGAGGCCTGCGCCCCCCGGACCCCTGGCTTTTCGAGAAAGTCTAGTAAAAATTTAAGTTTTAAAAAGTTTATAATAAATTTAAATATTAAATATATATTAAAGTACAGGCAGAATTTCAGCTTGTTTAGGATAATTAAAAATTAAATATTATTATTATAAATATTATTTTAAACATTATTATTATTATTATTATTATTATTATTATTATTATTATTATTATTATTATTATAAGTTGAGTGAGATGAATTAAATAAAATAAATTAAATGAATAAAGTTAAATAATTTTAATAAAATTAAAAAAAGTTTCAAGTCAGATTTGTTTAAGGTTGTCAGACTTATGTTAAGCTTTTTGTTAGATTATTTACTAGGATATTTTAGACCAATTAGATTATCAGGATCGTGACTCATTTAAGCGAATTTTTTATTTTCTATTATTTATATTGAGTAAATCTTATATATAAATTATTCTTTTAAAAAGAAAATGAACTCTGAATAACTTTCAGATTCATATTTATTTAATTAGAAAAGTTACAAATTATAAATATCTGATAGAGTACATAGTATAATCTAATTGTAGGTCCTGAGGGGTGTGAAAAATAACTATGATGATTATAGCGACCTCGATCTATAGTTATTTTTAGTCCCGAAAGGGCCCGAGTTAAAGCTCGTTGTTATAATACTATAACTTGACTTCTATTACAATTACTTTATAACTTCCCTCATGAATATTACCAATATTCATGCTTGTGCTACCCTCTCATTAAAACGGTCCGCTCTTATTGTAAAAGTGGTAGGTCGAGATACATACATCCCGATAGCACATTGTGAGAAGGGAATTGAAAGAGAAAGCTAAATTAGATTACATTGTAATATATCATTTATAAAGAAAACAGGGTTCATAATGGTTTTGGAATTGATATTATATAGATTCAAATGTATATATATAGAAAATTGATTATTCTTAAAAGAAGAGACAAAAGCTCTCCTTTTATATCTAATTACAAAAGATCATGTGATTGATTGGTTAAAAACCTTTATATATTTGGCCTATAATTCCAACTTTCTCACATTATTACTTCCTTTTTTTTCCACAACGGTTAAGAAACATCTTTGCCCCTTTCATCTTCATCCCTCATGCAGTAGATATCGTACCTACTTACTTACTCAGTAGTGCGAAATTCTACTTCATTTTACACTGTGTGTGATGCGGTGAACTCTTTCCATCATCATCATGATCATTTTTCCTCACTTGAGTTCCGTCGATGATAGAATACCTACCTTCCCAGTCAGTCAGGATGTGGAACAAATTTGCATGGTTTTATTGATGTGGGTTTCTGGTAGGTGTTCGTCAAGAAATGGCTTTTTGCCTTTCGGGCTGTGCCTTCTAGGTAAGATTGGGTGGGTGTGCACGTGATTTGGTTCTATTTTGGAATTTGCTCCTGTTTCTCTGTTACCACCCACCACGTTTGCTTGTTTATCCTCAAGATTCTGGCTGTTATTGTTTTGTATCTTTGAAAGAGTTGTTTGATATTTTTACTACTGTTTCTTGTATTGTTTTTCACTGTCAGGTAGTTTATCTGAGATGGTGGAAGATTCTAGATGTTGTTAAATGTTGTTGAATTGTTGTTAAATCGCATCAAAGCTTAACTTTAGTCCTTTTGGAATATTGGTGGCGTTTGTGTTCTCCTTATGACCATGACAAGTCTTAGGTGCTCTGCAAGTGACAATTTTAATTTTTCCCAAGATTATGTTGGACAAAGAGAATAGCTCCTTGCGAGGTTACTAGAACTGCCAGTGCCAAATAGTGTATCAGATTGGGGACATCCAAGCATTTCTGTGAAAGAGAGGAAAATACCTTCCTGTCCTCTGTGACTTTGAAATTATTTTGTCGCCAGAGATAATTTTGTTATGCAGCAGGCTAGCATCAATGAAGGCATTCCCGTTTCATAATTTTTGGAGATTTTGCGATTCCCATGAGACTTAATTTGATTGATAGTCAATGAGTTTATGTGAAATCGTTACATAATAAATTCGGCTTTGTTGAATGAAACAAATACACTGTTTTCTTTGTCCTTCCCTTCAGGCTTCTGTTTCGATCTCAAGCCTCCTTCCAGCTGCAGAGAGAACTCAAGGACCAGCTAAACAGTTGATACTGTATATTTCACATCCTTAAGCATTCGGAATCGTAGAATGGTATAAAGAAATTTCTACAGTCAGAGCGAGTTGATTCTTTACCAATCCAATTTCCTGGAGAATTTGGACGGTTGAATTCGGATTCCACTCCAGGCTCTTCCTCTCCTCTTCCTCTCCCCTTCCTCTCTCTCCCTCTCTCCCCCTCTCTCTCTCTATCTTTTTCTGTCTCTCTTTCTGTCTCTCTTCCTGTCTCTTTCTATGTCTCTTTCTATCTCTCCCTTCTCTCTTTTCAAAAACACCTATATATTCACCAACCGCTCCATCAAACTTTTTGAATTATCCTCCTACTTAGCACACAAAGAGCCTGCTCCAATAAATCTCTCAGTTCCTTTTTTACCAATTCAACTATAGCTAGCAAAGATGATGCCCGCACCTCATTGCAGAAAATGTGGTGCATTAACCACAGGGCCAAGATGCCAAGCTCGTGACAACGATGGCATTGTATGCAATGCCCATCAAAATCCTCCACGCAGGTATATAATGGATTGCAGCTATCTTATGAAAAAAAGTGTTGATGCTAATGAGAAACGATAGTCTTACCTGGTGGGAGCGCAGTAGTTCATATTCAACACCCCAGAGTTACTGATTTCCCATCATCAACACTACCCGGAGGCTCTCCATCGTTATTACGGCCCGAAGGCTCTCTATTGCCAATACGATCCAGAGGCTTTCCATCATCAACGCGGCCTGGAGCCACGGGCTAGTGAAGAGTTTGGGACAGTCATCGGATTAGAAGGAGGCTCTGAGTTACTGATTAACGAAGGGTCAGGCCTGTGCAACAGTATTTTCGAAGTGTAGAAGTTCTTGGAAATTGCAAAACCTCATAAGATGTATCAGCTGGGTTGTTTCCATCGCAAAAAAGAAAAAAAATGTTTTTCCATTTCAGTTTTACAGGATGATCAAGACTATACCTTTCGCATTTGTTTTCACTGCAGCATCGCCTCCTTCATTGCTGTTTACCTACCTACAATATTCCCTTATGTCTAGTTTAGTGCAATCAGCCATTTCCTATCATTTTATTCAACACAGGCATACTAGCCCGCCATTGAAAATGTCAGATATAGTGTTAGAACCTTAGAGAAATAGAAACAGACGCCTGCGGGCAGGCAGCTCTAAAATAGTCTCAGGCAATTTTACACTCCTCACCTCCTTAGAACTCCCTTTCTCAACCTCTTCCCCATTTTCTGATCTATTTCCTACTTTTGAATATTTGAAATATGTTATTCTCTTTTAATTCAAAAATGGAAGAGAGTATAATTAGAGTGATGGTTTTGAGGTGATAAATACGAAAAAAAAAACTCTCTTTTTGATATACTTAGTACTAATAAGAACTATCGTCATTTCATTTTCGATTTCTATTTTCATCCTTTTTTCCTATTTCTCTTCTTTCATTTCTGATATTAATTCAAGCATTTGCTTCTCATTCTTACACGAGTGAGAGAAGTAAAACACTCTCTCCCGCTCCTAATAATGACCACCACGGATCCCCTTTTATTCCGGAAGATGAGAGAGGAGAGCGAAGAAGTTGAACACTGCCCCAGGTGGCAGGTAAGCTAGCTAATCGCCCCGTCTGCATCACTTTAGCAACCCCTACCGTTTTAAAAGGAAATTTTATCCCGCTATCCAGTAAAGGAACTACAAAGAATACTTGATCAACTGTTGTTAGTTCACTCAGTACTGGCAAATTGAAGATCAAGATCGAGACTAAGTTCTTTCACAAGGAAATGAGTTATCTTTCAAGGATAAAAGTTTAAATGAAAGCAAAAGTTTGCATTCGGAGTTCTTCGTACTTGCTTCAGCCACGGGACTCTTTTCAATCTTTCACTATTGATATGCAACAACCGACCTGAACGGTGTGCTCCATTTCTTTATGTGTGGCTTTGTGCATGGCTTTGTACATTTTGGAAAGAATTTTATTGTCCATTGCTTATCCATTCAATCCCAACCCTTTGTATAGACTAGCCTTTATTAGTATTTCTTTAGAATACATTAGTTGATTGTGATATCGTCTGCCAAGTTCATTGACGACCACGACAATCCCACGTTCACGGCCTACTCAATACTCTAAGAGAACATTACATTTTTATCAGGCGCAATGTGTATAAATCAGACGTTCCGCGATTTCTACAATTCCTTACATTCACATTCCCAACTCAGCTTCATCACAACCCAACACACACACACATACAATTTTCCAGCAAACAGTGATTACTAATCGAAAATGGCACAAGAAGAAGGTCCGTGGTCAGAAAGCCAATGGTTTCCCGCGAACGAAAACATTCGCCGCGACTGGAATCAACCCAACGATTTCTACAGTGAAGAAGAAAATGATCGTAGATGGCGCATGCAAAATGGCACTTGGCCTTTGAATGAGAGTATCAAAGAGATAGATGGCGAATGCGACGCATGGTTAATCTGCAATCTCATCCTGCGGCGCACCGAAGGCCGATCTCCCTCTGCAGATTGGTACGATGAAAAGGACAATTCCAGCTATCACATCACGGATGCTCCTTTCCCACCACCCAAAGCTACTTATCAAGAACGCTCAACGAACTATTTTCGTGGTACTGAACAACCGTTGGTAGAACTCCTTGATGTACGCACCTGGATGCTCGACAACACGACCTGGTCAATTGGATACGGCGCTGTCCTGAAAATGGATTTCATTTTTAGTTTACAAGATTACACACCCCAACACGTAACTCTCAACGCTATAAAGAGCAAGCTTGATTCTCGCAGATTTAAAGTTCCAAATGTCATACGTCACGAAGTGCAGATGAAACGAAAGATCACATTTGAAACACAAATTTTTGGATTAAATTTGGGACAAGCTTGGTTATTTCTATCGAGTGAAAATAAGGAGCGTTACATAGCTGCTGTCGCGGATTTTTGCTTTGAGCTGTCCAAATTCAAGGGTGATAAGATTGGCAGTGTTGAGGGAAAAGCCATACAGGATCTCGCTATACCGGCGGATGGCTTCGAGCCGCCGAATTACCAAAAATCATATTCCCCGGAAATCATACACAAAGGCTGGGCAACCAAGGGTTTAGAATCTGCTCTCTCTGAATTCTGTTTCTCGCACAATCATTGTACCCCGGATAATATCATTCTGGTAGATGGTCTTCCGGTAGATGGTATTCCGGCAGGAGGAGATTCCCTCCCAGCGATTGGTATTGTAGACTGGTCGGCTGCAGGATTTGTGCCGAAGGCCTGGGCTCGCACGAGGTTTGCTGTGGATATGGATTGTGATTTGCCGATCTACCACAGGTTGAGGAAGGGTAAGCCTTCAGGAATTCCAGTGACCGACGCTCATAGCTTTAGATGGGGTGTCTGGAAGCTCTTGGGGAATGACCCATATAATATGCCCGAGGTGAACGATCTGTGGTGGAAGGCTCATCCTGAGTTCGCTGCGTTGGTGGGACCGGAGTTTATTCAAGGAAGGATGTCTGCACCCCTGTCAATGGATTGTAATCCTGATGATTTTGACACATTATAACTGGTGACTTCAGGTACAGAGATCTTGATTTGTACTGCACTCCGCGTTTCAAAAGGTAAATTGCCGGTCAATTGACCTTGTTGAATTTTCGTTCAATGACTCCGATTACTTCATTTGTTAAATGTAAGTACCCTTTTCTTCAAGCGAAGTACTCCTTTCTTCAGGTACGCATAGTATACTACACTACACTCCACTACTCTGAAACGGTCAATTGCTGGTCAATTGCTTTCTTGAATTTTCCGTTCAATGATTCCGATTATTTCATTTGTTGTGTGTAACTCGTTTTCTTATCTCCCTTTCTTCAAGTATACATAGTATACATAGTATACATTACAAAATATTAAATTTCTTAGTTTAAACAATTATGCATGAAACAAGCCTTTGTAAAGTGACCTCTTAGCAACAATCGTGAACATACTACCCATGCAATCTAATTGCGAAAGAAGAAGACTAACGACGTCAAGCCTCAAGGCAGGACTTGTGAATTTTGAGCGTTTATTATATACATTCTAGGTTCTTTGTAGACAGTGAATACCAATGAAGAATTACAAGTTACAAGGTTGTAAGCCAACTAATAAAAAAGGATGTGATGCATTGACTTAGATATATTTTAATGAATATTTAGATAATAAAATCTATATAAAGATTAATTATAATAAAAAAATAGATTATTATATTATAAGATTATATAAACTTCATCGTGAATTTATATCTAATAATTATTTATATAAACGAGTAATCTCACTTAAGAAAATAAGACTAGAATTAAATAATAACTTAAAGGCTTCATTATTAAAATCTTTATTTTATTAAATTAAAAAATATTTCAATTACAAAGTAATATATATATATATATATATAAATAATATAATTAATTATAAACAACTTTATAATTATATATTAAATAATAAAATATAATAAATAAAAAATAAATTTTCTTATAATTATTAAATGTAATAAAGATACTCGATAATACTATCAAGACTAATAATATAATAGAATTATCACAGATAGTATAATCACAAAGTATATAAAAAATCTTAAAGTGGATGATACGTAAGAGTATATAGAGTTATATTGAAGTGAATAGACTTGTCCTTGATCTTATTGATTAAGAGCTTCATATATATAAGATCTAATCGGTTATCTAACCGACGATTGTTACAGACCTTGTATAAGGACGATCATGTGATTCCAATTCCTTCCAACTGCTATGGGTGAGTTGGTAGTCTGTGTATATCTTGCTAGATTTACTCTTTTGAGTATGGGATTATAGTCACCCTAAGTTAGGTTGTATACAACTATATAGCTACCATATAAGTATTTTGTATATACATATATAGATGCTCTTTACGAGCTATAGTTCTTCAATTGTAGATTCTAAGGAATATAATTGACCCTGCTTATTCAGCTCTTATGGGGCTCTTGTACGTCATAACGATCATCCTGATAAGAAAATTGGCTAGATAGATAGAGTTTTGTAAAGAGCGATAAGATCAATATGATTATATGATATCGATTAGATATAAGGAAAAACATGAGCGAGTGAGTACTATAATGTTAGAGATTACGTGAGATCACATGAGAGCATGTGATTTCCGTGACAAGAATATTAAAGAAAAAAACTTAACTATTTACTCATATATTAAATAAAGTTTGCAGGTGGTTTAGAAAATACTGGATTTAATATATCTACTCGTGTCGTACTTTACAAAGAATGTTTGATCCTTACCGAGAAAGCCAAGTAGGGGGACAGCATGGTGCTTACAGATCAAATTATCTAGGGTAATAGATAGCCGTTGAGAAAAAATCAGATTCGATTTTAGATTATGGTATGCATTGCACTGGTAAGCAAATGGCGAATGCTAACAGGAATTTTTTTAGAAGCGGATATTTTTTCCACTGATTTTCGAACCACGTTGAAGGAATCCGCTTCATTGAGTCCTTGATGGTGAGTTGACTACTAGAAGCTTGTTGATTACTTCTTTTCTCCTATTTTCTGCCGCTTTTGTGTGTTATTCTAGAGGAGTGCTAGTGTACTTTAGTTTCAGACCAAAAGTGGCGATGACGATACATATTCCTCATGCTGTTGTCTACCGCCAAACGTGGCCTTTGAAGACACAACACATCCCTTTACTTGAGCACAGCTACTTCATTTCATATTCTCTCTTCCAGGCGACTTTTGACAAGAAATGTTTCAACGCAATGCCCAGGAAATTCCGCCTGTTGATTCTCATCATTTTGTTGCGGCACAAAGATTGTTCTGTTGAGTCTTGTATCGTGTCATTTATGCTCTAGATTCAACGCCTTTAATTATTTCCTCTGCTGATTTTCACTGAACTTATTTCATTCAGATGAAATAAAAAGCAATTGAGGATGAGTACCTATCTCAAACATAGCGTATTTCCAGCGTTATTGTATGGCTTGTTCTACAGGACAATGCCATGCCCTTAGACGAGGCTTCTCCTATGAACACACGATAGTATTTCGACGTGATCTTAATTGAGCCTCAAGAAAGACTCTATTACATGCATATGGCGAAATCTGCTATTTGGTTGCAACTTGCGTTGAACCCATCGGCAACCAATGTGGCGTGTTGCTTTCCGAAAATTACTTCCAATCTCGTCCAGATTGATACCATAAACTGGATTACTGTATGAGAGAAGATAGCATTGGGATTAAAACTTACTGTCCACACACGGGAATTTAGAACCACTCTTCAATGGGTACAAGCATGTCAATTGATACTTTTGGATCCTATCGCTGGTCCCAACGCCATGCAGATATTTAACCATCTTACTCAAACGAACCAATTCAGGACAGATTTCACCTACCCATACTGCAATAAAGACGTCTGTGACGCAAATACGGTGGCCTTGAAATGGTCTAGGGCGACGATACTTTGGCGCTTATTAGCAAAGTCATGTTTACCCAGACATACGACTGGGCCGACTCGTCCACAGTTTTCCGACCTACTGCGACGCAGATATTATCATCGGATATCCCATGAGCTCATTGGCCTCACGAACAGTTAAAGAATCATCTAGGGGTGATGTTAGCGATGAGAAAAACAATTAAGAGTCTCCCTACTCCCTGTATCAAATTTTTAATCTTCCGCTTCCCACCTTCTGGCTTCCCACCTTCCGCTGTCTATCCCCGTTTCCCCATCTTCGGTGCTCGGCACATGTGGCATTCATTAGCACACGCACACGCACGCACGCACGCACACGCGCACTCACATACTCGATTGATGATGAAATAGTCTTCCATGAAAAAGCCGAGCCCAAAGCAAAGCTCACCGCCATATAAATATGCACAACAGTCGATTGACTCATTGCGAGATACCGGTATCCGACCAGCGAGTGAGAGTGGGGACGGAGGAGAAATGGATCACCGATGATTGTATCGATTGATTGGCTGTAGATAATCGGGCTGTACTTTCCCAAATGAAATTAGCAAGGGTAATGAATGTTCTCGGATCCTATTTCCTAAATCTTGTTGGCCCTGAAAAAGGTTAAATATTTGGCCGACTCACTGGTAGGGGTAGGTGTTGAAACACAATCGCAGATAGAATTTGCCCCTCATTGATAATGATAATTAATCATTTGTCGTTTCTATCCATTTTTGATTGATTGAGATTGTTTCTTTTCCGTTTGGATCCACTTACCTACCTAGGTATGAGTGAGCACAACATAAATCTTAGTCAAACCTCCATGGTATATATATATATGTACCCGTGTTCGAGGAGGTTGTGGTTGTATGAATTAATGCAGACTATGCCATTGCATTAGCATTATGATTCACAATATCACATCACATGATCCAATCATATCTCAATCATTCAACATAAACGTCAAGCCTTCTTATCCTCTTATGTAACTTCAATGTACATCGAGGCTCGTGCATACAAAGTACCGTGGCACAAATTGAGGATCTCCCTTTCGTGCCTTTCAATCCCTGCAAGTCCCCGCTTTTATTTACCGTTTCATGTCACGATAAGTCGGATAAGAATCAAAGATCAGTGAAAAGGCTCCATCCAACACACACGACACATTATGGAGGTAAATAAATAATAAATAATAAATAACAAATATAATAATATGCATTGACCCTACCCCACTCATTGCAGAAGAGGTGACCAGCAAGAAAAAGACAACAAAACTGCCACAATTTCCTCTCTGACTCCCTTTCTCCAACTCTTCCTCTCCCTTTTCTCTCCTCTTCTTTTTTCCTTCCCTTTCTTCTTTCATAAATCTCCCCTCTTTAAAAATACCATCCGCGTATCTCCCAACAATGGCTTCTCTAAGAGCTGCCGCGCAATTGCGTCCAATGGCTTCAAGAATCCTTTCACGAACAGGACGAACATACGCCACGACAAGCGCCAAACCATTTCAAATCGCCGGTGAACCAGAGGCTCCAGTTGTCAAGACCGCCATCCCAGGTCCAGAATCCCAAAAGGCAATTGCAGAATTGGATAAAGTCTTTGATACCCGGAGTGTAAACATGCTTGCCGATTATCAAAAGAGTGTGGGTAACTACATTGCGGATCCAGATGGAAATGTGTTGTTGGATGTGTATGTTCGCATTTACTTTATTATTGAACGCATCACAGGACACTGACGAGAATGATAGTTATGCACAAATTGCATCAATCCCGCTTGGTTACAATAATCCTCAGCTTCTCAAAGCCGCACAGACCGAACAAATGGCATCTGCCATCATAAACCGCCCCGCTCTCGGAAACTTCCCTTCGCACGATTGGGCCGAGATTATTAAGACGGGTGTTCTGAAGGTAGCACCAAAGGGTCTTGATCAGGTGTTCACTGCCATGGCAGGTTCAGATGCCAATGAGACTGCATACAAGGCTGCATTTATGTATCGTCGGCAACAAGAGCGTGGGGGTGCACATGTGGAATTCTCCGATGCAGATATTGCTTCATCTATGCTTAATCAAGCACCAGGCGCTCCTCAGTTATCTATCCTGTCTTTCAAGAGTGCTTTCCATGGACGTCTCTTCGGTTCCCTTTCTACCACTCGCAGTAAGCCAATTCACAAACTCGATATTCCTGCTTTCGACTGGCCACAAGCTACTTTCCCAATTCTCAAATACCCACTTGAGGATCACGTCGAGGAGAACAAGAAGATTGAAGAGGAGGCTCTTGCCGATGTTGAACGTATCATCACTACCCATCACCTCCCACCTTGTGCCGTCGTAGTTGAACCCATCCAATCAGAGGGAGGAGACAATCACGCATCTCCAGCCTTCTTCCGCGGTCTCAGAGCCCTCACTAAGAAACACAACGTCCTCCTGATCGTCGATGAAGTTCAAACCGGTGTAGGTGCTACCGGTAAGTTCTGGGCTCACGACCATTGGAACCTTGACACCCCTCCCGATATCGTCACCTTCTCCAAGAAAGCCCAAACAGCTGGTTACTACTATGGCAACCCCGAGCTCCGCCCTAACAAACCATACCGTCAATTTAACACCTGGATGGGAGATCCAGCCCGTGCCCTCCTCTTCCGTGCTATCATCGAGGAAATAGAGCGTTTGGATTTGGTTAACCACACCGCCAGGGTCGGAGACTATCTCTTTAAAGAACTTGAAAACCTCGCCAAGAAATATCCAGGGGATATCCAAAACTTAAGAGGTAAAGGACAAGGAACTTTCCTCGCCTTTGACAGCAACCGCAGAGATGAAGTAGTCAAGAAGGCTAAGGGTGTTGGCATCAACATTGGTGGTTCTGGCGAGCGAGCCATTCGTCTCAGACCTATGTTGATTTTCCGAGAAGATCACGCCAACATTTTGTTGGAGCGCCTCGAGAAGATTTTCAAATCCTAGTTTTTCCCTAGGTACCGCTGCTTCACTTCCTCTTCTTGAAGTGGAGTTTTAAAGCGACAAAAGGAGATTTGCTTTCTCACACACCAAATCTTTTTGGGGCTTCAGTATTTTTGATTTTTGATTTTTGATTTTTTGATTTTTTTTGAAACGTTTTTTTGACATTGGTTTTTGCATTTGGATACGGAAATGAAAATGTAATTTAGCCTGGGTAAATGTGCTTGGAGTTTTCAGGTTGGATCACCACTTGCGTTAATCGCGCGGTGAAGATGAGATGAAATGAGCACGCAGGTTTGCATTGCATATGCATTTTTGGAATATGAAATATGGGAGATGAAATCTAGGACATCTGAGGAGATAAACATGAGAGATATTAGTATGAGGATGAATATCAGAGATATGACGGGAGCAAAATTTTGCTCACGTTCAAAGAATTTTGGATTGTTTGAATGTCAATGTGGATGTGAATATAGAAATCAAATCGAGTGAATATTCTTTGAAGAAAAATGTGATGTTAAATGATAGAAAATTTTGTATAGGATGATGAATTGAATGATAATTAAGTAGCCTAGATAGTATAATATAACATAATATACTTTTAAATATTATTCATTCATCAATTATCTTATACTATCTACCTAAATAAATAAATAAATAAGTTTTTATAATTATACAATCAATCAATCAATCATACATATATGTATATCAGATATCATCCAAACGCATTTATTCCCTATTCTTTATTCTCTCTTCTCTCTTCTCTCTTTTCTCTCCTTCATTATACGCATGGCCTGTTTTCCAAATGCTAGGTACCCATTTTCACTTGCCCTATTTATTCGATTCATATCCTATCCTATCCTATTCAATGATCCATCTATCCATACACATCCACCCAATATTCGTCCAAATTCCTTATATCGAATGCAAACCATGCATTTCATAACCTCCTATCACGTAAAGAAATGGATTCACTAATTGTAAAGACTAAACCCAAGATATAGCTCAGGCTACCTAGATATATCGATCGTTGCTGCTACCGGAGTAGAAAGTAGTAGATATCAAGCCAGCCGGAACTTAAAGAAAAAAAAAAAAAAAAAGAGAGTAATCAAGGCTGCCGCTCCGAATATCGTTATAAACATGGTATCGTAACGTAGCATGAAAGAAGAAAGGGAAATTGTACAGTGGGATAATGGTATGAGTGGCATTGAATTTTTTCGTAAGGCATCGAACAATGTGAGATGTGGAAGAATTTATGACCTCGTCAAAGGGCATATACTCTATAAGTGGCCGTTCCTTTAAATTGTGAAATCGGAAAATTATGTCGTGATCTGTCGAATGAAAACAGTCGAAAACGGCAGGTTTGAATTAAAACATCTTGCGATTATGGTTGGCGTGGAATTTCATGTTGTAAAGTGAAGTAAAACGTAGACATTTGGAAAGCTTCGAAGATTCTTCAAAATGAGCAAAGATGCGTGCCGGTGACCAAGTTACAGCTCAGATCTTTTATCGTCCTTTTGGTCCATTGACTTGCGCTCCATAGCTGCGCCTTTATATTGCATCTCCTGCTGTTCTTTATCGCGCGCATCACCGCGAATATACATTTGACGCTTTTCAGTGTTGCCCTGAACATCAAATTGCATCCCTTGGGCTTGATTACCTCTGTGAATTTGACCTTCACGAGACCCAGGCTGAAACTGAGCTCTCATTGCTCGATCGAAAGTCTGCTGAGTACCGAATCGCTGGAGGGGCTGTACTTGTCGGGAAAATTGAGCAGCAAGGATGGGGAAGCTGCCTTCACCTGTTCTTGGGACCTATGCGGAAGTTAGCATTTAATAGCTTATGAATATCACCATTACCGTACATTTGATGACCTGGAAGTTGGTCGGCCACGCTTCTTTCTGCCCGAGTCTGTTTGATCGCCAAAGGAAATAATTGAACTTGGCTCAGACTCTTGAGCCAAAGTGACAGGTGCAGCAGACAAAATGTTTTCTAAGCTGATATCTCCACCACTGACAATGGGGGAGTTGATGGAACTTTTAGGTGTTTCGAGTGAACCTAAAATCTCCCCACGCGCGATTTCTTCAGCCTGTCGAAGCTTAAGATCTTTCTTGGAAGGTCTACCACGCTTTTTGGGTCCTTGACCTACGAATGGCGAGGCAAAAGAGATTGGCGAGCCATTCGCTACTGGCTTGGGTTGAATGTTGCGCTGAGCAGAAACGACATCTAAACCTGGGGTTCTGCGCTTTCGAGAAGAATCGACACCCGTCAATTCAAGATCGGAAACAGACTTGCGTTTGTTCTGTAGGCCAGGAGAGCCACCCGAAAAGAACTGAGGGGGAGGTAATTGCGGTGTCAAATTATTTGAATTTCGACCAGCGAGACTTTCAAAAGTGTTGATACAGGATGCCAAGTTTCGTCCTAGGATCTTCCATCAATAATACATTCGATCAATGTTTTTTGGTGCTTGAAGGTTGCGTTTGTATGTTCCGCGCGGGGTTGTGGAGGTCTGCGAGTTGGAGATCAAGCTGGGGTAAATGCGCTTACCTTGGGGAACCTGCATCAACAACCAATTTGGGTTGACGTTACTTTCATTCAAAATTACCAACAACTTCTCTGGTGGTATAGAGCTTGTCTTGATCACCTCTGCAAGGAGGAAGCGCTATTATAAAAAAGCAACCAAAAGTTAGTCTGAGGCGCTCTCGGCAATGAGATGGCTGGTGAAGATTGCGCATTGATCTAAACTTGTACGTAGCTATCATATTTAATTCCTTGCGCAAACATACCTGTTCTTGTTCTGTAAATGGCATCTCCATGATTGTTGTGGAGACTTGTGGTGAGGTGAGGTCAAAACAATAGTTGAAAGGTTGAAAGGTTGAATGTTTTATGATCAAATGTTTATCTTCATTCGATGCCTTGAGACAAATGAGGATCGATTTGTATGGAACGAGTGAATTGGTAGTAGGTATATAAAAGACCAAAAAAAAGAAAAAAAAGACAAACAAAATAAATCAAGGAGTCATTTAAGTATTTGACATTGAACAGTATTTTGTAGGAACGAATCCTTATTCACCTATTAAAAGGATGAATGTAAGATTAGGAGATGAAAAGAAAGTTATCAAATAGGTAGTTATAGATTGTGTAGCAAAAAAGGTGTAAGTTTGTGAAATGAGAGGTAGAAAATCGATGGAAGCCATTGAAAGACCCGCGTATGTTGAAGGGATCTTGGAAATAGGAACAGGTCGTGGAAGGAAGCGCGTGTAGCAGAAAAGAGTTGAGGCAAGAAAGGATAAATGGTTTTGGTTTTGGTTTTGTTTTTGGCTTGCAACAACGACAAACCGCCAAACCACCAAACCACCAAACCACCAAACCATCAAACCATCAATGAGGCCGCCACTCTTCACGCAACGAGATGTGCCTGCACCTGTGCTTGTGCCTGTACCTGTACCTTAAAAGAGAGCGTACCGAACGCCGTTACCCGCAAAAAAGGTAAGGTTGTTTTGGAATCTCATTTGAAGGAATCAAGTAGATGCACGGAAAAGTAAGCCCAGTGCGGATGGGAGATAAGATCCCAATTCCCTTTTTCTTTTCTTAGGGTTTTGGCTATGTCTTCTCTAGGTTGTTTCAGGAATAATAAACAACATGGGAGAGAATTATGTCGTGCATATATATATGCCAGTCCATTGAGGGAAATAAATGAGAAGATTTAACTGGATGTATTGATACCAGCTAATGCGCTGTGCAATGCAAGATGTTAGGATGAACAGAGAATTGGGAAGTGGAAATGGAAGCGATGCATGCATGATATAATGAAGAAGTTCAAAATGAGTTGAAGTAAGAATTTTAACCTTAGTGGCTGGCTCATTGAAGCTTTATCATCTCTTTTAGTCAATCATGGTCAATTGATCCATAAGTCTGTCTTTCACCCGAGGCCTTGTTTGTTTACTAGGGAGGTACCTAGTAATGCAAAGGTAGTAGGTAGGTACTTATCTAATCATGATTCTACTTTCGTCTGCACCTACAAAACATCCATATTGTGTACACAATCCATATCTGATGTGATCGTTTCATATAAAAACAAAAATAGGGAGAGACTTAGATATGCCATTGGATACCAACTATAGTTCAACTGTCCTTGCAGCTTCTCACAAATTATTCAATTCTATCCTGAGATTGGCTCAGAAGAACTTCATCAACCGCCAATTATAAGTCTCAACAGACTTAGTGGAATTATGGAAACTCAGCACAACCCAACCATTTATTACTACAACTACCTGGTAAGGCTGTGAAATCTGCGACCTCGTCATTGTCATACGGAGCCTTCCTTCTACACAACCTAATCCTTTGAAATATCTTTTACTCGAGTATCATGCTTTGTATTCGAAATCTTGGACAATGTTGAATTGATTGGTTTTGGAGGGCTCGGTCGGTTCGAGAGTGGTTATACTTCCGAGGCCAAAAATGCGACCCTATCCAATGTACTCCGTACCTCCTCTTCTCCTTTGCTTTTGATGTTGATGTTTAGGCGAATCATCTCAACTTGTGGTGGAAGCTTCAAATATTCCCGTCGTCAGGTATTTCATTGGCATAGAAACAATGACCTGCCTTCTTTGAGGGAAGTAATACCTTCATCAACCTTATAATCCGAATTCTTTGTGGGGTTGACTATGCGCATGCAGGAATGCGCTTGCAGGAATGCGCTGTCAACAATCCACTAGGTACTTAGATACTTAGGTATGAAGACGACCAGTTATTTTTCATCCCTCTCCTCTTGGATATCACTGACGAATAATCACAGATACGATAATGCCATGAGGTCGCAGTAATATTCCCTTCCGTCCGATGTATGACTGCAAGCCCTATGTGGAAGATCATTGTGGGGTAGAGTTTAAGAAACTGGAATGCGCAGTTGCATGATCAACTACTCGAGTATGCATTTATACGGTTTGAATTGATACTGCTGCAGCCATACTTGGGTTATCAATACCTTCAGGAACCGATCTTTTCAAGATACCGCCACCAACCAACAAGCTCGATTTACATGACGTTCCTACGTTCGCTATCATAATACACATCATGGGAAATTTGAAGTTTGAAAGATCGTAAAAATGGGCATGCGCGGGTACCGTGTAGGAAGAGGCCTTTTGAAAAATAATCGAGGCCAAAATACAATATATACATGCTGGAAGGAACTGTGTGATAAAAGCTCTGATGATTTGGCATCATCTCAGCTCAGCTGGCTTTGGATTTAGGAGATAAGCTCTTGCATCACCATACATTTGGTAATACCTTGGATGCATTGAAGCATTAAATAGGGAAAAGGACATCAATTCTTTGAAATCATCTGGCAGATTGGAGTAGTTATCATCTGTCTGCCAGGGTTGAGGGGAGTATAATTTTGATTTTCAGCGTTCTTTCAGAAGTAGCGGAATTAAGGTTAGCCGAGCGCGCAATAGCTCGTCTCAATTTGTATCGTCGTCCTCCTCCGTAGAGCAATTATTAGCAAATATCAACTACTTTGGGGGGAAAGAAAGCCATTTCAATACATGAGTAGTGATATGTGAGCATCGGGATTGAGGAACATAAGAGTTTGGTCTTTGCGACATGTTGCAGAGGTGAAATTGGAGGTTCAGCCGACGCACTTCCACTACTTCGCTCCCATCCCAATTCCTTCCCGTCCAGCTGTTCTACAGCCCACATTCATTCAGTGTGGGAAACAAGGGCTTTATGTTTTTGTTGATAGAAGTCCGACCATCCATATATAAGTCTGCGGGACTATATCGACCTTGTCAGCTAATATTTCGCGACCCTGCAGCTGTTCGCGATTTGCCATCCAGGCGCAACCACTCTCTTGACTTTTAAGTGCGTGCGCAACAAACGCGAATAAATTGCTTGGAAAGTGACGGGAGTTTAAAAAGTATTACGGTCAATAAGAAGGTGTTGCGTTCTACCCAACGTCGCTAGGTGCTTCGCGTCTGCCAACACAACTAAGAACAAAAGGCCGTATCGAACACATCAACTTAGCTAGCTCGGCTTTCCCTTCGCGCCAACACACAAATATAAAGTAACCGCAACACAACTCTACACCATCCACATATTCATGATGGCGGATGACACTAGGGAAATTCAGCCAGAGGTTGTAGATGCTGCGTTGGGCGAAATGAAACTTGAGGAAGGGATCGAGGTTCAGGATTTTGCCAATGGCACGAACGGAGACGTTTCTCCTCCTACAGAAATCAAGAGGTCTCCCTCCAATACACCAGGTCTTGTAAAGCCTCGTTCTCAAACCCCTCCAAGAAGGCAAAGTACCAGCCAAACGCCAAAATCCGGGGATGAAGAGGATGAAGAGGTTATTGGCGGTGACATTACCCTCACCGTCGAACCTGGAAAAGCTCCGAAGCTATCCAGGAAATCATCACAAAAAGTAATCCCTAGGCCACCCCCCCTCTTCAACGATCTTCCAGATTCTACAGAAGAGGCAGCTTCAGTTTTTCAGGTAATTAAAGATTGCATTTATGGAGCTAAGCATATGGGGGCTTCCGATCACGATGCATTGGATTGTGATTGTCCCGAGGAATACAGTAAGTCTACATATGTACTTCCAGTACTTTCTTAATTTCGGCTGCAATCAATCGCAAAATGGAAACTTTAGCTGACACATCTTATCAGGCGATGGAAATAATCATGCCTGCGGAGAGGATTCAGATTGCATTAATCGATTGACCAAGATGGAATGTGGTGGAGGCCACAAAGATTGCAATTGTGGTGTTGCTTGCCAAAACCAACGCTTCCAACGCAGACAATATGCCAAAGTTTCAGTGATCAAGACGGATAAAAAAGGTTACGGGTTACGCGCAAATACCGATCTACATCCTGATGATTTCATTTTCGAGTATATTGGAGAAGTTATCAATGAACCGACATTTCGGCGACGCACCATTCAATATGACCAAGAAGGTATCAAACATTTTTATTTCATGTCTCTTACCAAGCATGAATTCGTGGATGCAACAAAGAAAGGGAATCTGGGCCGATTTTGCAATCATTCATGCAATCCGAATTGCTACGTGGATAAGTGGGTGGTCGGAGAAAAGTTGCGCATGGGCATTTTTGCCGAGCGAGCAATCAAAGCCGGCGAGGAATTGGTCTTCAATTACAATGTTGACCGATATGGTGCCGACCCTCAACCTTGTTACTGCGGCGAACCGAACTGTACTGGATTCATCGGAGGCAAGACTCAAACTGAACGCGCTACTAAACTTTCTCATGCTACCATTGAAGCTCTTGGTATTGATGATGGTGATGGTTGGGATTCAGCTGTTGCTAAGAAACCTCGGAAAAAGAAGACAGGTGAGGATGACGAAGAATACGTTAACAATGTTCAACCAAAGGGACTCGATGAAAGTGGAGTGCGAAAGGTTATGGCAACCCTTATGCAATGCAAAGAGAAATGGATTGCCGTCAAGCTACTGGGTCGAATTCAAAGTTGCGAAGATGACAAAGTTCGAAACAGAGTTATACAAATGCACGGCTATCAAATACTTCGTACGACCTTGACTACTTGGAAGGAAGATAACAACGTGATCCTCCAAGTACTTGATATTCTCTACAAGTTTCCACGACTTACTCGAAACAAAATCGTTGATTCGAAGATCGAAACAGTTCTAGAAGGCTTCACAAATGCCGAGCATGAAGACATTGCTTTCGAGTCAAAGAGACTATTGGACGCATGGAGCAAATTAGAGTTTGCATATCGAATCCCAAGGAGAGCTCCAACTCTTGTTGCACAAGTATTTGAACGACGACCAGAACAAGTAGAGAAAGTCACTCAGTCTCCATCTCCGGCCATCATTGCCCCTACTGGCCCCCGGAGCGTTATTCCCCAACGCAATGCCAACTTCATTCTCAATCGACCTATGCCTCGGCGCAACAATTTCAACATGGTATTGCCACCCGGCTGGTATACCGCGATGGACCAAAATGGAAACGCCTACTATTATAGTAAGACGGGACAAACAACATGGGAGAGGCCATTTATGCCCGCAGGAGCGGTCCCGCCACCACCACCGCCAAAGGCAGCTCCAAAGAGTGTGCAGACGCAAAGGGCCCTTCAAGATATTATTGATAGTATTACGAAGGAGCCTTCGACAACTCCTGCTCTTTCCTCTCATTCTGCTGAAGGCACACCCAAGGAAAAGAAAAGGCCACTTGATAAATGGCGCTCACTACCTCTCGAGAAGCAGATGAAACTTTATGAGAATACTGTATGTTTAATAGTTTGTTTTTCTACGCCGATGAATTCTTTTTCAAATTTAATTCGTTTATTTAACTGACTTCCACCTCATAGCTATTCCCTCATATCAAACACGTAATGCAAAAATACTCCGGCAAACTCCCCAAGGACGACCTCAAGAAATTCGCCAAGGAATGTGGTAAAAAGCTCGTAGCCTCTGATTTCAAGAACAATCGCGTTGAAGATCCTACAAAGATATCCGAAAAGCACGAAAAGAAAGTTAAGAAATATGTGCGTGACTACTTCGAGAAGGCAGTACAAAAGAAAAAGGAAATGGAGGAAAAGCGAGCGGAGAGGAGAAAGCGAGAAGCGCAGACGAGGAATAATGGAAGCGGGACCAATGAAAAAGAACCAGGACGGGAAAATGCGACTACGGGTAGTAGTCCGGATGTGGTTGATGATGTGGACGTGGAGGTCGACGTACCAAGTCCGACAGCATCACCTAGTGGGCAACTCGAAATGGAATTTTTGAAAAGGAAAAGACAAGACGATGACGAAAGTCCGTCAGAAAATAAGAGGGTTAAGGATCATGGTACTGAAAGTGAAACACCAACTGATTCCTTCACACCACCTCCACCTCCTCCACCGCCGCCCAAGGAAAATATGCTTATATTAGGGACAGAAGATCTTGAGATGACTAATGGTAATGGGGACATTGTAGGTGAGGAAGATGTGAAGGAAGAAAAGGAAGAAACGGAAGAGGAGAGAGAGTTGAGGATGCAAGAAGAGGATCTGATGCGGGAGAACGAAGAGGCTATGAAGATGGAGATGGAAGTAGAATCTGTTGGAAGGTTAAAGGGTGGCGATGACTCCAATCAGCACATTAACGGTGAAAACATGGATAGACATGACGAGACGATGAAGAGTGTTGATGGAGGTGGTCATGAGGCAGTTTCGACGATTAATCAATTGTGACAGCTGAAGCGATTGATCAGTCGAAACGAAAAACATCAATGACTGATGGTGATATTACGAGGGATGAATATCCGATAGGATAATATCTACTGCCAAGGGAATAACACAAAATTGAGAACAGCTTGTGTAATAATGTATCATTATCATTCATCATTCACTTTTATAATTATCGTCATTATTATCATCCAGAAAAGAATCTTTGTATTACATCAAAAGTGTTTTATATTTAATAATTCAAATATAATATTATTTATTTTTTGAAAATGAAAATGGAAATTTGTATATATTTATTATTATAAATAAAAACATTTATTAATATAATAAAAGAATATTAAATTCTTTAAAATATAACAGTAGATATTGTTAATAGTTGTACTTATATATAATTTATGTAATGTAAAATTATATTAAAACACTCGTATATCTATAATTTTGCCTTAATACCAGGCGCGAATGTCGTTCCTCCACTCTCACCACCAATAGCTCCGACAATCTTATCTACTGTATTAAGAATCCATGCATTTCCCTCTTCGCCTGCTAACCATTCTCCTCCCTCCACAGGTTCTTCACCGGATGCCTTATATGTACCATCCTCAAACGCTTTCCGTAAACCAAATACATGGCTGGTGACCTGTGGACCCACTCCGGTTTGTGCTCTTAAGCATGTTATACCGATCAAACTTGTCAGAACTCTGCCGATCTTTACTGGCCGTGATGAGATAGGAGGGTCGCTGAAGAGGCTTGAGTAACAATTTAGGATGAACACTGGGAGATCCGGATGCGATTCTGCGAGCTTGTCGAGTAGTTTTGCTTCAAAAGGTCGGTAAATGGAATCCCATAGTCCGCGACCTCGAATTTTGGTATCATCAACATTGGTACTTTCCAATTCACTAGTAATTGAGACTCTTAGCAGACGTTTAATTGGTGCCAACGGGAGAACGAACTTACCGAGATGGGGTTTTATTCAATGATTTCATGATCTCATTTGGTAGACTTGCCCGGAACTGACCTAGAACATTGATTGTTCTTGGAATCTGAGATGCATTGTTAGATTCCGTTGCTGCATTCTCAAGTACAAGTATGCCATCTCACTCCATTGAACCCTATACATTTCAAGCCTACTTCTCTCATCTGCTCCACGGTTTTCACCGTCTGCGCATGATCCTTGTCCTTCGTCGCAAGTCGGAAGAGCTCCAACATTGAGTCGGGAGAATTCATCGTCATAGTCGCAGCTGTCTGCCATTCGGAAATATCAGTTTCCCATTTTTATGATTTGGGCGTTTGATAGGAATTGATGTACCGAGATTGTTAGCCATGATGCCAGTCCAACATTGTTCGTGGAGGCTTCCTCCTCTATCTTTTGGAATACTGCGCGGATATTTTTGGGTGCAGGAGCATATCCAGGACGGGCATGCGGTGCGCTTATCAAGGCTTTCAAGGAGGGTGAGAGTTTCGACATAATGAGAGTGGTGAGGATTCTCTCGGCGTGAAAATGGATTGCTCCATGAAGTCACTTTTAGGAAGGTACGGCAGGGACAAGAAGGCGGTAAATTTGTCTGCCGAAGTGAGTTTGTCGGAGATTGAAATATTGCCGCTGGCTCGTATCACGTGATACATGACTTGTTTCGGATGCCGAGGTAAAAATAGAAACATTTTACTTTTCAATATCGTATCAAACCCCATGTCACTCTTCGATGCCTGGGCCACTGTCTCGGACTTGACGGCCCCAGAAAAAGCCTCATAATTCAGAATAGACATAGATAATCATTCAGGTTGGACATCGTGTAACGATCAATCCATTTGATATAGAGTTTTGCACGGAAAGTTCGTTTTTGGTACACGATTTATCTTGATCCCTATCATAGCCTTTGCTGCAGTCTGCTTTACAGATCACGCCTGTAATGGATGAACTACCTGCACAGGTATCAGGGGTAGCTACTCATGATGTTAGAAATACAATTTCCAAGAAGTTTCCAAGGCAAGCCGCATGCCTAAGCTGTCGACGTAGCAAAACCCGTTGTATCCGTGGCCCCGCGGATATCAATTGTCAAAGATGCCGTCAGAATGACACGGAATGTCTGGTGCCAGATTTCCATGTAGGAAGGCGGAAAGGTGTCAAAAAGTGAGCCTCCATGACATGTTTCGAGTAGGCTGTTCATTAGTCCGGATTATTGGATATCCTGGATTTGACCTATTTGATTGTTGCTGACCTCTTTTTAGCAAACGGAGTGGACTAGATAAAGTGGTTCATCAACTCGAAAAGGCAATCAAAAGCTCTCAGAACTATAACGTTCCAAAAGAAGAAGGTCGGCGTCTACAGCAGCTTCTTTCCGAAGCCGAAAATCTCGTGTCTGAAGGGAATGAGAACCCTTCCACCCAGTCCATTGGGCAGCCGGACCTTCAAAACTATTTGATCAACAGACGACGTGAAACCAATGACGCATCCATGTTCGGCTCTCATGAAACTACTGGTCAAATTGAGACGGATGACGTTGCTTTGGACGACGCTGAAAATCCTCTGCAGCTGCTTGCTCGTGCATCAGACCTTGCAGATACTGCGGCAAAGCAACGATGTATGCCCACTTCATTTGCAAAGACCGGAGAGCTTCGACGGTTTTTTGGGCCGTTTCAACCACGCCTTGACGTTGGAAGTGATATTGACCCTGTCAATATTGGCTTGGTGACTGAAGAGGAAGTGACTATGCTTATAGAATAGTGAGTCTTGCCTTGATTGTCCGAGGGTTCTCAATAGTCCAGATCGCCGTCTAGCAATAAGATATTTATTGGATTTTTAAAATTATGCACCACATTTAATATTCACTGAAATATCTTGTCAATTTGGAATATGCAAACAAATTGGAACATTGAATTCATTCGGAGTATAGAATTTGATGGGGATAATTAACTGTATCCAAACATGAAAAGCTTTCAATTAGCTCTGCTTATCCGGACTATTGAACACCCTGAGATTCGCCTTGACGCATATCTTATTGATACTGATAATTTCATTAGTTTCTATACAGATCTTTCGCATACAAGATGGGGTCTCGATCCCTCTATTCACACGGCAGACTTTGTGCGCTCAAGATCTGCGTTTCTTTTAACATCCATGTTAGCTGCATCTGCACTTTTCATTCCTCTGGGGGCAGCTTTATCAAAGCGTCTCTCCAACCATAGTAAATATCTTGCTCAGCATGTTATATCCAAGAGGTTTAGGTCGCCAGAAATCGTTCTCGCATTCATGATAAATATCCCATGGATGTCACCAGAAAAGCATTGGGCTGAAGACGAGACTTGTTCTTACATGGCTTTGGCGCACTCTATCGCCCTCGATGTGTCTCTAAACAAGATCATCATATTAAACGCAAACAGTCTACAAACCGCCATTCCAAAGTCAGATTGCATTAGTGCAAGAAAAGCTCTCGACATGGACGGTTTTGTGGATGTTGATCCCACGACACGATGGGGCCAGAAATTATTACGCCGACGTGAAAGAATATGGCTTGCTCTATTCAATCTGGACAGGGGGTGAGCTAACTCCTTACGTGTACATTTGAAGGTGCTGATATTCCTGGTCAGCGTGTGCTTAGCACGAGGAAGAGCGTTTACCGTACAAGTATCTCCTTTCGTTGAAACTTGTGATGCATGGCACAATGCTGATATAGCTGATACCTGGGATGGCTCAATTGTAGCTTCATCTGTTTTGCGGCGAGATATCGTATGTAACTTTTGAGATATTCCAATAGAGACTAATAATGTGAACAGGCCAAGATTATTACTTCTATTAAAGACACGTGTGATAACACTGCATCGGCAGGATTAGAAGGGTATGACATTGCTCACACCCTTAGGCAAAGGGTCGATGAGTTTTTCAATCGCTGGTATTCCACCTGGACCACGGAAATAGGTCAAGAAAAAGACCTTCGGCTGCCTCCTTATGTAGAAATCCTCGTTTCCCACACCCGTCTTGCTATATACAGTAATGTTCTTAATTATCCTAGGCAAACCTCGGCTATCTCTCATTTCTTTCGATCCGCTGGTCTCTCGTCTGCTTTGAATGTTATGAGAGCCGCGGTCCAGGGAGAGCCCCTTCTCAAATCTATGCCAAACAATACTGCGATAATGGTCTCGTTTTCGGCCTGTTTTGCACTTTACTTGTCGACGACGAGTACGAAAAATAATTCCGGTCTGAGAGAAAGTATCAAAGTTCTGATAGAGGAGACTGCAACGGTTCTGGAGAGGATAGGGAATATAACTCCTCACAGGAAAGGGAGTTCAGCATTATATGGAAGGCACTTGCAAGAGATTCTTCGAAATTCCCCAGCATTACGAAGGCCTGTTCCATATGATCCGTCAGTCCTCAATAGTGAACAAGCGGGAAGCAATACAGCACAGGAAATACAGGAACACGGATTAGAGCCCGGTTTCTTTGAGCCGCTCCAACTCTCCACCATGTCGGTTGACCAGATTGTCGAATTCTTTGACAATGAAGAAGCAACCTTTAGAACTAGTCCAACCAACTTACAGCTGGGCGATACGACAGGAATGGAATGGCTGGACTGGTTTGATTTTTACGAAACTGCACAAGGCTGATAGCTTGTTCGTAATGGGGCTATTATCAACCAGTTCTAATCATTTTGTGGCCATTTGTGCTTGAGGTCTAAATACGCAGGCCAAGATAGCGATGCCTCTACAGTGCTTCCAGTAGTCTGCTCAGACTGCAGCCCGACGATATATGGGAGAGTTTTGGATACTGAAATCATTTTGATCATTGAATTTGATTTGAACTTTAACTATTCAATTGATTTGAATAAACCTGGCCACCTCTGATCACTCGAATATAATTCGCAGACACTACCAATCCTGCCTCCTGGTTATAACCCATAGCTAACAATTTCTGGGAAGCTTGAAGCAGTCAATCGGTCATAGATGGAAATCGTGCACTGAGTAACAAGTGCAATTTCTGGACGTGGATAAGTATTCTGTCCCAACACGATAGAATACGGCATATTGTCTCCCAGGACTTTCGACAAGATATCGTTCCAGGATATCACGGTCCTTGTGAACAATGTCCACCGAGACAAGGCGCTGGAAAATTCGAGAGTGGTATTGACATGCTGGACGTTCTTTTGCTTCTTCCTTGGTGAAGGGGGACATTACATGTATCTCAGCAGAAGCAGAGAACTGGGAGCCCAAGGACTGAAGATCGTGGACAATATCTTTGGGTGCCGTTGCAGGATCATGACGGCGTGAAGATGTTGTGTCGTCAAGAAGCGAAAGTCCGGAATCAGTTCCATTTGCAGGGACAAATTCCTCGGGCTTTGCAAGCTCGACAATCATACTACTCGATAATTCGACATTGTTTATGTTCTCGTGCTTTCGAGCCAAATGTCCTCTTCCATTGCGGAGTTAGCATAGTCATGGGCACCACAAGAGAACCACAATAAACTTACTTACGAACCACCAACGCTGAATTTAGTGCCATAGCAGAATTCTATGTTCAATATCCAATATCGAGCTAGGCATTCGCGACTCTTGCGCATTTTCGTAGTGTCGAGTTAGCTCGCTCACCCTGAAGGACCTTTCAACAGCTATATAAGTTCCTAAACCGGTAGTTTTGTGAGACATTTTTGCTGCCATTACTGCCCAATATGTCCGCCTTAACGTTGACAGACGGAAATTGCTCATCAAAAACATGACCAAATTTGTTTCAGGGCCACTCTTAGTAAAGCTAGATCCTACAATTGGCAAGTTCCGATCTGGGATGAACCATATGCCATAGGAAGCGACTTCCATAAGGCTGAATACATAGAAACCAGATATTTCTCTAACTGGGACACTGATCGCTAAAGTCTACCATTAGCTGTCTGGCATTGAAAACTCAGGGCAAACGGGAGCGCTGGAGTAAGCAGCGGTCAGATAGGATCTGGAGTGAGTAGACATAATCAAAATGAGTTATACAAAATTTCTGGCATGGTGGTGTATGCCAGATCCTCCGACGTTTTAGTGGTCAGCATGCTGCTGCTTCCACATCTAGAAATTGGCGCAGACACTTAGCGAGGCCAATCAAGATTTTCATGCCTCCAAAATTCAAAAATCAAGCCGCTTATTGTTGCACAGCTCTCGAAGTCCTAGGAAGCGACAAGCGGTCAGACTCCTTCCTCTGAATGTTAGGCAAGCTCAAGGTTTTCTTTTATACTCCCGCGCATATAGCAACAGTAACCCCGCTGGATGACATTCTCACTTCTATATAGTCGCACAAATAATGCGGTCGTCGGTGGAAGCAAACACCAATGGTACTTAGGTTCTGACTGCATTTCACTACTATAATCTTTGCGCCCAATTCCTTTTGCGTGGTGTCGCATCACGACGATACCCCACGATGGGAACTGCCGATCATTTCGAGAATCGATAGCTTTTTGAAGAATCGATACCGCATTTTCGTTCGCCTGAATTTTCAGCTTTGCTGTTAAATTTAGCGGGAACCGCGGAATCACTGCTGGATGTTTTGTTGTGGATATATCTGTGACGCCCAAGCTACCCCAAGCACGAGATTTAGCCAAGACTTTGAGCCGTTCTCGTAATACAAAGGGCTTTTTTCTTTCAATATACACATATGCTGGCCGCAAATGCTCCAAAACGAGATGTGCTATCACAAGCAATGCAACGTTGCTGGAATAAGGTAATCTTGGGCGAAAGTGGGTGACGGCCACTCTTGAGTCACGGATCGTTGGAATGGCAAATATTTGACAGGCTGGGGGCTGGAGAAAGCTAAACCATGATCTGATAATCGGTTATGTGGACGATAGAATATGTTGACAGATATGAGGATTCTTGGCTTTCCTACTGAGCCGTCCCTTGTCTGGAAGCTCACGTTTCAGTAAGATCCTCATATTTTGAATACGAAGCTCTTCTTAGTATGGCTTTGCCAAATTGTAGTCGGCTGATGTCATCTTTCTACCTTAAACTTCTCGACTAGAGAGAGGCCATGCACTCGAACGAGGCCAGCGAAGTCATCATATCACCCTTAACATACTTGAGTAAGCCTGTTATATATCAGGAATCCATCAAAAATTCACAGGTAATCGTTGCCCGTATCCCTCACATCGTGTTTGGTTTCATTAATCGCCCGCCGTCTTTAAAAGTCGTGGCACCTCTAAATGGTAGATCACTGCATCATTCCCGTGTGGTGAGGTAGTCTCACGTAGGTTCTGCGAGACCGCGCTTTCTCACGGTAGTTGAGGGTTACGCAGATGGTAGCTCACATGGTATGGAGGAGCTTGTGTATTACCGAAGCTCCTAGTACATTGGCTGGGGCCTACATCTGATTGCGCACTGAACCCTTGAGGATCGTGCTGTTGACTTTCATCATGTGCTGGGCGAAGGAAGGAGAACTCGATATGATGTTAGATGTTGATGGTTACAAGTGGCAATGGTGTTAATTTCGAAAAGATTTGACTTGATTGTCACTTTCATGTTCATGGTATCGCAGCCATATTCCTACAATGAAAGTATGCACTACGTGGGCTGAAACGAAGCGACATTCTCTAACGTAAGCAAGTGCCGGGCTGGAAAAGTTCTAGCATTCTCGATCAAGATTGTTATGACTGTTATGTGCACTTTTCTCAAATAAATTGTACGAGAAATCAGCGTCTACCAGCAATTGCATTAAAATACAAAATCTCGCATTTGCTCAGGTACCAGACGCTCGAGTTTGGGAAGTGTTCAATAGCTTTGGTAGCATAGACCTCCTGCACGTGCTCATTTTGCGAGAATTTTTGTCTGGATGATTATATGCGTTTTGTAACAAAAATTTTCAAGCCTATATTTGCTTCCGAACTGGGGACTTTCTCTGATTGTCCGCCTTTGATCTACTTTGTCGGAAACAAAAAATTTCCATTAATAGATACCGGTAGCACATACAACAGGATTCAACTATGGCACCCAGTAGCCCGGAGCGGAGTGGCAGATGAAATATGAATTTACATTCGTTCAGGGTCAATTCGGTATTCGAAATGAATTTGATATTTAAGATAATCTGAAAATTTCAATCGAATCCAGGAATCAAAAGTCTTTTGTTGTTGGACGGCAATCCGGAGCATTGGGAACACTGCATTGAGTTCTATAAATTACACTCACTCTGCTATCCAAAATTGTTCAGAGGGAGATAAGATATAGCCCTCTGCAAGTACAGAGACTGCTGAAAGTGGTATGGTTGAGGAAAGGAAAAAAATGTAAGTGGAAGTTGGGTGCAATCCGCGTAGTATCGAAGGACAAAGCTAGACCTAATCTCATTTATTCTGTCACTAACCATCATAAACATAATACAATTTTAATGCTGAGCGGTAAGGAATGATGGGTGCCAATGTCCACGGACGATTAATGCAGGTACCTGCATCAGCCGAAACTACAACACGGGAACTCGCTGGTGCGGAAACATGGCATTAAAGAGGTCGTTGAGAGCGCCACAAACGGGTGAGAAACTATCGAAATATATATTTAGCAGACGTTATATGCCACATGCCTACTGAGATGCGCAGGTAGTATTCTCAAACGGGTCGAACTGGAATTACAACAGTAATTGGAAAACAGCATGATATTGGCAAAGCGGCACAGCGCATGTAAAGCCCAGATTGGGTATTGGGAAGTTTCTTGGTATTGAATCTGTACCGGCATACCAGACATTGTATCCATGGCTTCGCATGGCAAAGGACATATTATTTCGCTCGCCGCTCTCGAGCTTAGGAGTCTTTGCATCAAGTTCTTTTTACTTGTATCTCATTCTACAGAGCTGCCTAGAAATGTTTTCTCTCGGGTTCGCAGTCGCAGCGGCTCTCATGGTCCTGCCATCAGTACATTGTTCTTCGAACGCCAATCTTTGGGTCTCCGAATGGAAAAACTCTACTTTACAGCATTCACAAGGTGGTAATGCACTGTGCCTTTCTGGGAAGGTCCCTGTCCCCGTCATAGCTACAACGACAAATCTTCTACTACCCGAACTTGCTAGTCAAACAGATATAACACAAATCTTCCAGGAATTGCTCCAGAGTCATTCGAATATTGTTAATACGACTTATGGAGGGACCTCCCACATCAATTCGACATTTCAGGTGGACGTAACATATTGTGTACCTTCCTATGAGGAGAAAAATTTCTCTGTAATGACAAATGCCTCCGCAAAGACTATACAGATTTTGACTCATGGTATGGGCCTGGATAAGAGTTATTGGGACATATTACCAGGTTATAGCTACGTGGATGCTGCTGCCGCTGCTGGATATGCCACTCTTAGCTATAATCGTTTAGGTGTTGGAGGTTCTGACCATCCTGATCCGCTCCAGGTCGTTCAGGCGTCAGTAGATGTCGAAATACAACATGGTCTCACATTATTGGTTCGACAAGGCTATTTCAATAGGAGTTTTGAGAATGTAATCGGGGTCGGTCATTCATATGGCTCAATTATTCAGTTAGCCCAGAATGCGAAATACCCTAGTGATGTTGATGGCACAGTATTGACGGGGTTTGTTAATGATGTGGCATCTTTAAGCTATACTATTGCTGCCAACAATCCTGCTGTCGCAGCTATCAATAATTCAACGTTATGGGGCGACTTGCCATATGGCTATGTAGTCCACGATACCGCCATTTCCATACAGCTCCCATTTTTTCGGGTACCTTACTTTCCAGAGAGCAGTAAGTGTTACCCGGATTTTTCTTTAGAATCATTGCTAACCAATAATTGTAGCATTCAAGCACGAAGTAGCCCAAAAGCAGACCTATACTATCGGTCAACAATTTACGCTGCCTGCTATCTACTCACCTGCACCAAAATTCAAAGGGCCGGTTGATATAGTCATTGGAAAGTACGACTTTCCATTCTGCCAAGGAAGGTGCGATCATCCTGTCGATCTAGCCGCAGCGACCATACCAGTCCTGTACCCAGCGGCAGATTCCAAGTCGGAAAGTTTTGTTGTGCCGGACTCCGGCCATTTCATTAACGCACATTACAACGCTCATGCTCAGTTCGATCAAATCAATGACTTTCTTGACAGAAACGGGTTTTGAGCAGACCGTGTCCCTTATTAGCTTGGCACTTGCACATAGATTTAACCTTGTTATCGGGGGTATCATAAAACCGATATATCCGGAAATTGGTTCGAATCAAATATCAATCTATCCAATCACTAAAATTGTTGTGTAAGGTGCCAGGATACCTCAAAGCTCCTTAGTAAAATAATGATTGTATAAGTCCAAGTTGCATCATAAATTGCACTTTCCTATGGTATCCTTGGCATTCAATATTATAGCTGCAGCTTCAAGGGGTGTCAATGGGGCGGCAACCTTCGGTAAAGTATCCGGATGGCTTATGATATTTGATATTGGACAAAACGAACCCTTGTTGCCGTGCCGGTACCTGATCGGATGATTCGGGTAATTGAGCTCCCCTGCACTAGCTCGCCTCCGGCTCTTCATTCAACAATTAGAGTACGCGCTAAGCATATCAAACATGGTTCGTGTAATCGCATCAGCTGCATCTTAAGTCTAGTGTTACAGATCTGATTATGGCTTTCTGCAATTGCGGCCTGTTCGCATATGCCGCTGATATCCAGCATTAAGTGATTTGGCATCGTCGAGAAGATGGTTACGCCACCCGGAAGACTTATTCCTCGAGCATAGCCATGTCACGCATACCCCGCGACCCTGCATTTTCTTGACATCTGACTCTGATGTGTAGAATTTGGCGTAGGAAGAGCTATATGCAGGCTGCTGGTAGACAGAAAAAAGATGGTTGTCAGGCGGGTTTAAAAAAGCTATACATTATTCAATTCACTGAAGCCAGGAATCCTGAGTGAAAACAAGAGCTTTATTTCAGTCTTTACCGTTTACATAGGCCTATAATATCAACTAAAAAGTCATGGTATCTCAATCGCATATCATAGTGGCCAATTTAGTTGTCGCTATTGCAGCAACCATAGCTGTTTTTCTTAGATTTGTGTCACGGGCGCTTATCAAATCTTTCGCCGCAGACGACTGGCTCATTCTTGCAGCATTGCCTTTTGGATGGGGAATGGCGATTTGTACTATCATTGCTGTCCACTATGGGCTTGGACAGAATGCTCGGTCAGTGCCTCCAGAGAATATTGCTCCATTTATTCAGGTACGCTCATAGATGATTCCCTTGGACAGACGAGGGAAATTTTCCTAAGGTATAACAGGTTTACTTGGCTTCGGAGCTCATTTGGGCATGCTCAATGGCACTGATCAAAATATCCGTTCTCCTTCTTTATGTTCGAATTTTTGGGACCATGAGATATTTCCGTCTTCTTGCCTATGGCTTCGGCGGCTTCACCATAGCTTGGGCAATAATGGTTGTCTTTGTTTGTACTTTTCAATGTCTACCCATGGCTTATCAATGGGACAAAACAATCGAAGGAGGCCGGTGTATTGACTCTTGGCTTTTTTTTACCATCGGATCGTCTTTCGATGTACTCGTTGATTTCGCGCTGTTAATCCTTCCTCTCCCTGCGATCTGGAACTTGCAGTTATCAATACTTCAAAAGATATCGTTAATTGTTATCTTCAGTCTTGGTTCGATGTAAGTTGATTCAAACATGTTTGCTGTGGTTGCTCCTATTGACACTTCAAAGTACTTGCGTCTTCAGTTTAATCCGACTAGTTGCGGTTGCTCAAGCTAAAGACGTACCGGATCCAACTTGTGAGCTCTCTGATGATTTGCACCTGGAAGTTGGAACAAGTACTAAGTCAAATGTCTAGTCACTCTCGGAATCGTGGCAATCTGGTCAACGGCAGAACCTTGCCTCGGAATAGTCTCTACTTGCCTTCCTAGTTACAAACCGATTATTACAAGGATCTTCGGCCATAAAGAGGATGTTGGTAGCTCTGGTACGAGCAAGCCGAGCGGTGGCAATGCTACATTCGGAAGCAAGTTCAGCAAGAATGGCGGTCGGCTCGCCCTCGCGTCAGCTTCTGAAAACGAAGATGATCATCAGTTGATCTATAACCAGAAGGAGTTGATGTCTCTCAAGTCTTATGCTACCGCGAGCAACGACAGCGCAGCAAGAGGACAGGATATCCCGATGGACAATATTCGCGTACAAACAAACATCGATAGTACTTGGACCCACAACGTTTAGGCTGTGGAATATTTATTTCTAGTCCAAACACTAAAATATCTCCGTGCTAGCTTAATTTATGGACCTCATTCCTGCGCTTTATCGATTTTTGGAGTATTTGTTTGTGGCCCGGAAGATCTACTCTGGCTAGCAAATTCTAGCATTTTTCCATTAAACTGAGATTGGTTTTGTTCAACGTGTCTAAATTGCGGACATGCCGCCTCACGTTAGATCATAAGAGATTGTTCAACAGATTTTTTAATTTTCGAAATAGCTTGAGAGGTCAAAATGGCATGGTATATTCACACGATCGGGGGACATTTAAAAATAGATTGGGACATAGAAAATGTGTCCGTAGGTAGTAGCTGGTGGAAGTATATCCGATATCAGACACGTGCTTGAATTCATTTTCATTCTTGCAATATCCGTTATCTGCTCTTTTGGGTCCCAATGCCGCAAAGAGACGCTGAGAGCTTCATAGATATCCTTGCTCTGCTGCTATCGAAATCACTTAAGCAGCAGCACTTTCGATAACTTGTGCCACCTTTCCTGGCATACTCAACATAACCATATGTCCAGCAGCACACTTCTCGATCTTGCTTTCCGCTACTCCTGCAAGTTGTTCTTGCAATGACTGTGGAATACATTGATCATTCTCGCATACAAGATAGACGCTTGGTACATCTTTCCAGCCTGTATATGTGATGGTTCCATCCCAGCCGGACGCAGGTTGCGACTTCAAGGCTTTCTTCCACTTCTCGGCACTCTTTTCTCCCAGGTCGTTAAAAAGAACCTTCTCAGGGTTGGCACAATACATAGCTCCGCCCTATTTTTTTTGCAGTTAGAATCTGTTTAGTGTTGTCCATGACTTCGGGACCAAGTAATAACAACCCACCTCCGTGATTTGAAATGGCAAGGGGCCATGGGTGAAGCCTTCCGGGAAGATTGCTGCCGTCAGAAGGACCAATTTTGTCACACCACCCTTCAATCCTTTTTTCATGCGTGCTTTAGCTGTTAAGCCTTCGATAGCACTTGATCCTATGAAGCCACCGCCCGAATGAAGAACCATCACGATATCTTCTTCGGCATCAACCAATTTCTGGACAACAGTGCGTACTGCAGCAATGTCATCGTTCATATCTGGATTACCTGGCGAAATGGTACCAGTGCTGGGCAGGGCGACTACCTGAGTCTTCACATTGGTGGATTGGAGCTGTGAAATGACTTCGTCGAAGACTGTTGGTCCTTCCCAAAACCCCGGCACGAACAAAATCGTAGGGGCCATACTGATAGGCGGATCTTTTTTTATCAGTAAATCTTTTAGTATTGTTAAGAGTCAATGTAATCGATGAAATCGGCTGGTTGAATTAGTGTTGGGACCATGAAGGAAGTTAAGATAAACATATCTGAGTGTGCGGCACAGCCTATTGTGTTGAAATGTTTTGCTTAATATATGACGTTTCACGATTGGTCAAATTTATATGGAAGCTGCAGGATGTACAAGGGGGTCCACAGCATCTCATGGCAAGGATAAGGCATAATCAAGCTTCTCCTGCATGACGGCGTAGATTTTAGCCGCATTAACTGCAGGATTCCCATTTGTCAGCCATCTGTATCATGCAACTCGTGTAGCAGCTTTTGTACAAAGGTACAGCAGTAACATTTAAACGAAATCACATTCGCGGAATGTTTGCTAAACTTATGCCTTCGGCTTTCTTCCCGCAATACTAACCATGCTCATTCTTAGACTCGCGCCGTGATACATCTCGGCAATTGCACACCGATGCATATTCCACCACTCTTCAGCATTACCCCTTTCCCGTTCGATGATAGTACCCATTTCTACCGAGGCCATAAGATGTGTCATTGTCCAGGGGTGTGCGATTTCGTCGTCGATCGGCACGTATTGGTTGGCTAGCACGACTAAATTCCGTTTTTGAAATGTTTTGTCCAGCTCGGTAATCCACCTGAGAAAATTAGCATTTCTTCTTTCCGCGCTTTTAGCGTTCAGGCCTACCGAAAATCATTGTATTTGCCCGAAACTAAGCTTTGGGCTTGATTTTTCAACTCGTCCAAGGCCGATTTTGGTACCCCAGGGTCTGTTGATTGCGCATATATACCCCCGAAATCACCATCATCCCATTGCAGGTACCCACCGGGCTCTAATATTGGTCAGAAAATTCCTCAGATGTCCTTACGGGATGCATAAATACTCAATAATGCTAAGAGATTGTCCAATATTGGGAATGGATCGCCGTTCTCAACAACTAGGCACAAATATCCTGTGTGCACCACATCGAATTGTTCACGTAGAGAATCGGGTATAGGTTTCAATATGTCCAATGTATCCAAGATGACATTCTTGGGCAACCATCCTTTTGGAGGAAATTGTGCAGTAGAGATATCAAATCCTTGAAGTTGGGCCGATGGATAGTTCTTAGCCAACTCTTTTGCCAAGTCAATGAGCCAAATCCTGCATCTCAACATTAACGCCACACAACACAATGAAGGGGAAAACTTTGACGATAAGAGGCATTTCGAATTCTTACCCTGTACCACAAGCTACATCCGCCACTTTGATATTCTTCGTCAATGGGATGCATGGCTGCAATAAGTGTCCAAGTTGTCTTTTCCAGATATAGTGTTGAAGATATAAGCTTTATACCAAGTCAGCATTTGTTATCCCAATCTATAATGGAGATATGATGGACAAAACCTACCGCGTGGAGGCTTGAAAATCCCTTTCCAATGGGTACTTATCGATGCTTCCTTCCACAGGTCCCTCCACGACAGCATCGATGAATCCGTTGATCGCTCTTCTAGCCATGGTGCGATAGCTTAGATACCTCAAAGTTTACATTTAGTTTCAGTAGATAAAGGTCTACTTGTATCTCTGATCATAAGGCTGCCATAAAAATTCGACAAGGACTATTTTTCTCGTGCCCATGATTAAGTTAGTTGTGGCTTGGACATTTTGTGCCAATGCCATAAAAAATTGACTGCTTACTCGCCGATGTCTCGCTAGATGAAACAGAAATCTGCAAGTGTGCTCTATAGTCCTTCATGCTAACCACATTCGAACGATTCGCCATTGAACGGCAAATCTTTCCCTGGCTATAGCCTGGTATTTCGAGTGGATTTAATACTCGAACGAATTAGATATCTCAAAAGGATTGGATCATAGAATAGTGTGGTACAGTCTTAAGTATATGGTTGAGGAGTTTTGGAAACTCCTATGCTCTGATGCCATGTAGACCGATTATCACCTGAATGACGATACCGCCCCTCTGCACGTGAACATTTGTTCTGATCGGCGACTATACTTTCACCGAGGAAACCTTGAATAATTCAAACTTCCAGGAAGAAGTGGAAGACTAAAACTAGAAGAATTCAGCAAGTTCTTGCACACATAATTTGGCCTTGTAACGTCGGTTGGAACCAGCTTGCAAGTCCAGGCGATTCACTTCGACTCAACGTGTTGGAACCCAACTCTGGACCCTCATATTCTTTAATAGAACCATTATTCAGAGCAAATACAATGTCACAGTCAAATATCCCTATTGCAGTCATTGGCCTCGCTTGTCGATTTCCCGGAGGTATCCACGATGCTGAAAGTCTTTGGGAAGTTCTCATCAGAGGACAAAGTACCTGGTCTGATGTACCCGCAGATCGTTACAACTGGAGATCGTTTCATCACCCCACGCGTGGATCTACCTCCGCTCACTCGTCTCGTGGGGGATATTTCTTAAAATCCAATGTTGCCGAGTTTGATGCTGGATTTTTCGGTATTTCCGAGCTTGAGGCTGCAGCTATAGATCCACAACAGCGTATTCTTCTGGAAGTAACATACGAAGCAATGGAAAATGCGGGGCTCTCGATTGACTCGGTTAAAGGTTCTCCTACCGGCGTATATGTTGCGACATTTACACATGACTATGAGAATATGATGTATCACGACTCAACATCTCTACCAAAATATGGCATGACTGGGGTTGGGACAGCCATTGCGTCCAATCGGATATCATATTTCTTTGACCTTAAAGGCCCTTCAATATCTATAGATACTGGCTGCTCTGGAAGCCTTGTCGCTTTACATCAAGCATGCCAGAGCTTACGTTTGGGGGAAACAAACACAAGCTTTGTTGGGGGAACCAATCTCATTCTTAGTCCTGATACCATGATATCTATGGATAATCTCCAGTGAGTTAGAAGCCTGTCAAGGTATTGATAACTGATTCCAATTGGGGACCATAGTCTTTTGAACAATAGTGGCACTTGCTACCCTTTTGATAAACGAGGATCCGGCTACGGACGCGGCGAAGGTTCAGCGTTGATCATTCTTAAGCGTCTAGATGATGCTTTGAGTGCAGGTGACTCAGTAAGAGCAATTATTCGCAACACTGCCATCGGACAAGATGGAAGAACTGCCGGAATTACATTCCCAAACCAACACGCCCAAGAGTCTCTGATACGATCGGCTTACAAGGCCATATCATTAAATCCTTGCTTTACTGCATATGTGGAAGCCCATGGAACTGGTACTATCGCTGGAGACATTACCGAAATAAACGCCCTTGGCAGAGTATTTTGCGAGAACAAAGAGCATGGAGAGCCGCTATACGTCGGTTCCGTGAAAGGCACGATTGGCCATCTCGAAAGCGTGAGTGGACTAGCAGGATTAATCAAAGTTATTCTAATGCTAGAGAAGGGGGTTATTCCCGCCACGCCAGGATTTGAGGATCCTAAGGATGGATTGAATCTTCCTAAGTGGAATATCAAGGTAAACTTTTGCTATTTCTCAAAACCCTGTCTGAACGGCCTCTGAATGATTGAATCCAATTGAGTGATTAAATTCAATTGGGCAATTGAAGTCAACTGAATGAATGATTCAGTCTGATTGATCCATAATCCTCCAAAATCCAAAACTAGGTATATTTTCAGATGTATTGGGCTATTCAGATGAACCCAATAATCCAGATTGGCTTGATCATGGAAATGAATCAAAATAGAAGTTGGGCGACTACATTCTAATGAGTCAAAGATTCCACAGTTACCACAGAATTGGCCAGACAATCTTCCACGACGGGCAAGCCTGGTAAATCCCCTTCTTTTATCTCTTGTTTCTAGTTTTTTATTTTTTTATTTTTTTATTGAAAATAAGCTGACTCTGGTGAGAAAGAACTCATTTGGTTATGGCGGTGCAAATGCTCATGCTATCATCGAAGCCGCTTTGGTCGATCATGTCGGAACTAACGGCGTAGTCTCTATCAACTACCATTCAGATCATCGAAGTAGAGCTTTGGGGGGAAATAGGTTGTCTAAAACGCTCATTAATGGATTTTTAAATGGAAAAGTCAACGGAAAATCGGAAAAAGCCACTACCAGGGATCAAGCTTACCAGATTTTTCCACTTGTGGCCAAGACCGAAGGAACTTTGAGGTTAGTAGCTGATGGCTTGAGGAGTTGGGTAGGCAAAAATTCCATTTCAGATCGGTGTGCAGCAGATATAGCCCATACGTTAATACGGAGAAATTCGAACATGCCTTGGCATTCCAGCCTGGTTGTATCCGGAGCTGAGCAACTCATATCCAAGTTAGCACCAAAAGAACTCAGGTTAACACGCGTATCCATGGCCAGCAAGTTGGATGTCTTCTATATTTTCACGGGTCAAGGAACACAATGGCATGGTATGGCCAGAGAACTCAATGATTCTTCAACAGTATTTCATGATTCCTTGAATACCTCAGAGAAAATCTTAAAGTCTCTAGGATCTTCTTGGAGCCTTCTTGAAGAATTGGGTCGAGATGAGAACACCACGAGAATTGATGAAAGTATGATCTCGCAGCCATCAACGACTGCCATTCAAATTGCTTTGGTACAGCTGCTGCGTAGCCTCAATGTCACGCCAGATAGAGTCTTGGGACATTCTAGCGGTGAACTCGCCGCTGCATATGCTGCAGGTATTTTGGATCACGAATCGGTGTTGAAGTTATCATATTACCGTGGTCTTTTAGGAAATTATTGCAAAAGAGTGTTGTGTAAAAATGGGGCAATGCTAGTAGTGGGATTGAGTGGATATGAAATACTGGCTTATATAAAACACATAAAATCTGGCCGCGTGTCCATCGCATGTTTCAATAGCCCTTCTAGTACTACCATTTCAGGTGATGAAGGTGCTATCAACGAATTGAGCGGGATTCTCCAAAGATTTGGTATATCCTCCAAAAAGCTCAGAGTCGACACAGCTTATCACTCTCATCATATGGAAATAGTTGCCGAATGGTACCTGAGAAGTATAGAAGACATCCGATTTTTGGATCCAAGCACTTCAACGATCTTCCATTCTTCGGTAACTGGCAAGAGAAAGCACAGAGGCTTCGACGCTGCCTACTGGACAGAAAATCTCGTATCCAAAGTGCTTTTTACTCAAGCTTTACAAGGTCTATGCGAACAAGTAGAGTCAGATATAGACTCTGAAGCAATTTCTTCCTCGTGTGTAATTCTGGAAATTGGACCATCTAATGCCCTCAACTTTTCCATAAAGCAAACGCTTACATACAAGAAACTAAACTCAGCTCGATACACTTATATGTCTACATTAAAGAAGGGCTGTAACTCACAGCTTACTTTCCTTGAGGCCATATCATACCTTTTTGATAGTGGGTACCCAGCGGATATTGCTAGCGCTAACAGACTAAATCATCTGACCCGTCGATCCCGGGTTTCCCTTTTAGTGAATTTGCCCACATACCCTTGGGACCACTCTGTATCTTATTGGTACGAGTCGCAAGTATGCAAGGAACATCGTTTACGCACTCACCCCTATCATGATCTACTGGGTATTCGAATACCAGGAAGCCCAAATGTCCAACCAAAATGGCGCCACATTCTCAATATCGAAAGTTCACCTTGGCTAAAAGATCATGCCGTTGATGGCAGACTTGTTTTTCCTGGCGCCGGTTATCTAGCTATGGCAATAGAAGCAAAGCGTCAGTTGCTGCTAGAGATTGAGCCTCAAAGAAGTGTTCACAACTACATTATCAAAGATGTTACCTTTTCAAGATTTCTCGAAATTCCTGACCGAAACAAAAGTACTGAAGTCCAATTGAGCCTTAATAGTCCAATCAATGGTCAGAATGGCATTGAAGAATGGCAAGAATTCCGAGTTAGTTCGACACCGAATTCCGGTGTTACCACAGAGAATTGCAAAGGATTAATTAGGATAGAGCTCGCTCACGATACTCCCTCACACGGAGATGCGTCTGATTTGGCTGACTTTAAGCAAGAACAAGAACATGCGGCGAGAGTTGCGGAACAACGTCTGATGGATCTCGAGAATAATATGTATCACAAACTCGACGAGAAGACTTTTTACCAACGACTTGAATCGACCGGAAATTACTGGGGACCAAGTTTTGCAGTAATTACAGACTTCATGCTTGGATATTCTGAAGCTATCGGCGGAATCACTGTACCGAATGTTGCAGAGATGATGCCTGGAGGATTTATACAACCACATGTTATTCACCCTACTACTTTAGATGCTCTCATTCACTCAAGCCTAGTTTTGTCGACGTCTACACAGTCATCTACTTCGGATGTAATGGTTCCTATTTATATACGAGAAGTGGTTATTTCAGCGAATGTCCTGAACAATCCCGGACAGCGACTTTCGTTTATGACTAAGCTGAAATCGGCAACCTCAAGCTCTATCTCATCCGACGTTTCTGCTTTCCAGGGAACATCATCACAAAAGAGATCAAAATGTGTGCAAATTAGGGAAGCCGGATTTCGAAGGACGACTGGGTCAGGATATTGCTCTATAGGTTTTGATCCGTCTTTCTGTTACAACTTAAAGTGGGGATTGGACCTGGATTATTCCCAACCTGAATTGCAATCGAAAGTAGAAAAACACCAGAGTTCTATTGTAACTCCAGATAACAGGACAAAAATTTTGAATGATCAGGCGTGGTACTATATTGATACGTGCCTGGATAGAATCGACGAGAAAGACGTCGAAAGCAAATATGATATGTACTATGAATGGATGGTACAATTTAAAAGCTTGAAGAATATTTCGCCCCCTTTTGAACATTCCAAATTTCCAGTTGAAGACGTTGAGGATCTTGGGGTAGATGCAGAGGCTGTAAGGCGTATAGGTACGAATTTGAAGTCAATTCTATCCGGCAGGATAGATCCGCTACAACTTCTCCTAGAACATGATCTCCTACGACAAATCTATGCAAAAGGTTCGGGGGCACAACAATGCCACCACTATTTAAGTACATATGTCAAGACGCTCACATTCAAGAACCCAAACATGAAAGTTCTAGAAGTCGGCGCAGGTACGGCGTCGGCTACACTACCTCTGTTCGAAGAATTAAGCGAGGATGGGAAGCTTCCTCTCAGACAATATGATTTTACCGATATATCACCATGGTTTTTCGAGAATGCTAGAGTTTTGCTCCAAAGATGGCAAAGTCATCTATGCTTCAAAACATTCGACTTCAGCAAAGACCCTACGGAACAGAAGTTTGAGGCTGGGACGTATGATTTGATTATAGCATACAATGCTATTCATGCTAGCAGAGCCATTGATGAGTCGATAATAAACTTGAGGAAATTACTCAAGACAGGTGGTAGACTGATACTCCTCGAGATTACTAGGCTCGAGCCATTTGTCAATACTATATTTGGTTTGCTTCCAGGCTGGTACATGGGTAAGTAGCACATTCAACCTCCTTTTATCCGGAATGTTTAGCTGATGACATGTTCAGATCGAACGGACGGTAGAAAGGGCGCTCCTGTTTTGTCTACCGAACAATGGAATGTTAGACTTCTGCAGGGAGGATTTAACGGCTGTGAGTTTATCAAGCATGACGGAAACGGGCCAAGCAAGACGATGTCTATGATTGTGTCAAAAGCTATTTCATTGCCCCAAGAAAAGTCAACAATCCGCACCTCATATTTAGTTCACGACAATAGTGGGACTGTCCGAAGTCTTCTGGGACAGAAGCTCCAGAAGCTTTCTTTCCGGTCGTCAACACCGCATTTTGCTTCACAGAACACCGATAAGGAGGCTGTGTATGTGGTAATTGATGATTCTTTTAATAGTTCCCTGCTGAGCTCTTCACCCGAAGTGATTAGCGGTCTATTAAAAGTCATCGCGGAAGCAAGGAATATTTTCTGGATTATTGCACCTAGGTACCCACCGAAGCTTTCTAGGAGAAGTTCTGGGCTTGTCACAGGATTTGCACGAGGAGTTCGCAGTGAGAACCAAGCGATCAACTTTGTCACACTTGATATTCAGGGAGAATCTATTGAATTTGGTGAACTTGAACAGAAGATTAATGAAATATTCAACGCGTCATTTTTTCGAGGAGACTCTTGTGTCGACACAGATTACGTATACAGAGATGGAAAAATTCTCATTCCTCGATTGAAGCCAAGCAGAAAATACCAAATGGCATCACTCTCTGATGTGACCACCCGATCAGTACTCTTTCATCAGACCAAAAAAGTTATCCAACCGCAACGAGGTAGATCAAAATATGATGCTACTGTCCAATTTACCGCAACCAAATTGTCAAAAAGGAAATTGAATCCTGGTGACACTGAGGTCAAGGTAGAAGCATGGAGTGTATCTACAGAAGAGCTCTTGGCTAGTTTTGGCAATTCACAACCAGAATCTGCATATCCCATTGTTGGTGGATTTGCTGGAACTGTGATCGGCGTTGGCCGCCAAGGTTGTTGGAAAGTTGGGGACAAGATATGCGGTTGGTCGAAAGCTGTTTTCGCGAACAGCGTCAGAGTAAACACCGACGACGTGTGTCAGTATCCCAAATCGATGTCTTTAGGTGAGGCTGCATGTATACCGACTACATTTATGATGGCCTTTTATGCTCTAGTCGAGATTGCGGGAATGAGAAAAGGCCAGATCGTCGTAATTAATCATGCGGATTCCCCTGTTGGCCATGCCGCTATTCAGGTTGCGAGATATATCGGAGCAAATATAATAGCGGTTATCACCAAACCAGAACATCGCCGGTCTCTCATCGATAAATATGAATTATCTAACGATACAATCGTCTTTCCGCATGACGTTTCAACGTATAAGTTGGCTATCTTGCGCCTCGCAGGTATTGAGGGCCCGCAAGTTATTCTCCATTCAAGTGCGGAAGAAATAAAATTCGTCGAGGAGAGCATAGCCTCCTTGGCTCGCTTTGGTACCTTTATTAAAATTGGAAGCTCTAATATGCCATCGAGAATATCAACCAGCTCAGATATATTCGGGAGAGGAATCTCTCTCGTTTCGCTAGATCTAGCGGCAATATCGGAGCTACAGCCACAAAGAATGGCGGAGCTCATGAGGCATATTAAATTGATGTTCAAAGAGCATAATTCGCGGCCAATTATACCAGTCCTCACGATGAATATTGGAGATATTGACGGTGCCGTCAATCGTATCGAACAAGAGAAGCTTGCTGGCCGAATTGTTTTAGAAGCCGGTGATAATGCGACGGTGAATCTAGCTCTAATGTCCCCTCCATTAATTTTCAACCACGAGGCCACATATTTCGTGCTTGGGAACTCGACTATATTGACTGTGGATATGTACAAGTTCCTTCTTTCACATGGAGCAAGGAATGTCTTGGTACTTTTCACAGGATCTTGGGAGGAAAAGACCAAAATCGAGAAGTGGCTGGCCCATGAAGAAAGCAATATTAGAATTGTCTCGTCGATTGACGATATTTCGGGTCAGTTACATGATGCTCCTCCTATTAGAGGTATGATATGGACTGAGTTATTTTCGACAGTAAGTTATTACATCCCACAGAAATCTCATAGCAACAATCCGCTGATCGTTAATCAAGGTTCATCCAGCCACCGCAAACGGTACAGCAGCTTATGTTCAGAGAGACTTCAACTATATCGATGCTTTAATGACACATATAAACCCAAATAACCTGGAATTCCTCGTCATAATCTCCAGCTCGTTTGTTTTTCCTAGAGCAAGAAATAGATCCGTCGAATGTGCTATATCTTCTTCCAGACAAGCTGTCTTAGCATCACACTTGAACCCGAGAACGAAGCTCATTCATGTGGATATGGCTAATCTATCACCTATATCCGAAAACTATCATTCCGAACTCGAAGAGTTATCCCTCGGTCGTGGTCCTTATTCACGTAGGGAAATGTTTGAGATTTTGGAGTCTGAAATGAGTTCAACTAATGACAACAGACGCTATTCTCACATCGTCACTGGACTTCGCGAATCCAAATTGACAGGAGCACGCAAGCTTCCGCTGCATTCTCCTTTAATGAAGTATCTACCAGAGATTTGGAAGCAAGAAGAACCTTCTACTAATGCCCCTCTTAACAAATCTACCTCCGAAACGACAAATGACAGCCTGGAAGATACTAAGAACGAAGCACAAGCGCATAGAATTGTGCAGCTAGCAGTACAAAAAAAGATTGCTTCTATGATGGCCGTGAATTATGAACTGATTGATGTGAAAATGGCCATGGAAGACTTTGGCTTGGATTCACTAATTATATTCACGTTCAGGAATTGGATCTTCCAAAATTTTCGTGCTAACTTGGATGTCGGAGCTATTACTAATGCCTTGAGTATTGACGATCTTGCATTTAGGATACTATCGCTTAAAAATCTCCCTAGACAGGAGCAATCTGCTCAACATAAGCACGCTTTTGAACCAACTAACTCATCAAGGTTCCATGCAAAATCTCACACAAATTTGTTACCGAAGCAGCCCCTACCCGCGTTAGAAGACACTCTTCGACACTATGTAAATGCTGCTCGTCCATTCTGCTCCAACGAGGAACTAGAAAGAACTAAGCAGTTAGCAGAAGAGCTCAAAATTGTTGGTGGCCAAGGACAAATATTACAAGCTCGTCTGCTTGAGCGGAAGAACGATCCGACGATCGACAATTGGTTATCAGATATTTATCTAAGTCGAAGATTTCTACGCCAACGCGCATCTTTGGTGGCAACCCAAAGTTACTTTGGCACGCATCCAAATGGTCGCGCTCCTCATACCCAAGCGGAGAGGGCAGCAATTGTTAGTTTGGCCGCTCTTAAGTTCAAGCAATGTTATGAAAGTGAATCTTTACCGAAACGAGAATTATACGGACAATCGATTGATACATATGCATATCGATATCTTTTCAACGTTTGTCGAGAGCCGCATCTGAACGAAGATATTATCCGCGAGTATCCAAATAATAACTACATTGTCGTCTTCAACAATGGTCATGGATATAAAATTAGCCTTACCAAAGATAACGAAGTTATCGCCTTCTCTGATTTAGAAGCAAAGTTTGAGGAGATCATCTATGAACCAATAGAACAGAAATCATGGGTAGGAACTTTGACTGCTGACAACCGGGACGACTGGGCTAAGGTATGTTCCATAGTTTGATCTTTACGTATAAGAACAATCACTTATCAGTCCTAGGCTAGAAATACACTACTAAAATCAAATGAACGCAACAAAGCATCGATAGAAACTATCGAAGCAGCGGCATTCGTCGTTTGTCTCGATAATTCAACACCTGAGACCCCCTCACAACGATTCTCCCAATTTCTCTTCGGGAATGGCTCAAACAGATGGTATGACAAATCACTACAATTTGTTGTCTGCAAGAATGGTGTCTCGGCTTCCATCTGCGAGCATTCAGTATTAGATGGTATAACAATAGAAGAGCTCCATGAATTCATAAACGAGGCAATCATCTCGCACAAACCCTCCGCGGACACAAATGGAAAAATCACTTCTCAGAATCCCGATACGTTGGAAATCCTACCCCTAATAGCTAATCCCATCCTCGAAGCTCGCACACAACACATCCTCCAAAATCTCACACGACAAACCTCCAAATACAAATTCACACATCTAGAAACCCAAAATCTGCATCAAAAATTCCTCTCCGAAAAAGGACTCCCAACACAATCCAGCATCCAGCTCGCAATCCAACTAGCAAACCAGCGCTTCTTCAACCACATCCCCAGCGCCATGGAAACCGTCTCACTCGCACAATTCCGCCACGGACGCGTCGAAGTGCACCACATAATCACACCCCTAATGGCGCAATTCCTAGCAACCAACAAACAAATCCTGAACGTCCATTCGCGAGAATTACTTTACGAAGCCGCGAAGGAGCATGCGAAGTCTCTTACGCGAGCGAGCAAGGGACGAGGATTTAGTCGACACTTGTTAGCTCTCCAATGGATGGTTAAGGAAGGAGAGGAAACGCCTGCGTTTTTTCAGGATGTCGTTTATGCGAGGATGAAACCTGAACGGGCGGTCACGAGTTGTTTTAATACGGGGTGGTTGGAGGGCGGATTCGTGTATCCGTTTCCTGGGAGTATTTTGGTTTATTTTGAGGTTAAGAGGGATTCGTAGGTTATATGTGGTTCTACCGTGTAGGATCTTACCGACTAACTTTCTTTTTAGGGTTTCATTTTCTATCTTCGGTAATGGTGCGGATGTGGAGAGGTTTAGGGAACTTCTTGAGATTGCGGGAGGTCAGATACGGAGTTTGCTTGATGATTATTGAGGAGGTTTCCAATTTTTGAATGTCTGAATCTGAGATAATCTTTGACACAACTAAATCAACAAATTCTCATCTATGCATTACCGTTCTAGTTTATTGGCCCAGCGGAAGAAAGAAATGATTCGGAATAATTACGCTTATGCATGGTATCAAGGAAATTTTGAGAGTGTGTGGTGCTTCACCTCATTAGGTACCGGAGGTAAATAGCCAGACAGTAAAATCTCATATATTACATAAGTATTATTATACAGTTTATACATCTCTCGTAATCCACTGTTCTCTATTTTCTGAACACCCTCTCAACCATCTGATCGGCCGTTCCTCTGTTCTATCCCTCTGAACATATCTAATCCTGAACGTATCTATTTTTCTAGCAATCCTAATAGATTCCCGGGATAATTCTGTACCTAACAATCTCCTTGTACCTCTTCCAATCCTCACCGTACTTTCTTTCACACTTCTCCTCATCCCTCATTTCTCTATGCACCAACAAGACACCAAAGTAAACCACATAGAAATATGTAATGATCATTCCCCAGCCTCTAGCTGTCCCTTGTGTTACTTCCGTATGTACTGCTGGTCCACTATACATAAATGAACCATTGGCGAGAGATTGGCCTGACGTGGGGGCTACCGAGCTGTGATTAATGAGATAACCAGCGATACCGGTAGGAAGACAGTAAGACCAAGCCATGATCCAATCACCAGCATAGTTGATATGACGAGCTACGCCCCACCAGCCCGAAATGAGAAGTTTGGAGCCGGATTTCGTCTCGAGGTATTTAAGGTGTGCGACACGGGGATCTGTCGGGTCGGTCCTGAAGCGGTTCTTTTCGTTGTTGGAACCACGGAAAATGTAATATCCGGTGCCTAGAACAGCGAGGACACCGCTGGTGCCAAGAACGCCGAGAGAAAGGGGGTAAACGGCTAGGTAACGTGCTTGAAGAGAATAGATGAATGGCACCCAGACTAAGTCTCCAAATGATAGCATGAGTCCAAACCCATCAGTGGTAATATCCATGGTGGTGAGGATGGCATTTTCCATCCAATATGAATCAAGCACATATAGTGTTTGGAAGGCTGTAATTAATAAGATACTGTCGGTAACGTATCCGTAAGTCTTGTATTGATGGGCAACAAATGCGTAATCCATCAAAAGCCATCCCATAAGACCTGGTCGTAGCTCGCAAAATTCCTTGATATCGATCTCGCCAAGTAGAGGAAGAGTTACTCTTGGGTTGAGTTCACGTCCAATAAACCAATCGTATAGCATATTTCCGGTATGACCTCCAGCAGCCAATTCGCGGAGCTCGGGATTGCCAGGTTTGACGCTGAAACTGCGGATATATACATAAGTGGCAAGGCCGTAGGAGATGATGATATTGGCTGTAAGAATTTGTAGATAATTGTCGTAGATAAAAGTCCAGACTGGGAAATCTGCACCCTGGGCAATAGTTCCTGCGGCGCATAGAGCGAATGTAAACATTGTAGAGGACCAAGCTGTTTTATGCATTAGCGAACAGCACCCCGACCAATGGCGCGTATATAGCAGAGATACGTACTATTGAACTTGTACTTGAGTTTCCCCCCACTAGCAAGCTCAACACCTAGCTTTTCCTCGCCCGGCAAGATTCTATGCAAGACCATGCTTAGGAAGTAGTATCCTACTACTTTGAGAAATACATCCCAGCTTGACAAGCCCGCAAGTCCATTTTCTGGCCATCCAACCTCTTGTTTTAGACTGTTGATTGTGAGGGTCGAAGGAGAGAGCGAGGAGGGAACTGGACATCCAGAAATATCATTGCAGAGAAACGTCGTCGCGTAGCAGAGAAGAGGAAGTCCGAAGGATATACCAAAAGCTCCTATTCTGCGACAATCAGTAAAGATCAGTGAATCTGCAAGGGATTGTGCTGCTTACGGTCCACCAAATTCATAGCCATGGGGTTCGGCGGCTTTAGAGACTGTAGTAGTCTTCTTGGGAGCCATTTTGTAAACCTGACAATCACGTTCAATCACGTCAATCACTTCACTCACTTCACTCACTATTGGAAGATTGTGAATTTTGTTGAGTGCTGAGGTTTCCCAACTTGAGTATGGTTCATGGAGTAAAATCGGAAATATATACTCGTACCTTAACCTTGGAGCTTCATATAAAACGTAAAAAGAGGTACCAAAAAAGGGTAAATTATCGTGTCATCCGGAAGTGAGAGATCCCGTTCAAATTATCGATCCTTGTCTCGCGTTAACATCTAGCTCACCTTAGATTTTCCTTACATGATGATCGACAGACAAGAAAGCGGTGATGGTCCAAGCGTAGTTCTACTCGGGTATACGAAGTTGGCCTGAGAAGTAGACGCTAAATCATGTGATCTCTAAGCTCAGCGCGTTTTACCCTTGTTTACTTTACTCGTACTCCGTACGCTTGCCGCCTAAATGTCAACAAACCAACCCCAGAACCTTAAACAATGATATGATTTCATAATCCAACCTTGGAATTCCCACTACAACAATATTCATTCTAATCAACCATAAGGCTGAATTTTTCACTTGTTTTTGTGTGATACTTCATTGTTTGCAGATCCATTGCAATTCATTACATTGGAAACGCAATTGTTCGACATACCTCCATGAGATAGTGGTGGTCTATTAGCTATGGCATCTCCTCCGCGTCGCCGATCATCTCGACTTCGTACTCCAGTCAAAGTATGTATAACAAGCACACTTACCTTTATTATCATTGTAACGACCATTGACTTGTCATTTGTTCTAGACACTCCCTAATCCAAATACAAATACACATCTCACATCTCTCGCCGAGGCTGATGAAGCTCCTATTTATCCTTCCCTTCCGGAAGTTTCGTCACCAGTCCAAACGCCTCAAACACCAGCTACTTCCGGCCGTCTTGTCCCACCTCGAGAGGAAATGCATCCATCCATGACACATAAATCTACTACTCAAAAGCCCGACTCAGGACTCCGTCATGGTTTTGTTGACATCAACCCAAAGGGCGATAACCAGCCGTCTGGTGTCCATCAAAAAACCCCCTCGAAAATTGGCATCAGCTCACCAACATTCGATTTTAAATTCGCGCGTCCTTCCCCCCTTCTTGGCCCCGAAGCTCAGCGCATGATGGATGAACTACGTGAAGAGGCACTCCGTATCAAAGCTAAGCTTGCTGCAGAACGAGAAATGGAACGAAAGAACAACCCGGAGGGTAGCTACATGGGAGGCCGAAAGATCGCGCAAGCAAAGGGCAAGGTCAACAGATACAGTGATGTTCATATGGCAGAGTAAGTCTTGTTCAAAAAGCTTTCGATGTTTGAAATTATTTCGATGCCTGAAATGGCTTCAATGACTGAAAAGATCACGGTGTCTGGATTTATTTCAATGTCTGGAATTATTTCAATGCCAGGAATAATTTCATTGTTTGAACAGATTCTGGTGTCTGAAATTATTTCGATATCTGAAATAATTTCAATGTTTAAGAAACCTTCAATATCTGTTTCAAATTTTACTCTGTCGGCCAAAATTTCTGACTTCATATAGGTTCAAAAAGATGGACAGCATCGCCAATCATCCATCCTCTTTCCGTGCTCAACCAGGTCGAATTACTCCTACTACTGCTGCTATCAAGCGCACACGATCTAAAGCTAAGCTGGGTGATAAGAATGTCACTCAAAGTGAAGATTCTTCCCAAGATGCTGATAGTGACCGGCTTGAAAATACTGCACCTGCCAAGCGTGCTCGTCAACGCACGACGGATGATGCCTCATCTCAACGACCAGTGTCCCGTGGCAAGTCTGAAAATATCCCCATGCCTTCTACCCCACGCCACCAGATTTCCAGCTTTCCTGCACACTTGGCAACACCCACACAAGCATCTATGGCTCGTGCCCAAAGTGTCAAACATCCTGCCACTCAAATTCCCAGCCTGTCCAGATCACCATCAAAGTCAAATCTGCAAAATACACCTCGCGTTATGACGAAATCTGCTACGGTGAACAATATCGCCGGATCGATGACAGCACCAAGTAAATCTATGCCCCGAACTCCAAGCAGATTCGATCGCGTTAAGTCTATTCTTAGGCATCCAGGCTCAAGCTTCAGCACAAAGAAGACAGACGAGGCGTCAGCTATACCTTCAGTTGCTAGAAGTCCAAGCAAGTACGACCTTGCGAAGGACCTACCCTCTGTTCCGACAACTCCTATTGGGGTCGGCCGTTCTAAGAGTATGAAGCATGTTGGATTCACTCCTGAGACGAGGAAGCACAACGAAGCTAAGCACAATGAGGCCACTGTTCCACAATCTCCATCTCCAGTAAAGTCTAGCATCCCTCGCTCCACCTCAAAGTCCAATGTCAAAGTTGGTTCTTCAATTGCCCCTCGCAGGCCTCTACTTCAAGAATCATCTATTAAGCGACAAGCAAAAGATGCTGAGATGTCTGGAACTGATACGGTCGAGTATCCTTCTCTTGCTGGTGTTAAACCTCTTCCAGAACCACCTCGTCAAGCTCCTCCTCCACATCTTCCTCCTTCAATTCCTGGTACTTTTACTTTCCGCAGTGACCATACTATCAGCTTCGGTGCTTCTCCAAAGGGATTTGGTCCATCGCCTAGTCAGGCTACTGTCCGCCAAGTTCGGCGCAGTATCTTCCCTGACAGTATGCCTGGCAGCTTTCCTGATGGTAACAAAGAGAACACTGATCCTCCTGTCCGTGAGTCGAGCAAGAAGCCCACTAACCTCTCAGTTATTCCTACAGTTCATCATGGTATGTCCAACAAGAAGCGTAGAAGAGTTGAATCTGATGGCGAGGATGAAGCACGATCACCAAAGAAGCAAAAGGCTCCAGAGGGTGCTATGCTGATGGCTCCGAGACTTCAAGCTGGAAAAAACGTTACTGCTTCGACTCCAAGTCCTGCCAAAAAAAGAGGACTAACTTTTAGCCGACTCAATATGCTTGCACGACCAAAGACCAGGAAATAATTGATTTGGCGATTTTCAGTTGAATGGCAGCTGTCTATTGTTCTATTCTTGTTTATATCTCCATACAACTCATGCATGTTCAGGATTGATTTTAATGGGATTGGAGTATAAGGTTGGCGTCAACCCGAAAATATCACATGTGCTTCAAAGTGGGTGGCTGGACCTACAAGATTACTACATTTGGAAAGAGCTTTGCTTAGGTTATTCTTTCTCGATGAAGGAGTTGTAGGATATCATGATTGATGTGTATTTAAGTCAATACTCCAGATTGCTCTTTTTAGTTAATGACGAATGAATAAAAAGTTACTTATTTAAAGTTTCGTCTCGTACTTGCCTATGAAACAAAAAATCGGCGTGACATCTTCTTCTCACCTTGACTCTCGAAATTCACCTCTTTGATCAACATCGAATATACCTAAACTAGGGGCCGCGTCAATCAGGATGACTGAGACACCATACTGGCACCTTTACACATTCATTTGCTACTCTATTATTTGAATTATCACTAAACACTCTCTTTCACCGTTTCTATCATTCATTCGCTCATTACCCATTGTACACATAAAAACGCAATAGTAAACAAATTCCGGTCTTGTATCTATATTTCTACACTTCTCTTGAACGAATAAACATGACCGGCCGTCAAGGAACTCCTCGTCCACCGACTTCAACCTTCATTGAGCTTCGTCCTCGCACTCGCCATACTACCTCCGTTCCTCCTCTTTCGTTAGCAAGCACTGTATCGGATTCTTTGAAAACAATTGGTTCGCCGAGTGTTTCACCTCCTCATTCTCATACTTCAGACGCTCAAGCTCAAGGTCCACCTCCACCTCCACTTCCGCCACCACCCACCCCCACCAGAGCAAAATCTACAATGACTGCAATACACACAATCCAAAAGTCGTCAGACCCATCTTTTATCTGTACAATCTGCTGGTCTCCACAACATCCACCTTCCAAACCACGCGTTCTTGGTCGTTCATCCAGAATCGTGTGCCATCAGTGTTGGAGAGCTGTGCTGGATTTAAGTATATGTTGGGTTTGTGGGGAGTGTATTGTGAGAGGGGATGAGGTAGTTAGTTTGGGGTGGTGTTTTTGGCATCGTGCATGCTTTGGTTGTTTGCTTTGTGGAGTGAGGTTAGGAGAGGCGTTTTTGAGGGATTGTGAGGGTGTGAGTGAGAAGGGGGTTGGATGTGGAGATGGAAGTGGAAATGAGACTGCACATGGGAGTGCAAGGAAAGGCACGGAATTGGATAAAATTCCCCTTTGTGAATGGTGTGAAACAGAGACTAGGATTAAGGGGTATGGAGAGAAGAAGGTGTTGGAGAGGGGATTGGAAAATGTGACGAAATCTGATGGGGGGTTGACAAGATGTAGATTGGAGAAGTTGGATGAGGATAAGGGGTTAGGTCTAGGTGGGAAGAAGGGTGTTGTGGTGGGATTGGATGGGGAGGAAATGGTGCCTTCTAACCCCTCTTCTTCTTCTAGTATATCACCGATGGACACGATGAAGAAATCAACGGGATCAACCATGATGAATGAAAGGAAGATTAGGAAATTGATAAGGGATTCTTCAACTCCTCAGGTATGTCATTTTTAACTTTATTCCAACTTTAACTGCACGTTTTAACACTACTCTGAAGGAAGAAATTGCACTTCTCAGCGACGCCTCAAATATGGGCGTATCCGAAGATGGAAACGCAGACGACTCAACTCATTCACATAGTGATACCGAACCTGCAAATTTCGGGCAAGGCGAACTATCCAATTCATCTAGCTCATCAAATCTCTCTAGTCCCTGCAGCCCTTCCAATATCTACGTCTCCATCTATGATCCCGCCGGCCGAGCATTCGTTCCTAGTAAAACTAAACCGCTTCCAAAATGGATGACATTGCTTCCCAATAACGTAAATTCCGAACGCGAAGATTCGCATGGTGATTCTTGTGAAAGAATTGTAGGGGCAACGGCGTCGAGAGCTTCACTTCCCGATGCATATGCAGATGGTGCTTCGTCTAGTCACTCGGAGGATTGCCCTGGGGGTCATGGTCCCTCGACATCGTGTCAGACGGAGGAGGAGGGTAAGGAGAGTACGAACAGTGGGATTTCGGGGGATGTGACGCCTAAAGGTATGCTTTTTCCGTTCTACTTGCTGCATGTTCATGCTGTTGTTATCTTTCTTCATGAGAATATCTAACACACCACAGATCAAACCCCTGACAGCCATAGCGCCAAGTCCACCTCTGATAGCACATCAGCCAGCACCCGCAGACCATCTGTATCAACCCTCTCTTCGCTCAATATTCCCAGTCCCCCACAAAGAGCCTCCAAAACCACACGTGCCCGCTCCGTCTCTATCGAAGAAAAACTTCCCCGTCCAAATCAACATCCCGCATCTGCATATCGTCGTGCAAATCGCTCTAGCACTATCGAATCTGCACTTAACAAACCAGGCACTTTCATACAAACAGCAGAATACCCCGATCATCCACCAAAAGACATCTCAGAAAGACCCTTAACACCCTATCCCAAAGAAGATGGTCCATTCCAAGGCAGTCCTTTCAATCCAAACAATACTCACTCTAGAGCACAAGTACCCAATCTCTTGACCTCTTCCCTGAGTGATTTCATCACACCGCGAAAAGGTTCATGTTGTGGTCTTAGTACGAGTTTAGAATCTGCATCGGTGGGTGAGATAAAGAGAAGAGAACGCGGAGAATCGTCTTTTGATTCTACATTTGAGAGTTTTCCAAGACCCGAAATCGGTAAGAGTAATAGTAATTATGGGACAAGTTTGCGCATGAGTCCCACGCTAGGGTTTTTGGATAGGGGCTCGGAGTATTTGGAAAGGTATGTTCCTGGAGTTATTTTGCCGGGTGGGAGTGCGAAGGAGAAGGAGAAGGAGAAGGAGGGGAGAGGGAGGGAGAGGGGTAAAGAGAAGGAGGGGATTGTGGATAGGATTCGGAGGCAGAGGGTTGGGACTGTTAGGTTTGTTTATCTGTTTATTTGTTTGTTCATTTGTTTTGCCTCAAAAAAGTGGCCATTGAGAAAGGGAACTTGGACTCATTGATTGAAGTATTAACTAACACTGACAAAAATAAACAGTTTAGGACAAGTAGCCCAAAACATGAAAGAAAAGGGAAAAAGAACAGAACCTCATAATCAAACAGAATGGAATTGGACAGATCATGAATTGAAAATACAAATTTGGAAGGGAATAATACACAAATGAATAGGAGAAGGAGAGAAATCGAGGAGAAAAAGAAGAAGAGGGGAGAGATGGGAGAAGAGGAGGGGAAGGAGGGAGAAAGGAAAAATTAAAGGGAAGGGTGAAAGAAATATTGAGTTCTGTGGGGTGTGTAAGAGGGATGCTTTGAGAAGAAAATAAATTTGGGATGGAGATTGATAGAGGGGGGATGCGTGATATGGAATGGAAATTGATAATTAATGGGTAGTGCTATGAGCATCGAGTAGGAAATTCATTGAAAAGAGGGAAGCTGTACTTGTACCTATAATACCTATAGTTACAATTATTACATTTCTTCTGTTTGTAATTTCAATATATCTTTCGTGATATGAATGTAACAATACTTGTATATAAATTTTAGAAAATTATTAATGTGATAAGTATAATATAATGAATAAAGAAGGGATGTATAAGTGTTTATATTTTTTTTTTATTCGTTTAAAAGATATACTTTTTGAACGGGGTATATTTCATATTTATATTTTTTTAGTTTTAATAAATACATATTAAATAAATTTAATACTCTACTTTTGGACCACTCCTCTTTCGGATCACTTTTTTATATCAAAAATACCAATTTTTATTTATTAATATTTCAATAATTAATAGATTAAATCAATCAAAATTTTAATTGTAGATTTATTATATGATTATTAATCGATTTTTGAAAATTCCAAGTTTTTAATAATTTTATTAATTGAGAGATTGAAAGTTGAAATTATAATTTTCAATTTATATAAGATTTATATACAAATTTGAAAAGTTTGAAAATCTTAAATAACTTTTCAACAAAAATAATTAAAAATAAATTATAAATTTTTATCCAATTTTTAAATCATAATTAATCAAATTAATCAATTAAATATATTTGTAAAATATATTTTTATTTGAAATAATTTTGAATTATAAAAGATAAAACTTCTTTATTCAATATATAAAATGTTAAAATATTGAATTATAAAATTTTTTATTATTGAATTATTTATTTATAATTGATAAAATCATTTTTTATAAAGTTTATAAAATTTATCTCTAGTTTTATTTTCAAAGGGAATAAATAATATATATAAGATTATCTAAGTATTTGCGTGAGTATCCTTGTTGTACAAACATTGAGACTTGTGAAAGATAGATGATGAAAGTTAGAAGGATTGTTAATTTATAATTACTCGATATAGTTCTGACATCATCTATTTTGTTTATTATAGTAACTTAAGAGTACCTAATTACATATCTTTCCATGGCTAGCCATATCACAAATGCAATCAATCATCTCTTATTCGTTGATCATAAATAAATGGTAAGATTATTGACGAGGGGCATCAATTTTAGGAAATTTGAGCGGATGAGAAAATGTACATTGTTATTGCCACTGGCCATCTTACAATAACGGCATTACTTATTATATCTTTCCTTCCCTTCCCTTAACAAGCATTTCTGAAAAGCCTAGCTAATCACTATGCCATTGAAAAAGTATAAACCGATACAATCTTTAATTAGTATCTCCATTTTCTGACCTGCTAATTGCTAACTATAGGTACATTTTAACTCCATAAGCAATTGTACCCTTTACGGAAAACATCCTATTCGTCAATATCTCATTTTTACCATGATATGACTACGACCAACTGTATGATGACAGATTTTGCAACTCCAGCTATACCTAGTATATCCGATCGATTTCTTTTTTGAATGCATTCAAAGCTCCTTCAAGACCTTCTTCAATTCCTCAACTACAGCATCACCTACTTCGGCAGTCTTATTTGAACCACCAATATCGGCAGTTCTGACACCCTTTTCGATAGTTCTGCGGACGGCCTCTTCGACGGCTTTGGCTTCGACAGGGAGGTTGAGAGAGTATTTAAGCATCATGGCGACGGAGAGAATGGTACCGATGGGGTTTACGATGCCTTTTCCACTGATGTCCGGGGCGGAGCCTAGAAGGGTTGTTAGATATGGAAAGAAAATAGGGGGAAAAGGTAAAATAACAAGAGAAAGCCAAAATGGAACATACCGTGAATTGGCTCGTAAATACCATTACACCTGCTCTTTCCATCCGGCACACCACTCAAACTTGCACTTGGCAAAAGTCCAATACTACCCGGAATCACACTAGCCTCATCACTAATAATATCTCCAAACAAATTACTCGTTACCACAATGCCGTTCAACTTTCTTGGATCCTTCACCATCAACATTGCCGCACTATCAATGAGATGATGTCCAATCTTCAGCTGTGGGAATTCCGCCGCCATAACATCCGTAACGGTTTTACGCCATAACCTTGAAGTCGCAAGAACATTTGCCTTATCTAAACTCCACACGGGTGCTGGTGGATCTTGCGCAAGTGCAAGATTAGCAGCCAATCTAGTCACACGCTCAATCTCCTCTCTGGAATATGGTTCTGTATCCCAAGCCTTTCCATCCCCTTCATCCTCCTTTCTCTCTCCGAAATAAATACCTCCGGTCAATTCTCGCACGATACAGAAATCGACGCCCTCGCAGACCTTTTCTTTCAAAGGAGAGATTTCCGTCAATGTAGGTGATGCAAAATTACAAGGACGGAGGTTTCCATATGTGCCCATTTGTTTGCGGAGAGCGAGGATTCCCTGTTCAGGGCGTACTTTTCCGGTTCCCCATTTGGGACCACCGATTGCGCCGAGGAGAACAGCATCTGCATTTTTGGCAGCTTCCAGAGCTTCGGTTGTGAGGGGTTCACCGTGAGCATCAATTGAGCACTGTATTCAAGAGGGTACCGTAAGTAAATGGATCGGGAGATCTAGGGGCTTAATGACTGGAAATCTTACACCGCCCAAGAGATGTTCTTGGAAATTGAACTTTCCGGCTGATGGTCTATCGCTTTCTACAACTTTCAGGACTTTGATAGCTTCTGCCACAACCTATATGCGAAAATGAATTAGCAGGTTTCCCTCGATGTTCAATTTGTATCTCTTGATGGTGTTATATGCTTAATTTCATGCCCCATATTCTCTCCGCAAACAGCTATTTCATACTCAGAAACCAGTAAACAAGCATAATCTTACCTCAGGACCACAGTGATCACCACCAAATACCACGATATTGTGAGTTGCCATATTTTGCAGTAGTAAATTGTTTTTAATGAATACTCAGCGAACTGAAGTACAATGGGTATTTAAGAAGAGAAAAGATTGAAGTGTGTTGTTCAGGGACGGGAAAAGCTTTGGGGAACAGGAACTTTATTGTATGCCCCGCCCCCACTATGTCCGATTTCGGAATGAAGCTTTATTTGTGCCCGACGTCGGGATTTTACTTTTATACAGCGGATTGAGGTCAGGAACACTATGACTATGATCCCGCTAGCCAGAATTATGATTGATATTGTGAAGTTTAGATCCTCAGCCAAGCAGTTTTGAAGATTCGAATAATCTTACCCATTCTACTCAATTTGAAAATCCAAAGCGACTGATGGGCTACAAACAGGCTCAAGAAATAAAGATGTATCTATGTAATTGGTAAGATCTTACTATTGCTAAGTATCCAGGAATCCTTTCTTAAATCATTTTACATTCATGCATACTGCAATAATCATCCATAACTCCCCTATAGCCTTTCCCTTTCCCCTTTCTTCCCGGTCGTAAATCTTATTTTGCATTAAATCTTCTTGGGAGCCATCCATCGTGACTTTGATTTGTATTGTATATGCTCTTTAATAGGGGGTATCAGTGATGACATAAGGAATATGAAAAAAAGAAAACAAAAACGGACAGGTGTTAAAACAAGTGATTTGGAAAATATTCTCCATTTGTGGTTGTTCCTCTGGCGGAAAAATAGTTTGATGGAAGGAATGAATAAAGCTTTAAATTACCATTCATAGATTTCTCGCGATTTGACAAACTGAGACCTCAAGGAACCAAAAGCTCTGAATCACGGAATGATCTGTAAGATTTATGAGCAAGTGGGGAGGAGGGCAAATTCCTCCTTTCTCTTGCAGACTCTCGCATACGACCATTGCGCATATTTGGTGTTTGAGCACAAAAGGCACAGATGTAGACTTTGGGAAGAGCCCTTCTATCCGGGATATTGATGCAATGCCCATGAAGCCAATTCTCGCAAGATTCGCTGAAAAATGAGTTAGACAATGGAGATTAAAGCAAGATAACAAACTCACCACTGGATCATGAAAGAGTTTCCATCCGGATTATTACAAATACATCGGGTATTACCGCTTCTCGAGCTGGATGGCGTCACCCCATCCGAAGAGTTATTAGACGACGAAGTGTGTTCTACATAGCGACCTGGTCTAGGGGTAGTATCAGAATATAGACGAGGGCGTCTTCCATTCTTCGGTATTTGTTGATTGTTTCGGCGCTCTCTAACAACTTTCCGCAAGGCAGAAGCTGCATCTCCGGCCTTGACCTCATCAAGTACTGTCTCCGCTTCACTCATCTCATCAATACTTGTGTGTTGACCCGAAGATCGACTATAACCGCTTGTACTTGTGCTTGGTCTTCGAAAGTCACTAGAAGAACTGTCTAATAAATCAAATTTGGGTGGTGTCTGCCGTGGTAAATTGAAAGAGTTGTTTCGACTTGGAATGATGATTGGTTCATCATCGGTGGATGAATCATATTCAGAATCATAATTGATGACTTGAGATGATGATCGTCGTAAACTTCGCACCGGCGTATCGTCAATTACAACAGTGGCTCGACCATTACTGCCAACAGCTAGCTTTACATCTCGTCGAAGTTTTGGCAATGTAACTGGAGATTCGGGGATAGAAGAAAGATTTGGATGACGCTGTTGTCTAACAGGTGATAAACGTCCATATTTATAGCGTGGTGGCTCTTATTAAAAAGTCAGCTTGGGTTCCTCGCGTTAGAATATGTTAACTGTACCATTATCACGTTTGTCCCTGCTCTCACTGACACTGCGTCGAAAACCAGGTCTTATAGATCCCTTTACTGGTGAACTGGCAGTTCTTCTGTCTATTCGATATCCAAGACTACTCTCTCTAAAACTTCTAGATCGATGAAGTTCTTCTTGCTCGCGAGTATATTCTCGAACTTGGTGTTGATACGGTTCGAGTTGCTCAGGATATCGTATCGGGCTTGTAGCTGCTCTTGGTGCTGGTAACATCGCATCTTCAAAGTCTCCTTGTGACATATTGCCTGTATTAGGTCTACTGTATACCAGACCAGGATCAACAGCCCCGGGAAAGTTCTCCATGGCTAACGAATTTGAAGTTGCTGTCGCACTACTAAAAGCTAATAATGGAAGAGATGTAGGTAATGCTGAAGTTATTGGTAAAGAAGTTCTTGAGACTATCGATCTATGTCGTTTGCGTGGTTCAGCTTTAGGTTCGCTTGACTTTTGCGGTGATAAATTTATAGACTCTTGAAACATTTGATTGCTTCGTCCCCAATCAATGGAATTGCTTGGCCTATGCCCTTGGTGAAAGATACCCGCTGAATCATTAGAAAAGTCCAAATCCATACCATCTATACTAGTATCCCACATTGCTTTATTACTGGCAAAAAAGGGAGCCGATGCTGGTGCAGACATTGGATATCCAAATGGGTCCATATCTGTTGTTGAGGATTGTGCCATTAGTTGAGGATGATGGTTATTAGAGTTAGAAGACCCAAAGCCATCGCCTTGGACTTGAGCGTCATTTGGCACAGTGAATATTTTCGGGGCTAATTTTCTGACACCTTTACCGGCTGAATGTGGAGGTGTAGCAGTTTGACCACTGAAGGGATCATCCAACCTTTTCTTTGACCTTTGGGGTGTCTTGGAAACATCACTAAATTGTGCTGTGGAAGCAGATTGCGAGGCAGTAGAAGGAATTTGTTTGCTGGAATGTATGGCAGGAGCTATTGCAAGAGCAGAATTGGGTGATAATTGATGCATATGCATTCCCAAATCTCTCATCATATCTCCCTCAACATGAAATTGTCCATTTTGTGTCATGGATGACAATGCTTGTACTGTTGAAGTATCAACAAACGGCCGCTGTCCATTAACAAGACGCCCAGGTGTTGCATTGAACATAGAATAATCTTCTGCAAATTGTGGGGTCCATCCTCCTTGGCTCCCTTCGTAATTTGCTTGCTGCTCCCAACTCATTGCAACTCCTCCCTTTCACCCTGTCGATATGGGTTTTGAGAATCGAGTCTGTCCAACCTCCTTCTATACGGCATACATTCAGACCTTGGTGCTCCAATCCTTTTGCTGAATTTTAACTTTGATCCCGTTTTCCAAGTTCCCCAAAGCTTCATCAATTGGTGAAAGATATTTCCAGATAACAAGACTTTTTCTGCGAGGTGGAGCTCTTTTGGGTTTTGCTTAGCAAATGGAATTCTCCTTGATCTACCCGCAGCCACCACACGCTTCCGAAATGATCGTCTGTCAAACGTTATCGCAGAGGGCAGGCCAAGGTAGTTCGAAAGTGAGGACTCGGTATAGGTGCAGAGCACTATGGGTGTCGAGAATGTTAATAATCTACAGCATGGCAAGGATGTATATCCGTTTGATTTTTCTTGAAGCTGGTTTCACACGTCAGCATAGTTCTAGAGGAGATTCGACAAGGAAATAATAGAAAAGATTCGCACTTACCAGAATAATCGAAAGACAATGGCAAAAATAACAGATGAGTTGGAGAAAGGGTACCAAATTTGATGCAAGAGGTTGAAATTGGGTTGTCTACTCCAGCTACCAGAATAGCGGGGATCGTTCCAGGCAAACTGAAGGTATATCCACTCTCAATCCGTTACAGACTTACAGTAGCTACTTCAGGTGCTTTGAACTCGGTGTTAGGGTCATAGGCAAGAGTGTTGAACCTGTGAAGATTTCCTGTGCTCAAACGAAAGGTACAAGATCATAACGAACGTGATTAGTGATTGTTGTACTGCATTACAAATGATTGACTCTTGGTCTGTCGAGTTGCTGGAGAGATGGTAAGAACAGAAGACCTAGGCGGGGAGATACCAAATGTTGGAGATCTTCAAATGCCTAGAATAGGTCAAATGTAAGTGGAGCAAGCTCTTTTTTTGGCTGAAGATGGCGGTATAGAATTGGATTGTTGCTGGGCCAATTCAACACAAAACTCGAGCAAATTAAAATAGTCTGGATAGTCTGGATAGTCTGAATAGTCTGAAGACGGCTTGAAGTGAAGAGAAAGTTGGCGTAAAATAAATCAAGGAAACTCTTTGACCGAGCGAACGAAGGGGTTTCTTCCCGTTCCTAAGAGATGGCAGGAGGCGTTGAAGCGGATAAGTTTGTGTGCGAAGGATTTGAGCTGAGGGAAGCAAATGAATGGATAAGAATGAAAGATTGTAATGAGGTGAGACGATAAATCAAGTAAATGAGTGACAGTAGAAATTCCGAGATCAATCATATTATATTGGCAATAACTTTTTAAATCATCTTGAGAGCTGTGGAATCTTTTAGATACTGGTGTATGATTGATTGTATGTGTCCCTAGTAGGTAAGCTTAGAGCTTAAGGTTGCCTAGGTAGTAATAAGAATGGTGGTGTTGGTGGTGTTGGTGGTGCTGGTGGTGTCTTAACAAGTGTCAAGTGCCTGAATTGACCTTGTCTTGGCGTATTTAATGCCTGTGCTACAGAGGTAGTCGGGATCCTTGGCCTTTCGATACACTAATAAACCGTGTCATCCATTTTCAACGGCTCTGAATACCCATCCATCCAACCATCTCTGCGAGTAGGAGGTAGTTCATCGTTCCTAATATGCAGGTGTCTAATCTCATACTGAGAGCAGCCAGTTTTCTAAAATACTTGACTACTCGAGAAATGTATGTACCCCAAGAAGAATTTATCTTGGGCCTTCTATCAAGAAAGTCAAAAGGATGTTACATACACAAAGTATTATATTCAACATTATATCGTCTCCCAAGGGCTTCAATTTTGATATAGGAACTGGTCCAACACGCGAAACCCATTTAACCTACGCCATGGAGCCACAGGATAGTTAGTCTTCCAAGAAGATACATCTCGTTCATGAGGTACTAGGTAGTTTCACATGCCATACTATTACTATCATCACCCAGTTCCATCCCTAGAAAAGGGCAATCAGATCATTGGTTCAGAGTCACCGGTAATGTTCCCTACCTACATGCGCCTTCGCCAATCTCAAGCCAACCTCCTTTTCATGATTTCATCTATCCAATGTTCTTTCAAATCTTCCACCCTCTTCTCACAAGTCTCGCTCCCTCTGTCGGATAACAAGCTGAATGGCGCAACACTTGAAGGGTCATTTGCCCTTCACAAGATTCGTCACGATAGACTATTTAGCTTCTCAATACAAAACAATCGCATGGATTTACGTTCAAATCTACATTTTTAGCAGCTTAGCTAGCGCGTGAAGTCATCTTCTCATTGGATTCATTGAACCATACCATCGGCACAACATTGCTCCATTTCCCGATTCGTCCAACTACCACCAACCTCAAATGAATATCGATAGATACCTTAAAACCTAATATACATCATATATGAATATTACCGTCGGGCTAACGTTATTCATTATACCCCAAGCTTTATCCCGCTTTCATCCCATAATATTTGTATACACATCGTCCTCGCCTCTTATCAGATCCACAATCACGACGCATAACCCTCCATATCATATTCCACTCCCTTCCTTGTAAGATAATCATAACCATTTTTCTACTTCTCCCGACGCCCCAAGGAACTATATCCCCTGTACTCTCTACCATTTTCACACGCTTTTGGACCTCTAGCTCCAGTCCTGTTCCTTCCATACCCAGTATTGTATTGCGCCATCTTGCGCAAATACTTCCAGCCTTCTAGCATCAAGTACCTTCTACATCATCCAGTATTCCTACCATCTTAAACCCCTTGTTCCTACCTCTCATATACCCCTTATGATTCCCAGCTCCCACTTATCACCATCTCATCAACTCACATCTCACCCGTCAACAATCCCACATTACTCACTGCATACATCTCCAAACATATAAGCCCACCACCCATCCACCCACCCATTCGTCCATCCATTGACTTCACATACCTATGTTTCGCCAACACCTTATACCCAACATACCAACCCGTGAGCTCTTCGTACGAAAAAGAAGTTTCCCCAATCTTAACTCTCATATCCAACGAACCCTTAACACCCTAACACCCCAAAAAACCCCAACAACGTCCACCCAAACTCCCCATCTAAATATATGCCAGCGCTCCTAAACCTTCATCTTCACCTACACCTTCAAAAACTCTCCAAAGCCCTAATAATATATTATCCACTACCGTTATCTATCAAATTATAATAAAATAAATATAATGAAAATCAAAAAATAATGAAAATTAAAAAAATAATAAAAATTATATATAAATATAAAGATATTGATAAATAATCTCACTCTTTAATCTATTTAATAAAAATATATAATTAAATAAATAAATATATGTATAATCTTATCAATCTATCCATATATCCAATATAATAATCCAATATCAAACATCAAGATCAAAATCACAACTCAACTCAAACCAAATCAACAAATACCAAAAAAAAACAATATCTCATAACAATAATAATTTCATTTTTTTCCCAACTCCTAACTAATTCGTCATCGTCACCGTCATCGCCATCGCCTAGTGCAAAGCACCAATTGCAATCAGATAATAGGAGTCTACTCTACCCTACCCTATCAAGCCTTCGCTATGCTACCTAACCTAACCTTTCCTAACCCTATCTTAACCCATCCTAACCCATCCATCCTATATCCTAACCTAACCTATATAATGCTATAAACCAGCGACCGCAATCCCCAATTCCCACGAAAACATAAAAGCCTTCAAACCAATACCAATACCCAAAAAAAAAAAGACCAATAACTTTCACCTCTTCTTTTTGCGCCTTTGCCTTTGCCTTCCTTCATTGTCCACCCCATCTGAATATGTCATCTGAATCTGTTCCTGCATCTTCTCATCTTCTTCAGATCGATAACCTTTCTCATAAAATCATAACACACGCCTGCCTGCAGATAGATACTCGTCTTCTACTTTATAACAACATGTGCTGTCGATAGGTATAAAAGAAAATCTGTTTCGAGTTTCAAAGTATTCCCTTTCCTTTCCTTTCCATAGTATGTTTATCCTGCATCTGTCAACTTTCCCATATCATCATCACGCTAGCATACCATCGCACTAACAGATCACCGACGCCCACGCCCAAAAACCATAAATGAAAGTGGAATGTTTCAACTTAAATGTGGAGAACGGCATCCAGCTCCGCGTCTCACCACTATACTCCGTGTACAAACAAACATGAAAAATCTCATCTTGTGCTTCGTGGAGTTTTCGTATCTCTCGTTCTTGCAGATAAAGGAAAAAAATAGGCAATCAAATAAAAAAGATATTCTGTCTTCTTGAATGAAAGAAAAATATAACATAAAAGTCTTTCGTAACATACATCAAATCAAATCAAATTAAATCATATAAACATAAACTCGCAGATAAGAAAAAATAGAAGCGTGACAATGATAGGAGGAAAGGACACCGTCCTAAAATCATAATCATATCATACTACTTAAACCATTTGCCGGACTACCTAAAGGAGATTTTCTCTGATACAAAGGCGTGGAAGTAACACTAGGCGTCATTGGTGAAGATTGATGCGGATTCGAGGTAATTGAATCATGACCTTTTGACTTTGCCATATTTGACGCGCCCAATGCACGAGAATGGCTAGATTCGCGTCGGCGTTTTGGTGCATCCTTGATCTTTGGATGAGTATGACACTATTGATTCTTCATATTAGTCTCAAGTTCAATTGAACTAAATGTCAAGGTCGAACATGATTTGAAATGTGCTCAGACTTTAAATGGAAAAAGATGAAACGTACTTTGTAAGCATGTCGAAACCATGTGGTTCCCTTTTTCTTGCTACTAACTAAAGCAACCCATTCATGACAGCTTCCACACAGACCCTCCCATACATCTGGATTTCCGTCCATGCGTCGCGTTTCTTGCGGCTCTTGAAAAGGCTGTCCAGTTGCGGCTGAAATGCCATGGGTGAAACTTTTATCATACTGTGGGTCATAACATATTAGCAAGTGTGTTTTTGGGAAGCAAACTCTTGCCCCGAAAAACATGAGGGAAACGTACCCAAAATGCGCTATTTTTCAGTACTAGCCATCGCCCCGGTTTGCAAATACCACACCACCCTTCTCTCTTGTTTCCATGGCCTCGTACCCATCTTGGGGTATACAAATCTCCGTCAAATCTTAGCTCTTGCTCGTGAGGAATAAGATCAGGATCCGATGGATTCATATCTTCAGGTGGAGGTGCCAATTGTTCTTCATGTAAAGATGCGTAAAGATCAGGAGGGTCACTCAAATCCGAATAATGAGTATGTAAAGAATGTGGATCTGCGTTACTCTGAAGCATGCGGAAAAGACCGTGAGAGAGTAAGGGTGGGGGCGTATCAAATTGATGCGGCTCATGATATGTATGAGAAGGTAGAAGCATGCTATTCCCTTGATAAGTTGGGTTGTTGGCCATCATGAATGGATGCTGTTGCGTCTGTAAATTGACCATATTGAGAGGCAAATGAGGATTATTTATCGTGGGTGAAGAATGTCGGGATGACATGTGAGGTGACATGTGAGGTGGATGAGGTGGTTGAAACGATTCATGACTTTGATGGTAGACAAATGGAGAAGGGCGTCGACTTGGTGTAGGTGCGTATGATCCTGTAGACCATCTCTTGTTTCTATTGCTATCCATATTATAAGGTGCTGAGCGCATACTTGGCCGAGGCGAAGGTGTTGCTCTGCCTCTGCTTTGAGTTCGTACCAATTCTGATCTATTTTGTGGCGTCATTCTAGGAGATGCTACGGGCGATAATTGTGTTGATGACATTAATGAATTCCGGTTTGACGTAGGTGGATAGTCTGAAGTAAAAGAAGGTGCTTCTGATAATGTAGTAGAAAAGTCCTCATATGATGGCATCTCAGAAAGAGCTCCTGTGGTTGATAACGTGAATGATGAACCAGACATCCTTCTCGAACTCCATGGCTGATCGATATTAGATGGATCGGAACCCATTCCAGGTCCACATCTCAAATCCAAAATTGGTACAGCCTCGTCCGTGGTATAAGCCTGGCCCATGTGCATATCTGTATCGAGACCTTGCATTTCCACAACATCATCACAAGATTTCGTGCTCCAATGATCTGTAAAATCAAAGTCAGAAAAAGCTTTACCGCTAACGGAAATAGCATGGTTCTGGTGTGATTCACGTTCCCCTCCTGATGATGGTGAATAGTAATCGTGCTGAACTGCATAGTTTTGCGACAATCCGTCATGCATGGGTTGCATTGGCATCGTCGAAGAATCCCATGCTGGTAAAGAATAGTTGTTTTGCCCTGACATACCATATGAGAACCCAGTCTCATGTATGGTTGCTGGTCGAGGTCTCGTAGTTGGGTTTGGTGGTGTTGTTGTTGTTGACCACATGCCCAATCCAACAGGCTCTCGCTTCATAGATATCTCGCTGGGATTCATGGTAGAAGCTGATGGAAACGATCGTGGCGGACAATCTCTTCTAAACTTATCGTTGGGATTAAAAGCAGAAGAAGATTGTGGATGAAATGAATGGCGGCTAGGGTTAGATGTAAGTAAAGACGCTATCGTGAAGAGGAGTTAATGTTCTTACGATTGCGTTTGAATGGAACCCATGACCGCGGATCAGGTTCAATTAATTATAGTTAATGGCCGATTGACTTAACAGGATCGTCGTCAGCGGTGGATAGTTATGGAAAAGAAAAAGTAATATATAATGATCCACCGATCCGGGGGGTCGGTAAGGTCGATGTATGTCCGGGAAGGATTATAAGGATTTGTATGTAACTTTACCAGATATGATAAGATCCGGGGGATGCGCAACTCTGATATGTATACGTAGGGAATGCGTAAAGTTTCCGGTGGAACGAAATTAAACAGCGATGCCTCACGATGAGGATATGTGGGTATGGTTACTTTGTGCCTGCAGGTAGATAGTGTCGGGCAGCGGAAATGAGTGTGATGAGTTGAGCTATGCACTTAGGAAAAAGTAATATAGAAACAAACTCGTTTGGTGATCGACGTAGCCTGGGTTAGAGTAGATGAGAGCCAGCTCCCAGTATATAGATGAGCAAAAAGCGAAATTAAAAAGACCTTCAAGGAGTGACTGGTCAAATAGAACAGGAAGAGATGCGATTGGGACGAACGCGAAAAAGGTGGAAGAGGGGCAGTGCAGAGATCCATGAGGTATAAGAGAGGAAAATACTTGAAAAGGTCGAGGGACGCCTGTCGTGGTTTGCAGCCCTGCCCGGGATCGGGATGTCGTTGTTGGACCCATGCCAGCGTCGTTCCTGATACAAGCCAAACCTCACAAAACTCGTGTGGTCGAGGTCTGGAAAGGACGCTCTGCCGGAAAGGCTTGGCTTTGCATGGGTAGATGAAGTGGGGGAGAAGAGTGTGGTGGGAAGGACAGATGAGCTGTGCGAATAGTAGCTGAAGTCAGTGTTTGAGTGGGTTAGAGTAGTGAGCAATGAGTTCATTAGATGACTGAGCAAAGTTACACTTGGTTGCAGTATCGAAGTTTGCAGGGCCGGTTGGGTCCAGCGACTGGTCCACTACCGCTGACCCATCATGGAAAGGCAAGGCAATACTCGATGCGAGGAATTGTATATATGTGTTCATCCAGCAAGAGATTATAAGCAGACGGAGGTGGCTTGTCTTGTCTCATACAGACGCCACTACACCTTAAAGGTGCAGTATCCGGGGTAAGGCAGGTAGGCTGAGTGAGTATATGACGATGCCGTGAGTCCCACTTTAGGAAAGTCTCTTTTTCCCCTGAAGGTTGGTAAGAGTTAGAAGCTACCATGGTGATGATGAAAGCGGTGACATTTTCGTGACTGTGATACAAAGGATGTTGTCCTGTTTCCAACCACTTGAGCTTCATGGGCTCACGGACTATCCCAACGGGGTGATGTGGTGATGAATTTGTAACGTCCAGGGTAACTAAATGAGGTCTGTCAACAAGTCCGAGATCAACGGACAACCAATGATAGCCGAAGAGAGTGCCGAACAAGGTATGTGAGTAAATCCAGTTTAAAGTATTTTCGGAAGTGTATGGGTGGGTAGATGTAAAGGTTGGGCAGTTTTAAGTCTCTTTTTGGTAGTGAGTTAGACGATATGATATGATATGTTACCTTGCTATGTTATGTTATGTAGTCTTACTATGGCTCACAGTACGGACTACTTGGCGGCATGTGGTTAGAATGGAGGTAGATTAATTGTGCGGGTAAGGATAAAGAGCGGCATTTTATTTTGGTTAGAAGAAGATCAGGTGCTGTTTGAGGATCTTATCCACACGGGAACAGGGCTACTCCACGATTTAGTTGTACAGCAAAGCATATAATATCAGCCCTAATATGATATAATATATAATACGAGTAGTTTAAATACCAAGGACTGCATCTATGTAGCTGTGAAGAATCCTCAAGGAAGAGATTGGAGCAAAAGTATAAGAGTTAGGGATCATCGTTTGGGCAACCTACGGGAAAAGTTAAGTATATTGATCTGAGGTCTGGAATCTGGAATCTGAAATCTGAAATCACAAAGAGAATAGATATTTCTATATATATTGTATGTATGTATATAAGAGTATTATATACAATATAATAATCTGGCTGGTTGTATAGGATACAAGAGTAAAATAGAAAAGAAAACCATTAATTATCGATAACTAATCATTTCCTAGCTATTTTTAATTTGATACTAGTTTTCAATCAATCATTTTCATATTTCAGCCTCCTTTAACAGCTGAAATCAATTCAAGTATGTCTATTTTAGATTGCTATCAGCACCTAGATATGTACTGAATGTATTTGACAAGTGAAGGGTGATTGATAACTGCCCAAAGCAAAAAAAATGTAAAGATAGAAAGAATTATTATCATTTTCAGAAAGCTAGCTCTTACTTTTTCGCACGAGCGACAAAATAATCGATGCATCTAGCCATCCAGCCAGCCATCCACTCATCTTCCTCGTACTTTGTTTGTATACTCCCATCGGAGTAAGATCTTGCGCGAGAATCGACCAAAAAATATTAAAAATTGGACTGAATCAGTTTCAAACCTTACTATTGTGAAATACAACTGCTGCCGGTTTTTTGCTCGCTTTCCATCATTGTTTATAGCCTCATTACTCCACAAAATGAAGCACCAGAAGCTAAACTTCCAAACTCGCCTCAAAGTAAAATACTCATGCAAGAACATCTTGGCAAGCGACAGGAATCCTATAGCTGGATTCTTTTACCCTTGTTACGAATCCATGTAGCATGCATACTCGGTAGTGTTTGGGACAAGCATCATGAAACTCAATACAGGGGAAGATCCAAGTAGGAGAAGTAAGAGATTCGCACCAATTAACTTATTCAAGTAGACGTCCCGAAAGAACCGATTCCATGAGTATGAGTATATACTAGGTAAGTCTGAGCGTAAAATGAAGCTAAAACTTTCTATAACAACAGGAAGGGGGAGGGAAGGGATACTTTAGATGGAGGGAAAACAATATCATCACATTCTGAAATATGGTATCCATTTAGTTTGTAACAAATGACCGATTTACCCATTTCTTTCTAGTTGATTTCATTCATTGAAACCAAGACTGGCCGGACAACCAACTTATGACTTACTTGATTATATAAAGATCTTTCTTCCTTTCTCCCTCCCCTTCAAATCGGTACCGATTGATGCCGAGAAACCTTGATACCTGTCACATAATAGTCGGCGACCCCCCACCATATATTCCCATTTACATTACTCTCTCCATCCCTCACTCTTGAACCGGGATTCTGGTGATCGATTAAATGTCCGATCCGTCATACTTCAAATAACTGTGGCTTGCCTCAGCAGTCCTTCTCATCCCAGCTCATCGATCACAACTGACAGCACAGGTACAGATGTTCAACTCTATTTCAAATTTATGTCAATTCGGCTGGCCTCACCGTTCCTCGCGGGCATATTTATATATTACCCAGCATCCGATCACTATGATTGACCGCTTCCGTGATGTACAATTCGTACCACGCCATGAGTAGTGAGACTTCAAATTGACATGAGTGAACGCCAACCACCAGAGAAACTAATAGGTAGATGGATATATCATTCATCTTCACAACCGGTTTTCGCTAATTTATGATCTAGCACGTTTCAACATACTTCTTCCCAAAGAGGAAAACTTATCGAAAGCTGTCAAGATGATTTCAAATTATCATCATAATGTCCACTTCGCACTACACACACTAAAGATACTAGGCAAGTAGATATCAATTTCCGGCACTCAAACTCACACACACTTTTCCCAAGTAGGGAGGTACCCATATACTTTCCATCTAACAAGCTTCATCTATTTTCACATCCTAAACATCTAATGACCTTCTTTCCTACAAGCACCACTCACTATAGTTTCACAAACAATTCTCCGCTATGACCTCCTTTTTATCCATCCGAAATCCGATCACCCGCTTCACTCCACTCTATCTCATCCACCCAGTACCTGTTTCGGGACTCAGCTGTTTCGTAGGGCAGGGTAGGGCAGGGCACGGTCAGCAGCTAGCTCTAGCCTCTAGCCTCTAGCCTTTTCCACTCCACCACCGTATCAACCCGTGCAGCGAAATCTTCTAGAATTCTTCAAAATCCTTCTAGCAGATATATTTTCGTACTAAACACCTCACCGATGATGCATCTATCTATTCCAAACGGCTGTACAATTCTGTCATCCCGTCCGCATCTCCGCTAATAGACACCAATACCACGCTATCACTAAAAAAAGTCATTTCCAAATCTACCTCGAACGCTATCAGACGACAACATAGCAATCTCTCTCACCTCTCTCATCTTTCTCAAACCGCAACCAACATCATCTTCACACTTGGCTATCCTCCAAGGCAAGATGAAAATCATCCCATATTCCCACAGCCACAACATCCACACATTATCCCTCTCAATCCAGCTCTCATACTAGGACTCTCCCGTTTTCATCTAACCCATCCATCCATTGCTTCTAGCAGCAAACTCCAATCATGCATCTCAATTTCATTTCCACAATCTCCCTAATCCATAGTTAAGTACTCAAAATTCATGCAGAATGCCATGCCCCTACTGACTCGGCGTTAATCCCCCCCCCACTCCCTCTCTTTTTCTATATTCTCCACTTCAGATTTTATAGATATCCCTATCAATATCATACTCCTAATATGAAGATCATTCCGCCTTATCCACTACTTACCCACGTATTCGTCAATTTCCAAGATCCGAGATACTGGGATACATACTGGGATCGTTTTTCGCCTTACTTGGTGAATAGGACGAGGCGATAAAGGACGAGATGTCGATGACACGGGTATACGCGTCTCTTTACTATTAGGTCATCAAGTCAAGTCATGGTAAGTTATTTGTTTTCTAGTTTGTTGGTCTGTGGTATACATCTACATACAGTGGATATACATAAACATATATAAATTTATACATCTGAATCTAAATCTAAATCTAAATTTTCCCTTCCCGAATCTGGAAATCCCGTCATGATTGATTGACTGATTGACTGATTGTCTAATCATCAACTAAATCAGTAACGTCAAGATTAGAAAATTAAAAAACTAAAAAAGTTCAAAGATAGAAAAGAAAAGAAAAAAAACTTTAATTAATCTTAATCATGTATTCAATCTTTAATTCTTAATTCTTTAATTTTTAATTTTCAATTCCTTGATTTTAATTTCATCAAGAAAAAAAAAAAATTTTAAATTTTTTTTTTTTTTTAAATTCTTCTTTATTTTTATTTTAATTTTTATTCTTTTCTTTTATATAAGAAAAACATTATACAAATGAAAATTTAAAATTTAAATAAATATAACTTTTAAACAAAAATAATTAAAAATAAACTATAAATTTTCTTAAAACAATTTTATAATTAATTAATATATTTAAAAATGTTACTTGATGTTATTCAATAATGAAAAAAATTATTTGATATTTAATTTTATATAAAAAAAGACATAAATTTTGCAAGGATTTTATTATAAAATATTATATTATACAATGAGAAAAGTCTAAAACTCTTATTATAAATATAAAGTATATATAATATTGAAATTAAAATTGAAATTGAAATTGAAATTGAAATTAAAAACAAGATAAATAAATTTAAGTATCAAGGCTTATTTATGTATTTGGTCATTTGTTCAAATATTCATGTGTTATATTCTATAAAATAAGAGTCTGATAAAAGTTAATAAAAGTAAATACTGTATTCAAAAGTAATGTTATCAGGATACTCGTTTATATACAGCATTATTGCCAGTGGCATTACAACTAATGATATTTACCCTTATATAGATCGATAGTTGGAATTCTGTCCAATCAACATCGAGCGAAAACATATCTCCCTTCGTCTGTTTTTTCCCTTGTCTCTAGTCGTAAAGCTGTATTTATCTGTCTACTGCATTGGTCATGCTATCGTACACTATCATACACCATAGATTATATCTCATCACCAAATCAAACCATAAACCCCATCCCATCCCATCCCATCCAATCCCAATCCCTAAAATCCCGAAACCAAAAGTAACCAGCACAGCCAACCCTACTCTACTTTCCACAACCCTATTCTACGCAACCCTACTTCCCATTAATCCTCCTCCAAACCTCCCTCTCCCCCTCACTCAACAAACTCCCCGCACCTCCAACCCACCTCTTCGCACTCTCCCAAATACCCTCCTCCTCACCACCACCGTCACCACCACCACCAACCGCACCAGCGCCTCCCTTCCCCTCCTGCCCCTCATAAATATCCATTGCTCTCCTCTGATCACTACTCATTTCAGCCGCGTACGCATTCTGCACATAACCCGGTGGATGTTCCAGATGTTCCATATGTTCCGAAGTACGTCTCTCACATCCATATCCATATCCATTTCCATATCCCTCCTTATCCTGTTGTGTAAATGGAGCATATGCCTCCCGAACAGAAACCGGTTGAGGATGCATAGTCTTCGCTGCCGTGACCACATCACCAGTCATCGTAGAAGAAAACGGTGTGCGAGTGATACTTGGCGGGGGAATCATCATCTGAGGAGGGTATCCAGAATTATTCTTCTCTATCCCCACTTGCCCCGCACTGGTAAGCTTATTGTGTGGCATCGTAGTAGTCGCATCATTATCAACTGCAGAAGACCCCGCTCTCGGAGGAGGTACAGTTTTCAATTGCAAAGCACATCTATTTTCCGCCAACCCAGTAGTCGGCTTAGGAAAAGCAGCTGGTTGCGGTGCAGGAGGTACGTCGGAATCAGCATTTATCGTGCGCGTTTGCTGTAATTTTGCAGTAGTGACAACTGCAGCTGGGGGCGCGTAACGGTGAGAATTTGAAAGCCCGGTAGGAAGGGGTACTGCAGCTGCGGGATGCGCGCGTGGATACGAGGAGGATGAAGATGATGTGGTGGTGGGGTTATGGTTGCTCAAAGGTTCTGATGTTGATGCAGGTGCGGCTGTTTGAGAGGATGTTGGAGGCCCGGTGGGAGGGACAGAAACACCCGATCGCGCATTTAGTGGTGCATTGTTATATCGCGGTATGCCCGACATCTCTTGCGAATTAAATGGACGTCTGAGATAATGGGGGATATCTATCAGGTTCCTGAAGGACACGCGGAGGCTATCCTTGGGATAGATTTCTGCAGGAATCGGAAGGGTTGATATTGATAGAGATGAGAGGTGAAGGAAAACTGGTTATTGGTAGGTGTATAGTTGTCGTTGTTTTCTAAAGCGGTTGTGATTGGTATTCGTAACTCGGAAATATGTAAGTTTGACAGGTTGGTTTGACAAAGTGGTTCAAGTTGAAGATGTTGTATCTTTTATGTTGTTATTACCAGTACAGTGCTTTGTGTTCTGTGTTTTGGAACGAGAAATGGGTTATGTCGTTTTACCACCTGTCAATAATTTATTCCGACGGGTATTCAATTTAGTACAGCACGGAGGTTGTTACCCATAAACTGTCGTGATTTTTGATTAAGTAGGTAGTAAGTAAGAAGTAAGGGAGGTGTCAAGTGTTGACACCAAGAAGTTATAACTTATCAACAGTATCAGAATGAATGTATTCTTAAGACTTATGTATCGTCAGTATGTTGTGAAGTTGATGGATGACGTTCGGAATAGACAAACAGAGGAAGATGATAGATCTAAGATTACAAAATGCCTCGGTCTGTCGAGCCAAGGGGTCGATCAAGGTTGGCCTGATGATCATCTGCTCCAAGGCAAATTTATTGAATATTTTACCCCTTCATCAATTCATTTTCCATGTAAGACCGACGACTACTTTGAGTGACTACTACTTTGAGTGACTACATTGACTAAACTACTCTGTACTTCACCACATCCCGTCCACTTCTAGACTCCATTATCTCGAGCACAGTAGACATAGATACGTATTGCGTCTTACTCTACTCTCAACAGGCCAAGTATACCTACCTACATACACACTTCCACCCATCCTATCGGAAGCACGTATACTTTTCTTCAACCCTATCCACCCACAAACTTCCTTCCTTCCTTCCATTCACTTCCTACATCTTCAAAAAAGCACAAGGCACGAGTCCCAATTCTAACAATTAGATATGACCGATTCATCCATATACCGATAGCAAAACACCATCGGAAGATCCTTTAGAGATCGAAGAATGGACTCTTTCATACCAAACTCTATTTGCATTTCCATTTCTTCCCATTCTCACATCAACCCAGAAATCTAATACCTGTAATTGTACATGTACATATAATCCGCCTGTGTCGTGTATCACAAGAAACAAGAAACGGGCAATACCACGGTGATCAATCAAAGTCAATCAATCAGTCAACCAAATAAATAAATAAAAAATAAAAGATAAAAAATAAAAAATACAATAAAACAAAATCACATTATCAATCTCAAGCTCATAAGAAGAAAAAATCTCCTATGTTCCGTTCCGAGAACTTTGTCTAACCTTAACCCAGATACTCGAATTTTGTTGATCATTCCGATTCCGAAGGTTTAGGAAAGTTTTCGGTGCTCCTAGGATCTTTCTATTTAAATTTAACCCTAACCAACCTACCTACCTAGGTAGTACTTACTACGTACAGAACATGTGATCTCTTGATTGATTGGAACGAAGCGTTGTTGAGATGCTCTGTTCAACCAAAGGTTGTTCTGAAGATTGAGGTATATATCTTTTAATGCTACTGAGTTTCTGACGATAGAGGTAGCTTTGCGGTTTGCGCCGGCAATCAAACCAAGGTAATGAGAGAAGAAAGCTAGACTTACTCCGAGCAATAGATTCAAGGACAAAGAAATGGATGAAAGCCTTCAAAGGAGGTCAAAATTTTGGTGTATATACACAAGTAATCTGTTTTCATTTCTTTAAACCTTTGACATCGAAGTGAAGTAAATCTCACAAACCCAACCTCACAATTAAACCCTTACAACCTCGCATCTTAAAACGAACATAACAACTCTCAAATGACTCTCGAGGACTTCATAAATATGGCTGTAGCTGCAATTTGGGACTTCAAGGCCTTTTTATCCTCCTTGATAGACAAATTCAAGGGCCCTGTCGATACATACAGTCGGGAAGACGAGATTGCCTATAACGATCCAAATGCATGCGCACTGCATGGCTACTTCCTTGAATGGCGCACATGCATACACTGCGATATCATCGTGCAGAACGGTCGAAATTCAGTAGCAAGTTTCGTGGACCTCGGCCCCGAAGTTAGCGGAGCCTTTCATCCAAATTACGCAAACAAGGGGCTCAAGAACCGGCCGACCCTACAGCAGAAAACTGAGCCTGATCAACATCGTCCTAAAGCCCCAGTTATCTCCAACGCCTATGCCTCCGAGGACGATTCATATGATTCCACCACATCTGACGGTCGCAACGATCACTCTGAGCGGTCTGTATTAATTCAAAACGATGACACGTTTTCTGACGAGGAGTCAATGGCAGAGCTTCGTTGGAGACGCAATCGTCTGCAGAAAAAGGCGAGCAATAAGACAAGGACCAGGATAGGTGATTATGAGGATGACATGGAGCATCTTTCACTTCCTAACGAATTACCTTCGACTTATCGATATGAGAAACTTAGACGAGCTGCGAACGTAAACCGCTGCGCCAATGGTCGACATGTCAGCTTTGCAGCATAGGCTCGAGCAAGGCATACCAATCGAGGTGTTGATAGAGGGCTGGATTGACGGGCGTTGGGAGTAGAGTCCAGAATATCTGCGATTATTTTTTGGTCAATAGTAACAGTGGCCCTAACAATCTACAAGAACTTTAAACTCCAAGTGGGATCTAATGAAACGTATCTGAAGTGAAGATAATGATGTTGAAAACCAAGGTAGTGAGCTCATCGATACTTTGGAGCTGTTATGACTTCGCGGTAGATTCCAGTTCCAACTCCGATAACTAGAAGTACCGCATTAAATATTGCCATCATGTAAAATGGAGCACCCGTGGAAAGATTATCGAAAAGGTAACCGCCAACTTTTGTGAGTAGTAAAATCGCGGCACCCCCTGATAAAGAGTAGACACCAGCGATAGATCCTTTAAGGTGATTCCGTGATGAGGTCTTACGTATTGATGGAGATGAAATGAGTGGTGTTCTTTCAGCTGTGGTATCGCGCAAGTCTGAATTCGCATCGCTTGCTGTTTCTTGAAGCTGAGAAGATAAATTGTAACCACCTTCATCACCAAGAACACCTCTTCCTAGTAAACCAAGACTACAGACAATCTATTCAAGATATTAGCTTGGAGCATAACTGCATCCTGATGCGAAAGCCCATGTATAATCGCTTGGAAGTCTAAAGACTGGAAAAGATTTGCATGAAGGGACTTACAGCTCCTATCTGACTGATGCCAATCAAAGCGACCAGAAGAAACACTATAGGACTTCCTCCTCTACCATTAATATCTTGTGGTTCAGGGCTATTAAGCTGGGCAAAACCTATATATCCAATTATACCAAAAACGCTCGCGGTGAGAAGTGGTACGTTGAAACGACGGTAGCGATCTGAGAAATAACCAAATAGCGGAGCACAAAGCAAAGCGATTAGTTGGGATGCTCCGGTCAATTCGGCCGCAAGAACGTAGGCCCTACGACATTCTTTCTTAAGTTCAGGTGATGGATCGTTCGGAGATCCTTGGCAAAACCCATGGCCAATGAAATATGAGTTAATATAAAGTGGAATAAAAAGCGATATCCCAACAGATGATGCACGTGCGACAAATCCTCCCAGATATCCAAGACCAATTTGTGCATCTTGAAATCCTAGGATCGTTGAGTCTGAGATTAGTTTCCAGTACGGCTGAAACTTCTCCGTATCTTCTCGTCCTCCATGAGAGTGATCCCCATCCACAGTATCTTTAACAATTGGTCTACCGAGAAGTAGGCGCCACCCTTTACCTTCCTCGCCTGCCAAGCCCCGAAGACCAAAAAAGCAGAAGCAAGACACCATAAGTGATACAGATCCAACCACGTAGAAACTATCGGCCACCGCCTGGCCTTGAGAAACCCCTTCCACCCGTGAAAATTGCGCTGGCAATGGCAAGAATGCTATTAGTGCCACGAGTGCCCCGCAGCCTGTAAATACACCGACCAAGCCGGCTAACCGCGGGGGGCTCGATCCATTTTGCTTCGTGGCTTTTGAATAGTCGCCAGGGGGATTCCCACGTCTATCATTATAATTGGTAGGTGTTATGGTGATCTCGGAATCTATCGAATCAGTCGCAATGCTATGGCGGACGTTTTCCGGCAACGCTGATCTCGAAATAGGGGCACTGTCCGAATCATCGGCCTCTCGGGCTGTCATCGAAGGTAGGATTGCGGTCACCATGGTCGCACTTCAATTTCGGTTAGCATGCGCCTATGATGTCGCTCGGAATAGACTCACGTAGCAGCTCCCCCCACAGAGAAGAACAACCTCGCAAGCAAGAGCTGTGGGAATACATTCTTTGCTTGCACGAATAAGATCAACGCAAGACCAACAATAAGATACCCTAGGACGCAAACCACCCGAACACCGAGTCTGTCGCTGAGGATTCCCCACGCGGGACAAGCTAGCAAAGCAACGACTTCATCCACAAACCCCTAACCAATTCGTAAGTATTTTCAATTCTTAAAGATAATTGACAATCAGGGGGTCGTACGAGAGTTCCCACCAAATCCCCCACGCCTTCTTTTACTCCAATAAGATCAGTTATGACGAATGATACGCTGCTATTGAGGAATACCAAAAAGGAGATGGAAAAGAGACACACGGCCAAGAGATAGGTCACTGCTTGCAGATCTGTTGTCCTTGAAGCAAACGGGAGATATCTTGATAGTGGCATATTTTCCCCGAATCGTGTATATACCGGGTAAACCGGAAAATTATCAATAACAGCTGGTTATCATTACCTGATAATTGAAAGAGGAATGTGAGCCCTGTTCAAAATCCAGATAAGACGAATTGCAGATTGCAGGAAGTTATCAAAATAGCTATATGAGTCTAGGTGGGTAGTGTAAGCAGTTGAGCAAGTATGAAGTTGCAATTGGAAGGTAACGCCCGTGCATCATCCGCAAGATCTTATTACTCCGTAGTATATCTTTTCCGCATCATTGAATCACTTTGCCATAGAATCCTCTCGGATGGCTTATGTAATGCATAATATCCAAGCACGCTAATTTTCCAAATCTCACTCACTTCAACGTTCATATGCAATGAGTATAATGTTTTGCTTCTGGTTCATCGCGGAAGTAAAAATCACCACAAAAATCTGACTACCGGCATTTTCATTACTCTACTCAAACAGCCCCTACATACGGTACGGTCCTCCATAATCTACGGAGTATAAATTGGGTGCTAGATGCATGCACCAGGGACTAACAACTCATAAGTACGAACCCCATTTCACACTCAGATACGATTTGTCGATCCTATGTGGCCTCCAAGGCTGATAATGCAAAAGTTCAAAGCTAGTGAACAAAATTCTGCAGCCACTTAAGGTACCACCGCCACACCTCAGATATTTTAAGGGTTCTCCTCCCATGTAATCATTTTATATCATCACATCAGGCAGGACCTTAGCCTTATGATCAAAACCCCTTCACCGTTCTTAGCCGAGCCGAGCTCGAGAACAACAATTTGTCAACCCCGGACCCATTTTGTCACAAAACAAAGCATCCGTTGATGTGACAGTACTTAGATACCTGCCTAGGCTATTCAGACATGTCATCCTTTTTTTTTTTGGTTATTTCTTGACATCATAAGATTACAATAACCTATTCTATGGTCGAAATTCTTTATCCTTGAATCAAGATGGTGTCTGATGACGATGCTTTCCAATAAAGATATCGACGGTTATTTTAGGCCTTTGCAGATTCCCCACTATTGGGAAATATTTTTGCTATCTATCTGCACTCGGCGGAGGTGTGCTCGGGATGCCGAAGAAATGGTGCCCGAAGCCGATTAAAGTCGGAACATCTAAACGGCATGTTTTACGTCCCTTTATGTTTTGACTACTAGCTAAAAGGTACCTTTTTCAAATACCCATTTTTCAGGGAAGTAAAGCCCAAGAATCCAAAATGGTGCCAAACGACCGGGATGAATTCGAATGAGGGTCCGTTGCATCTTAGGTATCACATATGGAATTACATGGATTTAAGTCAAGAATATCAGTTCCTCCCTCCCACCCTTGTTTTCGATCCTGCGTATGCCTAATGCGTATGATCATCAAATGATTGCACGTTATGCTGCATTGCTGCAACGATGAATAAGTGGACGGACCATGACATTATACGAAATCACCCACCTCCTGCAATAGGTACGCATTATGCTTTCATGTTTTTTGGACACCGCTCTCTTACCCTACTTCTCTTTCCTTCCACACTCTTTTCCATAATCTATCATGCAGCTGCAGCTGCAGTGTTGCATAAACATGGCCGCGTGATCCATGGGCTGTTGGGCCGCAAATCATAAATTCCTATGTAGACAGCTGGTAAAGGAAGGAAGGACTTGGGCCGGGTCGTCGTACAGATGAAAAATGGTAAGGTAGCAGGATGGTGGCAGGCATGAGTTCATGGCCAGCAAGCATCAGAATAGAAAAAACACCTTCCGTAAAGGAAATACAGTGATTACTCTTACCTGCAGTTCTCGTACCTTAATATCGCTATGACACGAATAGATGGTTTGATGTGATGTGATTTGATTTGATTTGACCCTCCAAAAAATCATCCCACCATCTGATGGAAAGCTGAAAATGGACAAGTGAAGTTATTGATGTGTTTTGACATGATTGAAAGATGGAAAATTCATAGAATTATTTACATTTATTGATCTTAGGGATTTGAAAGTACCACCAGTACCTAGGATGTTTCTCACATTCTATGGTATGGCGAGATGGATTATCAGCTGATGAGAATGAGTACGAAAACGTTTCAATAAATCAGACCCGGTTGGCTACCGCTTTATGCGGAGATCTAGATGTCACGGCTTCGTGCTCTCCTTCATTGAATCTCAAGGTCGCGCCATGAATGGAAAGCGGATCGAATGGAATTCTGTACTGCTGCCCAGTTGACGAGAACCTGGCTACGACTCGCACAATGAGGAAGTTGTATATTAAAACTATGAATTTAGTTGCACGGTACGACCATAAGTATATCTCTGTACCAGGTTTTCGCAGAATACAAATTAACCGACTGTTACTACCGCCCCGATATGTGCGATATGGCATGATGGACAAGATTCACGAAATGGAACATCTCGGCAACCTACCTATCTCGCACCTATGTTCTTTTTGGACATTTTCGATGTATCGCATGGTTCCTGCACTCGATCTAGGGATATTGCATCACCTCATAAAGCATCATTTGGAGGTCATTGGGGAAAAGAAAAGGTCCCGAGAGGATACAGAGAATACAAAAACCAAGGGACTACGGATCTATACAGTTTCGATTGGGGGCGTAAAAATCCCAATGATGGGTTTCGCACTTGAGTAACGTGAAGAGAAAAAATGATCAATCACATCTTACGATCTCTAGGCGTTTGCACAATCCGACAGCCTCTAAAAGCTGCACAGCAAAGGTATGCCACTGACTACATACATGCATTGTGGAAAACCTCCTAATAGGTTCTAAGGTTAACGCTCTCACACCCCGCTCCCCCTCCTTTCAGAGTTACAATTGCGACTGGATGGAGCTTCCCCCGTCGTCCTAGCCTCTTTTGCCTTTCGCATGGCTGCTAATAACAGGAAATAGAAAAAGTCAAATGGAATCGTATCATTTGAGATCCAATGAGATCAAATCAAATGAAATCAAATGAAATCACATTGAACCCAACTGGCTAGTTTAGTTGTTGTCGGCCGCTTGCCCTCCCTGCCTGCGTTCATCGGGCAATTGACTGAATAATGAAAATAAAGTAAAGTAAAAGAAAAGAAAAGAAAGGAAGAGAAAAGTAGCCAAAATAAAATTAAATAAAAATTAAATAAAAATTAAATAAAAATTAAATAGTCCCACAGTCACCGCACGTACTCAATCATGAATCATATCATGCACGCAAGCAAGCAAGCAAGGTACGTACTATGTAGGTCTAGAAGTTTTGGTTGGTCGGTATCGGGAAGTGGAGAACATGTTGATAGTAATGATACGGTACCGTACCGTAACGGATCCAGGATAAAATAGATCAGGGATAAAATATGGAAAACTTCGGCTTTTGATCCCAAATCCCACTCCTAATCCTGCTCCAAATCCCAATCTAATTCCCAATCTTCAATCTTCAATCTCCTCAATCTCTTCAATCATATTGATATCGTGACCACATCGAATCACAAATCTTTCTATTCCTGACAAAGAAAGCAGGTCACCCTTCGGAGATCTTCATATCCATAACAACAACAAGACAATATTTCCTTTCCCCGGCTCATTCTAAGCAATTGATATGGTAGGCATCCCATTGGAGACCGGCTATGGGCTCCCGGCTGCATATGTGGCCGGGCGGTCGTGCCTCCTCAGATTTACGTGCCTCAAAGATATGCCCATTTGTGCCATCGCCCATATCCCCGGATCATATGTCTCTGATGGAGAATATGAGCTTTACCCGGCTATGGTCAAGGGAGTAAGTGCGGTGAGCGGTCACATAGCAGCGCATCAAAATCTAACACTCCGATGAGACTTTGATTGACACGTCTTCTTGGCTCGAGCTTGTTCCTTTGCTGCCAGACATTCTTTCTTGACATTTTCTGGCTCATGCTAATATGCTGATGCTAATGCTCTCATGCTCATGCTAATGCTCTCATGCTCATGCTAATATGCTCATGCTCATGCTCATGCTTTCATATCATACCACTCGATCGGGTCAATTCATACAGCACACATTCCTTTCCCCTCCTCCCTTTTTCAATCATTTATAACGAAATATTTTTCAATATACTTTCATACTAACCACATTGGTGAACAGCTAGTCATGCCATCTTCTAGCATTCCTCTAGTCTTTCATCTAGCTAATAACTAATACGTCCGTTGAAAGTTTAACGTCACTTTTTCATCCGAATTTAGCGTCAGAACAATGCCTTCATCGGTCCACCCCCACCAATGTAAAGCAAAACCTCATCTCTCGCGCCCTGTTGTCCGTCGAAAAGCAAGGATTTCATGCTTTTTTGATCCAGATCTTTTTCCTATTCTCCAGTGAGGCCAATCGAACCAAGGCAAGTTGCATCTAAGTTTGAATCCACTTTGGTCGATTATCATCCTATCATATCTTTCTTGTTCAACGCATTCACTCTCTCGTACTTCTCACCTCTCACCCAACTTTATACTCTCATCTCCACTCCGGAATCTAGCACTCCCTCGACCCAATCTTGTATGCCCTGGCCCGGTTCCTGTTGACCCATCTAGGTTTCTTCCTTCCCTTCCTTCCGTCATAGTGCTACTACCCGTATGCTGTCTTGACCATATATTAAGTGCCTTTTCCCATCGGGACCTCCGAATCTCCTTTCTATCAAGTACTTCCCAACATTACTTTGCATCCCTCACCGACTTTGATTCCTATATATCAGGACTTAGAACCCATGAACATACCTGTCGTCGACAACATATTCTACTTGTCTACATCTACATCTACCCTTCATCTCATTCCATAGCCCCATACCCTACTCCCTAGATATCATTCATTCATCATGTCGCCAGCTGCCATCGCAGAACCACATAGTGAAGCATATGTCACCACTCCCAAGGTGGTGAGCAATGGGTCTTCATCATATATGAATGGAGGAGCTGTGCAGGGCATGAAGAGAACCACATTCCTGTTTGATCGACATCTCCACAAGGAATTCCCAGTCATTGTAGGAGGAAGTGGAAGTAATCTATACACCAAAGATGGACGAGTCATATTCGATGCCACATCAGGCGCCGCTGTCTCATGTTTAGGACATGGCAACAAGCGAGTCACCAATGCCGTTTACCAGCAAATGGCGTCCGGCATTCCATACCTCGCCTCAGGATTCTTTGGTAACGAGACCGTGGACGATCTTTGCGAAGAACTGATAAATGGCACTGGTCGAAAAATGGCCCGAGTCTACTTGACTGGTTCAGGTAAGCTACACCATCAAGCGTTGATGCGACCCAAGCTAATCAATGTAGGATCCGAGGCTATGGAAGCCACATGCAAATTGGCACGACAGTATTTTTACGAAAAAGATAAATCCACACCACGAGTCAACTTCATTGCTCGAGAAGGTTCATATCATGGCAACACCTTGGGCGCATTAGGCATGTCGGGACACAAAGCGCGCCGCGCCCCTTACACGCCCTTCCTGATGCCCAACGTCCATCACGTGTCATCCTGCAACCCCTACCGGCAACGACTCCCCAACGAATCCGACGCCTCCTTCGTGTCGCGCAAAGCCGCCGAACTCGAAGCAAAATTCCAGGAACTCGGCCCGGAAACCGTCATCGGTTTCTGCGCCGAGCCAATCGTAGGCGCTGCCCTCGGCTGTGTGGCTGCTCTCCCTGGCTACCTCAAAGCCATGCGCGACGTATGCCATCGCCACGGCGCCCTCTTCATCCTCGACGAAGTCATGTGCGGCATGGGTCGCACAGGCACTCTCCACGCATGGCAAGCCGAAAACGTAGCCCCTGATTTACAAACCGTTGGTAAAGGACTAGCCGGTGGATATCAACCGGTGGCCGGTGTTCTGATTTCGCAAAAAGTAGTCAATGTTCTCTACAACGGCACAGGCCAATTTATCCACGGTCAAACATACCAAGGAATGCCCGTGCAAGCTGCCGCAGCTCTAGAAGTCCAACGAATTATCCGCCAACACGACGTCCTCGAAAATGTCCGCACTCAAGGTGCATATCTCGGCAAACTCCTCAAACAACACCTCTCAGACCATCCAAACGTAGGCGATATCCGCGGAAAAGGATTATTCTGGGGTATTGAATTCGTCAAAGATAAGAAAAGTAAAGCGGCCTTCGAACCCAAACTAAGCATTGCGCAAAAGATACACGACCTGGCGATTTCCCGTCCATACAACATGACCATGTATCCCGGGACTGGCACTGTAGACGGCATGTGTGGAGATCACATAATGCTCTCGCCAAATTACCTGGTTACGAAAGAGGATGTCGAATTCATCGTCAGGACTACGGTGGAAGTGATTGAATCTGTTTTTGAAAATCTGTAGCGCGCAATTGGATATTTATATTTACGTTTTTTGGCTTCCGCCTTTTGGTTTGGCTTCGGGCTTCGGGGTTTGGGGTTTATATCTTATACTATGTTTTGCTGTTTTGAAGTGCCTTGCGAAAGGATGGGATTGAGTACAAGAGGTTGGGTTTGGTTGGGTTGGGATGGAGAATGGAGATTGGAGATTGGAGATTGGGAGAATTGGGAAATTCGGAGTTTTATTTCGGTATTCAGATGGATGGGGATGGATTTCCCAAGTTTTTTTTACTTTTCATCATCGGTTTTTCCAAGCAAGCTTCTGAGCTCTTCTGTGTTGAGCAATATGGGATGTTAGCTTGGCGTGAAGGAGAATCTTCATTATATGGAGCAGATTCTTTCGTTACATTTCTCTATTCTGGAGGCGTTTGTTGCATCATCGATAAAGATATATATGCCTGGAACTGCTTTCTACCTGTATCCTGGATCTTATCTACAGAAACAAAAAGCCAAATATATTGAAAATGATTATTCTTATGATTTGTGTACATTTTCTTTGTTCTCGTCTCACAACAAATTGTGATGTCTGAAATGAGTGAGATGCAGTACCTTGCAGATGTTATCTGCACCATGATTATCCCGTGTAGTATACCTTGTCCGACTTCCCTGAATGCCGATCGGTAGTGGTATCGAAACTCCTTTTGCCCTAAGTGCCGTGAGATTGGAATACTTTCCCATTCGTCCGATTGTCCATGACGCCCATGTCCCACATGTGTATTTTCCGGAACTCCATGCGTATCCAGTCCTTGAATGACCCATAACCCTAACATCTTGATTCCAGGGGGAAACCGCACCTGAAGCTCTTCTCCAATCTACTCCTTCCCCTCCATTTCTCAACCCTGTAGCTCAAATCTAAGCCCTGCCTTTCCGCTCTCGCCGGATCCTCCTGACCTGGCCTCGCAATCCCACCCACCAACTCACTGACCTTACAATCACTTCCCCTCACTATCAGCAGTAGTAGCTTCCACAACCATCTTAATATCCTCCCCCAACTCCGGAAACACCTTCTCCATCTCCCCAGCAAGCACATCCCTAAAATCCCCAAAAGCCTGCATCTTCCCCCTCATCAATTGATTATTTTTCCTCGCCAACTCAATAAACTCCCTCGTATAAATATCCGGATTCCTCCCATTATCTACATAATGGATTACATCTCCTGGAATCCATGCGAGGTTTGTGCCTTTTCCCGCTACCCTATCGATTTGGGGATTTCCAGTTGGGGGACCGGCGGGAATAGTGGTGCGAGAAACTGTTTGCAGGGAATTTGAGAGTTGCAGGAGCGATTTTTCAAGCGTTTCGCGAGAGGGTCGGCCGGCGTTGTCATAGTTGTGCGTTTGTACCATTATTTCGTACAGGTCTTGAATGACATTTTTGATTTGGGCTGTGAGTGTTAGTATAATAAATGTAGAGAAGATGGATTATAGGAACCTACTTGCAACGACATTGTGATCCGCATTATTGACAGGCGCCATTTTTGCAGATGATTTGGTATAGGAAATGGCTTGAGACACTACTGTATGCTTGTGATTGAGAATCCATTGATGGCCATCAAAAGTGATTATATAAGCTTGGAAAGTGTCGAGGTCAGCCTCACTGCAAGGCTACGAGAACTATTTCCTTTAAAGAATCTTTGGTACCGGTCCTTGTAGTCTATAGAAGTACAAACACCGAGTCTATGATTGACGCAAGAAATCTCCGACAGCTTTTTCCGGTGAGCCTTATCCACAGTTCTACTCCCGGTGAGCAGTTTCTCAACTTTTACTCAAGTGACGTGACCTGATGATTCCGCACATAAATCGTTTCATAAAGATCCGACTTTAATCCACTTCGTCCACAATGTGGAAGTTTGGAGAAAATGTTTCTTATCAGGATTCAAAGTATGGCGTTGTTGAGTCGACTCGAGTTGTTATTGCAGAGGATAGTATTCTGTTCCAGGTGAACTAGATTTCAAATTGTATTTTAATATCAGCTCAACGCAAAATTTCCATTAAGCAATCATATGTACATAAACTGGAGTTCGGAATTTATAGAACAAAATTGGAACTTCTTCACATCAGTGGGACGTGATGTTGGTGGTAAAAATAACCTTGGTTTCCAGCTGATATATTCTGCTTTCCTTGTAGATGCAAGATTATATCAATCAAAAGGAGAAATTGTACGCATCATGCTTTGAAGTTAATAAGATATCACACTTTCGCAATGCTCGAGCGGATTTCCAGTGAAAATTTCGCATTATGTAGTACTGTAAAACTTCAGATATTGGGCGTGAAAGTTCGGCTGAATAGGATTCAGCAGTGGCTGGGCGCAAGATGCACCAATGAGCAAAATCAAATTGCTATGATCGTCTTCATCCCTCTTGAAAACCATCTAACTGAACCATGGCTCCTATTAACTTCATATGTCCGACTTTCCTCATCCCTATTGGCTTCCCCCAGACTTCCTGAAACAAACACTGCACACCGTCTGACCCTTCACACCCCCAAAACTAAAACTCCTATACTCAATTTTCCTCAGTACCTCAAACCCGTCTCTCCCCTCCTCCCCCCTCTTCCCAGTGAACCACTCAATCAACTCTTCTTCAATCCAATTACAACTAGTAACAACCGCCACCCCACCGTTCCTCACCAACGCCAGCACTTTCTCCCTATATCCCTCGAAAATCCTCTTGCCATTCGAATCTGTTTCTTCCGACAAACTGATCGCATCGAATGTCCCTTTATCAAGTACTATATCCCATCCGTTTGCCTGTTCCCCGTTGAGTATTTTCGGGGACGGATCTTCTTTCATTATATCCCAAGTAATGAATTCGATTTCATTTCCGTCTTCTGTCCCCTCCTGTTCACTTTCCCGTTTATCCTTCGCAATCCGTTTCGCAAACTCAATAGATCTCTCCGAATAATCCACACCCATCATTCTACCAATCCACTTCGTTGCCCCATCATTTCTCCCTTTCCCCTCTTCTTCTTCCTCTTCCTCTTCACTGTCCTCCTCGCCCTCCCTCAATCTGACCAAAAAATGACCATTCCCCGTCCCCAAATCCAACAAACTGAAATCCTGCCTCTTCCGTCCCTCCCCGAGGCCCAGTAAGTCCTTATCAAAAACCTCTCCATTCAAGAAATCCACAACTTTATCCTCCGCAGATGAATCGTCAAACCATATCGTACCGACATCCGTTGCATCGAGAGCGTGGTTTGAGATTTCGCGGTTATAGAGGTTATCCCAACTATCTATTTCGTTAGGGAATGTGTCATTTGATGTAAGAGAAGATATCAAAGCAAGTAGATGTGCTGAATCATAAGAATGTGAGTGGAGGGATGAAAGATGGCGCAATGGCCATGGAGGGGCAGTATGGAGGGGTACAAAATTTGTAGAACGCGTAAGACGTACTTACTATTCTTTTGTACCAAGAGGTGATGGCTCAAGGTGGGACGGTTTTGATGTTTCTGAGGTCATCTTTACTTACACTTTTCAGTAACAATCTTAATCAGTTTATGGAATTGAAACGTCGTGCAGGAGACAATGGCATCGGGGTATTCAAAATTCGATGGTGGCAGAATAATTTGGACAGGGGCTATTGGTTCACCGCCTGGCTAATTACAGACAGGCTTGAGACTGCCAGTAGGTATCGTGAGATTCAGATATTGAGGATTTTAATATGGATGAGGTGAAATTCAAAAAATCATTAATCGCAGGCAGCACAGTATTCGATATATCGTTCTCGTTTAATTTTTTGGTCTACGGTTTTGTCGCCTACCATCTGCATATCAGGTCGCTTTATGAAAAACGTATTAGAAGGGACAATGCTGGATTTCATGCTCCGATCTAGAATAACAGGAAAACAGCAAGGTCACCATGCTCAGGCTACTGGCTCAAGAAAAGTACGTTTTTCTCCCCATGTGCGACAAGTCTATGAAGTTTCCATTGGCTCACCAGAAATTGAAGCTGCAGCCGTGGTAGCAAAGAACCGAACGTCGACATCATCATCCTTTTGCAACTTTTCCAGATTTGGTAAAATCCTTTCTTGAATCAGTTGCTGGCCTCTAGCCGAAGGCGGTTCCGAGCTACCAGACTTCTCTAATGAATATACGGTGCCGTTGTCTGGGAGCCTCTTGAGGACCGAGATGATCTCAGAATATGATTTGGCAACATTGAAACGGATGTTTGGAATCTCGTCGGCTACCAATTTGTCCATCATGGGTAGAATGGAATTTTGGACAACGTCGAGACTGACGACTTGTGCAAGTGTCTGTGACCAGGGTTAGCACTTGTTTCGCAGGGACAAAGTCCAAAACTTACTGTGATTGCAAAGCATGTGGTCATTCTGTAAAGGTAATTTGGATGCGCTCCCATAGCCATAACCTTTGGAATGATCGCTTCATTTGCCCAGTCTACACCAAAGACTTCGGTGAGCTTTTTCAAGTTCTTTGTTGCTGCGTCACGGATAGAGAAGACTGTATCTCCTAACCAGCCCATGCAGAGAGCAGCCAACTTCTCGTCAAAGAATTGAACTCCGAGTTGACTGGCCAGAAGAGGAATGTACTCAATGATTGCCAATCGAACACGCCATTGCTTATCTTCAGCAAGCTGTACAATAGCAGGGAGAAGGGATTGTGAGAGGAGATCAATGCCGATAACTTGATTCACTAACTCCAATTTGGAGATTATATGTAATCGAACATCTGGGTACTCATCCTTGAGCATTTGTAAAAACATCGGAAGCAGGTGATCGATAGTCCTTATCACAACTTGTAAGTATAAAGATCATAAAGTGAGGGTGTGAAAAACGTACTCTTGCTTGCCGAGAATTGGGGCAAGGCCACTGATTTGTGTTCCAAGAGAAGCCCGAACATGTTGGGATGTATCAGAAACCAAATCTTCGACAGTGGACATGATATCATTTAAGAGGGTGGTGCGGTCGACGAGCTTGCAGAAACCTTTTTTTTTTAAGTGAAACTCTTCAGAGAAACAGAAATGATCAGACATACCAGGAATTTGACCAGCAATTGCCGTTCGTACTTCTGCTTCGCTGTCTTTCAATAACTTTACGAATGCGGGTACAAGATCTCTTGTTACAACCTCATCATCTACTGCTTTTGCAATCTAGAAATTATTAGAATTTACCATTATATCGCAAATTTCAAGTAAAACTAACCTTCTCAAATCTATCAGCCACCATGTATCTCACTCTCCAACTTTTATCTTCGATTAAACTCCTCAAGGCTGTAAGTAGAACTCCATGACTAGATTGTTGCTCCTTCGGTACAACCTCCGCAATGGCAATCAATATCTCTACTGTCAACAAACGTACGCTATCTTGGTCGTCACCGGCAAGGTGTTGAAACAAGGGTATCATTTCTTCCACAACTATTGTAGCAGGCATTTCCTTCACAAATTTTGACAAGTTATTCGCAGACTGTCTTCGGACCATAGGGGTTTCGTCATGGACCAAAAGGCCAAATTGCTGCCTGAGCTGCTCTTGCATCGGAGGTGACGCCTTCTTGTACGGTACATTATATAATCCTGTGGCAGAGATCTTTGAGGTGAACCAGTCGGCCTTTGAGAGTCGAATCGTGAGGGGGATGAAGTACTCTTCGACTTGTTGTGAAGATAGCTCCTCGCATATCTTGTTTAAAGATTCTACAGCCTACTTCAATCAGCACGGCTATAACTTCAGTCCAACGCTATCAACTCACCTTCTCTCGCACCAAAGGCTCCTCGATAGCCGCTAGGTTCTCGAGAGGTGACAGAAGAACGTGGCCATACTCTGGACCGCCAACGTATTCTACAAAATTTCCGAGTTCTTCGCTCAAAGCAGTAAGAACTTCGTCCTCATCTTCGACGGATTCTGCAGAAAATCATCAACCAGTGTATCAAAGTGTAGTTCGATATCGCCCAGCATACCATCTAAAAAGGGAATCAATTCGTCTCTTGTGCGATCTGCTCCTAGCGCAAGGGCAATCGTCGAAAGTCGATGAATGGCATTCAATCTTAAGAGTACATCATCATGCTAGTGAGCGATCAGTACCTGCGCAACAGAGCCTTGTCCTTCGATGGGGATGCGCCTTGATTCACTACCTTTAATTCATCGATGAGAACAGCTATGGGGTAGAGCTCCTCAGTCTTATCTGGGCCGTCCGCCATGATAAAAGTTTTTACAAGTCGTTACGAGGTAAATTCCGAGCTTCAAGAAGGTAGGGCGTTGAACTTGTTAATTTTAGGGTTCCTGGTTGAGAATATTTAGGAGGTTATCGCGTGGTCGTTGGTTGCGGTTGATAGATTGACGGATCTTCGTAATTAATTTCCGGGACTAGAGAAAAGCGGAAGAAGTGAATGAATCTTATGATATAACAAGTCAAACCTGCGACTGCCGATGACATGTCAGTATGGTTTAAAGATACCAAGTCCGCACATGGTGGGGGAAACAACGAAGGACTCTTTGTAAACAGATCTGAGGCCTTGATTTAAATAGCGAAAGGAATTTATTGAAACATACCTGGGGAAAAAACGCACTGCTGCAAAGAGTATGAAATTGATATTCAAAGTGCCAGTGCTGGGCGAATGGTTTAAAATTCAGAAGAGGTTGTTAAATGTAATGTTGGTTGGCAGTGACACAGCTCTCGGTGAGTTGAGAACCATCAATCCTTCCATTGAAATTTAAGCCTCAGGCCTCAATATGCTTCTCGGCCAAGTCAACTTCAATTCACCGACCCCTCTGATACAACCCCACCAATATTTATTATTTCGACTCATCTACTCTACTCATTACTCATAACACTTGACTTAAGAAGCTGTGAAGCAAATATTGAAACCACAACACATCAGTCAAGATGCCTACCATCAGCGTTGACAAAGCTAAGCTCTATGAAGCTCTTGGGCAAGAGTGAGTAAAACAATTTCTGCGCTTTCGTAGCTTGCCAGGCATCATACAGTAGAACTAACTTAAACCTCAGGTACACCACAGAGGAGTTTGAAGAGTTATGCTTCGAGTTTGGAATTGAGTTGGACGAGGACACATCAAATTCAGAACGACCAATAGTCAACGGAAAGCAAGAACCTGCACAGCTTAAAATCGAAATTCCCGCGAATCGATATGACATGCTCTGCTTCGAAGGTATAGCTCTCATGTTAAATGTCTTCAGAGAGAAGACGCCCTTCCCAAACTATAGATTAGTTAAACCTGAGAGTGGAAATTTGGAGACTTTGATAGTTCACCAAGATACTATGAAAGTACGACCATATGTCTCGGCATCAATTCTGCGAAATGTTACCTTCACTCAAGATGGTTATGACTCCTTCATTTCGCTGCAAGACAAACTTCACCAGAATCTTGCTCGGCAGCGCACATTAGTTGCGATTGGTACACATGATATGGATACTGTTAAGGGACCTTTCACCTATGAAGCACTTCCCCCGAAAGACATAATTTTCACGCCTTTGAACCAAAGCAAGGAAATGAACGCGGAGGAACTAATGCAGTTTTATGAGACTGATAAACACTTGGGTAAATACCTACACATTATTCGAGATAAACCAGTATATCCAGTTATTTACGACTCAAATCGCACTGTCATGTCTATGCCTCCAATTATCAACGGAGATCATTCTAAGATCACTTTGAATACCAAGAATGTCTTTATTGAGATGACTGGTACGGACCGCACTAAGTTGGAAATAGTAAATAACATCATCGTTTCTATGTTCTCCCAATACTGCGCGGAACCATTCACGATCGAGCCTGTGGAGATTATCTCCGAGCACAACCAGGAAACACGACAAACTCCTAATCTCAGCCCCCGAGAAACTGAAGCGGAAGTCGACTATATCAATAACTGCTGCGGCCTCTCAGAAACTCCGGAAAAGATCTGCGAGCTTCTCAAGAAGATGTGTTTGTCCGCAAAACCATCCTCAAAGGACAAGAATTTACTGGATGTCTCGGTACCACCCACCCGAGCCGATGTTCTTCACCAATGCGACATCATGGAAGACGTTGCTATTGCTTATGGCTTCAACAACCTCCCACGTACATCTCCCAGCAAAGCCTCCACGATTGCTCAACCCCTCCCAATCAACAAACTTGGCGATATCGTCAGAACCGAAACCGCCATGGCAGGCTGGAGCGAAGTCATGCCTCTAATCCTCTGCTCTCATGACGAGAACTTCGCCTGGCTCAACCGCAAAGATGATGGCACTACAGCTGTTCGTCTCGCTAACCCCAAGACCGCTGAATACCAAGTTGTTCGCACATCTCTTCTTCCGGGTCTCCTTAAAACCATCCGTGAAAACAAGAAACATAGTCTGCCCCTCAAAGTCTTCGAAGTATCCGACGTTGCCTTTAAAGATTTGAGCTTAGAGCGCAAATCCCGAAATGAGCGTCATTTCGCAGCAGCATGGTATGGCAAAACGAGCGGTTTTGAAGCCGTTCACGGTTTGCTTGATCGCATCTTGCTTATGTTGCAAACCGCTTTCCTTACACATGAAGAGGGATTAGAGGGCAAGAAAATGGAATTTTCAATCAAGGAAATTCCAACAAAGCCAGATGGATATTGGATTGAGGAAATCGACGAGCCAACTTTCTTTGCCGGTCATGCCGCTGCGATCTATCTGCGTTTGGGAGGCAAGGAGGTGCGTGTGGGCGAGTTTGGTATCTTGCACCCTACTGTCCTCGATAAATTTGAATTGAGGTAAGTCCATTTTCACCTATATCAATTTGAAAGGCAAACACTAATAAGAGTCCCAGATATCCCGTCAGTACTTTAGAGATTAATCTCGAAGTCTTTTTATAGGACATCACCACATCCATCACATATAGACAAGAAGGCAAGCTAGAATATTTCCAAAAGAAGGCAATGATTTGCGGCTTTGCTTTTGTTATCTAGCTACTAGAATAGCGTGTCTGATGCATGAATAATGAGTAAAAAGTATCAAAAAGCATCAAAAGTCATTAAACATAACTGTTTCGTGTGATTTTCCTCCAAACAAGACTAACACCAAGTGGAGTGATGTGATGCTTATCTACCAGTACGCCCTACTCCTACAATGCCTTGCTAAGACGTACGATTAATGGAAGAAAACGGATGCCTTTTCCTTCATTCCCTTCCATTCCCTTCATCCCTTCAATCCCAACAAAACATATTCCCCAGCTCAGCCCAAACGCCAGCCTGGATCGGCAATCCCCCAATCATACCATCCATTCCGTAACCAACAATCATGTAAAATCATCATTGCATCTCAACCTCCATTTCCTGCGCACTCCCATTCCCATTTCCATTGGCCAGCCCGTTCAAACCTGCCGGAGTGCTTTTACTCGCACTACCCATGCCCACCCCTAAACTGCCCAATCCGCTTGCCTTCGCGATTCCTAATCCTGCGATTCCATCCCTCAAACTTGCAAATGGGTTGCCACTAACACTTGAAATTCCATTTGGGAAAACCTGTCGCGTTGGAGACCCAGCTTCCACACCCGCAAGAACGGTGCGGCTGGGTGGTGCGGCTGGTGGTGAGCTTATACTTACAGATGTGTTAAGTCCATTATTGCTATTTGCATTAAGTGCTAGGTATCTTTCCATGGCAGGATTATGCGGTCCGTTCATTTCCTCATCAGTGCGGTTGAAGACTTGATGCCACCACCTCACATCATCTAAATTAGGGAAGATTAACCGTTCTTTACCTTTGACGTGATCGTCTATTACTCCTCCATCGAAATCCTTATTGGTAAAGTCTGGCTTCTTGGATAGGAAGTATGCCCAAACGCTTTTAGTGCGCTCTTTAACGCGGGCATCTACACGGGACTTCTCATTGTTGTAGAGAAATGTCCCGTATTGACAAGAGTAGAGATGGTATAGGAGTCTGCGGAGGAATCGCTCATTAAATTCAAAGCGGGCGGGATGTTGACGGAGAAGTTGGTAGGTTGCGTCTAAGAATTGATGGAAGACTGGACTAGTTTCTTTGGGTTTAGTGACATCACTTTGAGGGAGTGTGTCTAATATTGGTTTCTTTGGAGATTGATCGGCTGTAACCTCATCTGCATCATCAACAATCTCTTGGCTATGATTGCTCTTGTTGAAGAATCGTTTCGCGCTGAGTAGAGCATTTTCAATAGCATCTCCACGCCCGTCAGTGTTTCCACCCGGTTGTATTGCTGAGCCCGCGAGAGCATCGCTCTGTGTCGTAAACCACTTCTCGTGGTTCAAGAATCCAGACCGGTGTTGGAACATATGTCCAAAGCCTAGCCAATCCTTTTCAACTAATACTATAAAACCTTCTATAGTCCTGTAGTAAGGATCAAGCATCAACTGTGATAAAGCACTCAGCTGACTCGTCCTATCCCAGCCATCCGAACAGTGAATGAGAACATGAGAATGTTGTATGCCAATCTGCCTAGCTATTAGTGCGGCTCCATCAAGAATACCGGTGATGTGTTTTATCCAGCCACTCTTTGCCAATAGCTCTCGATTTGGGGGAAGTGGTGACACATCAGCATCCTTAATGGCATCAATCACTTTCGCCAATGAGTCTCGCATTACGTGAATATTGGCAATATTCAAATACGCTTTTTTAGCAAGTGGATAGTATTCCATATTTTCCGTACCAAAGCCATTTACTTGGTTAGCGTATGCGTTTACTTGAGGTCTTGCATCCACAATCAGATTGTTCTGTTGTGCCCCATACACATGAGGTTTTTCGGTTATAATCTCAATATTTGACGCAGATGCAAGCATTTCATCCTCGTAACGATCTGTCTCTGTCACTTCCCCATTATTTGGTGTGCTAATATCGGCTTGACTGGAATCCGGGCTATTTCTAGATCCCGCTGGAGATACTGAGTCCGCCTCGTCCACAGTTGATGTTGCACAAAAGCATGCACTGACTAATCTCTCATCTTGTATACTGCGGGCTCCTCGCATACCAGTCCTAGGCTGTGAACATCTCGTCAGGGCACAATTATTGATTGGGTGTAAATATGTCAGGACTGGTATTCGTGCCCTTGAACGATGCTGGCCAGCATGTTTGATTGTGATGTCGGAGACAGCTGAAGGAACTGGGAGTAAGGCTGGGTATGTAGGTGAGAAGGCGTAATCATGGTTCATTTTTGACAACCTCCATCCTCTATCGACTCCCTTTTCACTTATCCCCAAACGTTTCCATTCTGCCTTGGGATCATATATATCCCAACCATTTATCTGCTTTTCTGCCCCATGCGCCTTATAACTAAATGCATACAACCTCTCAATGCTCCCCAACTTGCATGTTGCGCTCTTTATACTTTCGAAGGTGTCTCGAGCTTGCTTGTCATCCGCAAAATTAAGAGTATAGAAATTAAAATCTCGACCTCGTAGACGTATAGAAGATGCTTGTCCAGATCCCGGCGGAGTTGGTCGAAATGTACAATGCGCTATCATAGGATATGCTATCCATGACTCCCTCGACCTGGCTTGGGCCGCTGTTCTTTTTTGCGCTGGTGATCCTTGTTGCGATTCTTGTTGCGAAGCTTCCGGCAACGGAGAAAGTGCTTGAACGACAATTAGATGGTGAGCTGTTAAGTGTAGTGTAACGTTTGAAGCTTGTCCCCGAGCTACTACTTGGACATCATCCACCTGCGGAACAATTTCAAGGTTAGCCACCCTTCCATCGTGCGGCGGAACTTCACTGTTTGACGGACCTTTGATATCTTGAGCTTGTCTGCCATTGTGTTTTATGGCTCAGCGCACTCAGTTGCGGAATCAATAATAAATCATTTGGAATCTTGAAAGCCTCTTGTTATTCGATCGTTTGGTTATTTATGCTGAATCCTTAGAGTAGTTGTTTAATTATTTCTGAATAATAATTTTGGCTGTATTTAGGATATTTTATTGTCTTTCGTTGACTGGAATTCCATATCATATGATATCAGTTACAGTTACGTAGCATCCATCCTGGCATTCCAATCAAGCCTGCAGCCGTATTGGCATTATGGAGCCTCAATTTTTGAGCCTTGTGGTTCTACGTGAAGCCTCATATCCAAGGCTGTTCTATTTCAATTCGCTTAAAATCCCACATACGCTAGCAATTCTAAGGAAATTCACAAGATTCAGTTTCGAACTTGCGACCATCGACCACACGACAATACCGACGACGACGTTGAACCTTTTCTTCCACCGGTTCATAATCTCATAAATCAGACAATATGGCTTCCGGTGTTCCAGGTGCCGCTATGTAAGAAATTGCCCTTGCTACAGCTCATCCAACAAAAAGTTCGCGGGGCTAATGATGAATTTCTTGTGTACAGCTCCAAGCGCAGAAAGTTCGTTGCCGATGGTGTTTTCTACGCCGAATTGAACGAGTTCTTCCAACGCGAGTTGGCTGAGGAGGGATACTCCGGTGTCGAAGTCCGTGTTACCCCAACTGTCACCGACATCATCATCCGCGCAACCCACACCCAAGAAGTTCTCGGAGAGCAAGGACGCCGCATTCGCGAACTTACCTCCCTCATCCAAAAGCGCTTCAAGTTCCCCGAGAACAGCGTTTCCCTATACGCCGCCAAAGTCCAAAACCGTGGTCTCTCCGCCGTCGCTCAATGCGAGTCCCTCAGATACAAGCTCCTCAACGGTCTCGCCGTCCGCAGAGCATGCTACGGTGTTCTCAGATTCATCATGGAGTCGGGTGCTAAGGGATGCGAGGTTGTCGTTTCTGGAAAATTACGTGCTGCCCGTGCCAAGTCCATGAAGTTCACTGATGGTTTCATGATCCACTCCGGTCAACCAGCCAAGGACTTCATTGACCACGCTACCCGTCACGTTCTCCTCAAGCAAGGTGTTCTCGGAATCAAGGTCAAGATCATGAGAGGCTCTGACCCAGAAGGAAAGTCTGGACCATCCAAGGGTCTCCCAGATTCCGTCACTATCATCGAGCCAAAGGAGGAGCAAAGTGTGGTTCAACCTATGAGCCAGGATTACGGTGCGAAGGCTGCCGCTGCTCAAGCAGCTGCTGAGGCCGCTCGCTCATCGGAACAGGCTGGTGAAGAGTCTGCTCCAGCTCCTCAAGAGGAATAAATTATGCAATGGTAAAATAGGATGGGCGTTTCCAAATATTTGCATACGGGTCTTGGTTGAAGGGACTTGTATTCATATTTAGCCAACGAATTTTACGGCTCTAAAAAACACTTTAAAATAATGTTACATGATGCTATTAAATGTGATATGAAATGCCTCCACCTCGGATTGCAATCGAAGTGTGCCAAATTAAGCGTGTAGCGCCTCATGAAAGCCCATTCCTTAATTTACCCAGGTATATATCGTACAGATGTCTTTCCTTTCCGTCTCCTTTTGTACAGGATAGCAACCCAAACGCCTGAACCTCATGCAGTCGTACTTTGAAATACGGCCCTAGCCAGCAGACCAGCCTGCCACCAAAATGATATTCTAATGAAAAAAAAAAAGGAAAAGAGCACATGGGGGATTGCAACCCTTGCAATAGCATATGCAGCCTAAGCTTTTCCGCAAAGTAGTCTCGAAACGTGTGTCGTCACATCAAATCAGCTATTATTACTATTATGAAAAAGGTCACCGGGTGGATGATCTGCTCGGCCTCCTCTGTTCTGATGGCTCGCTGATACTCCTTTTACTGCCATGTCCATTGATTTTTCCATTCACAGCTCGCGGCGGTAGTGGATCGTCATCGCTGTCTTCTCCTAGGTCCGCAAGACCAAACCCTGCGTTCTCTTCTTCGTCGTACGCGTGGATCAGCCCTTCTCTGTCTCCTCGACCATACCCATTGCTTCCCATGCTCATCCTGTGTGGATCATTGCTTCGTCGCGCTTGCATACTTCGTCTCGTTGATATGCCAGAAAGAGGGTCAGTCGCAATGCCGTCTGCACCGGACATTATCTTGTTTCCTTCGGGGTCAGTCCTCGAGACGTTCAGTAGGTAGACTCCTGTAAAAATGACGAGAAATCCGCATAGAAGTGAAATCGTGTTGACCGCATCAGAAGTGTTAAAACCGCCATACAAAATAAACGAAGCAGTAAGTGTTGCGGTCGTAAAACAGACGTAGTAAAGTGGGTTTACGCTAGTAGAAGTCAGATTAAATGTACGAACGCAAAAATGGGCATGACTTACATGGAAGTGGGGAACTGGCTCAGCGCCTTATTGAAGTAATTCATCTGTGTCAAAATACAGACTACAGTTACAATAATGAAAACGTAGGTAGAGGGATAGATGAATTGATTTTCACCACCCAATGTCAATTTCACCGCGATACCAAATGCCTTGACTGACATGACTGAGATACCGCCAACGGTTGAACAAATCGACAAATACACGAGCGGATTCTTCTTGCCATATTTTGGGGCGACTCTGTAAATCATAATGACTGCAAAAACTGCAACAAAGAGGCAAAACGAAAGAAATCCTGTAAATATCAGTATCTTCCTGTAAAAGAGAGTGTTGTTTCGGCATACCCGGCTGAATAGCATAGTGAAGAATCTCGTCTATTCTCTTGATCTCCTTGTCCGGAGGCGCGTGGAGGACAATAATGACTGATCCTATCAAGCATATTGCGCAGCCCAATTTCCCCAAGGTACCCAGTTTCTCTTCCAGAAAGTATGACCCTAGCACCGCTCCAATCAAGACACTGAGCGCTCCGAGAGGCGTGACCAGAATCGCTGGGGCGAACGCATACGCTGCAAAATTTGCTATTTCTCCCACAATTACTGTTCACATCCTATTAGCTAATTTCCCCGCGCTGTATGCATATTCACACATACATGCTATTATGCCACCCCACCATATCGGACTCCTCAGATATGTGAACCCGTCTCCCTCGAAGCCGTGTCTTTCTTCGGCATCCATTAGCCCCTAAGGAAGCTGTCAGTAAATTATCGTGGCTGAATTTTAGACGTGAATGTACGAATCGTACCTTTTTAGTGATGACAAAACTTGTGCCTGCAAAGAAGAAGCCATAATATTAGCCTCAATCTGTCTTCCCTCCTATGACTTGTAGACTCATACCTATCGCCATAGTTGAGGTAACGGCTAACGCCAGCCCTATGTATCTTTATCACCAGTCAGTCTCTGCCTGTTGAAAGCACTGGCACAATTCTGCGCGATTGAGCGTCTTCCAGACATTATTGACGTACTTGTCTTCCAACATCCTGACGGCGCAAAGTCGAGTTCCCGCTCCTAATTTTGTTGCAAATTTATCTGGTTCGTTGAGCCTTTGAGCTCACGCTCGACAAAGACGTCGTAACAATATCAAAGTGAGGGAAGCGCAAGGCTGTAAATTTGGCGCAAATTTATACGTCGAGCTTCTGTTAAGCTAATTGTCACCGTGAAGCGTCCTTCGCAAAAAGATTGATTGTGATGTTCGCAGGTAAACGTGGAGGGTCATGAGATAGTTTCACCCCTAGCTTCAGTGATAATTCTGTAGTTCGAATGCCTGTCGACCGAGGCAACAAATAATGAACGATAGTCGACAACGAGTTATTGGATGGATGGATGAGCGGGATCTGAATCTGCGAAAGAATGGATAATTGAGGCCACAGAGTTCTTCTCGGTAGTGTGGGATGATGTTTCAAATCAAGATGTTTCGAGATTTGGAGATTGAAGTTAAAAGTTTGTTCGTGTGTGGGAATATTTGTGACCTAGGAACCGGAAGTGGAAGTGGGAGTGGAAGAGAGATGAAACCGTGAGTTGAGTGTTCGAGCGTTCGAGTGGTTCATAGAACTTTGGCCCTATTCTCTCTTTGGGATAAACTTTGTTGGGTTGGGCTGGCTAGATCTGGTTATTCCGTGATTCCTCTAAATTTAGTACATGTAATGTAATGTGTAACTCCTCCTCCGTAGTGAAGTCACTCATAACAACTACGGAGCCAGGAAAAACCTTAACCAATGAATGGATAATCACATTATATTTCATATTTCTTTTTTCGTGGAGAAGTAATTTTATATTATCATTATCACACATGTATCAACATATTAACATTTCAAGCACAATCGAGAAATGATTTTGACGTTTCCCCTTTTCAAATCCATTATGCCGTATTAAATTACCTATAAACTCTCGACTGTATGGACTGTATGGACTGTATGGACTACTATGGACTCCGAAGTGATCAGTATGAAATGTCTCTTTATTTGTAGCTCAAGAAAAGGTTGAATGGTTGGTTGGTTTTCGTGTCGGTTGGTGTCAAAGAAACGATTCACAGGTACTAAAAGTGTCTTGTAGGGGTCTTTGACGCGCAAGCAACGGGGTCTTTGAGGCTGAGCAAGGAATGCGTGCTCAGCATAAATAACTTCTAGCTCATGATCGAATCGAACTCGTGTTTGTTTACCATTACAAATGGCCAGATTGATTTGTCTATCAGGAAATTATGAGCTCACGGGATCGCCTCGTCGAATCCGGAGCCATCGGAATTGCACGTCGAGCGAGCATCTGGTATCATGAGCTGTTTTATGTAGGCAATGAATGTGTTAGCATTTCAATCCCAAGTGTATGCGTTTAGTTTTGGAAATGAAATACTCAGTGGTACAGCTTCAATAATGACTAATTGCAAAAATAACAACACCATATTGTGGAAATCACGGGTTTTATAGAAACAAGTATGGTTATGATTTTATGTCGAAAACTTTTAGTAACTGCGGACTGATAGCCAAATATCCATTCCCTTTAAGGGCAATAGGCAACCACTGCGAACTACAACATTATTTTCCCATCCATTTGCTGGCCTTGAAGATTGCACGCCCCCAAAACCAAACCATCTTATATCGAAGGGTATCGTGCATATACATATCTTGCAAAGCCAAACTCCATAAAAAGTCCTCGCATATTACCCAAATTCTGGTCTTCTTCGATCACCACATGACCACTAAAGTGCGCTTTATATGCTACGAAACCAGTTGCTAGAATTTGAGTGCAGGATCGGATCGTATCACAGGAACGAAAGGGGATGGATTAGGGGTAACGGGAAAGATTAGAAAGGGTTAATATCATCATACCTATGAAAACCTACCGTAAAGAAAGAGTCGTTTCAAGTCCTTTTTTTCTGAAGTTGTTTGTTCGCGCGTGGCAGGTGTGCCGAATCATCAATTCGTCATTGAGTAATCTATCGTTGAATACTTTATCCGTTAACTACGGAAAAAGCTGGCTTAACAGACTTCGAAGACGTTGAAAAGTTATCATAATCACAACGATAAACAGTGGACAAGTCAAAGTGGAAAACTGTATGAGCCGAATGAGAACTATCATGTCGTGTTAAGATCATGATCGAATTCGCTTAGCTTCTATTCATTATTAGCTTAGTGCCCGATAACTTTGAAAATCCTTTGAAAATACTAACCGTTGGTGATCGACTCGTCACCATCTTCAAAGTCTGTTTCAGCTCTAGGCCTCTTTCCCGAGTTTGAAACTGGTGAATCCTCGGACTTTGGGGTCGGAGATTGAGGGACAATCACTGGTGACGCCGGATCCTCTTCGTCATCATCGTAATCAATTTCGTCTTCTTGATCCTGTCCATTGGCAAGGCCTGGCTTCGTCCCCTGGACTTCAGCGGTAGAAGCATTGCTTATTGTAGCGCTGTCTGTCTCCGCTGCTCTGTCGTCGAACGAAATATTGGTAGTGGTGGCATCCTCGGCCACAGATATGCGCAGTAATTCATTATTGCCAATTTCATCGTCTTGTTGATAATTTTGAAGAAAGTCGGTCTCTTCTTCGTCGCCAACACCTAGATCAAACTCATCCTCGTCGAAGTTGTAATGTTCTCCATTTTCAAGATCAGTGTTGTAGCTAATATCCACGTTATTTACTTCCAGGGTATGGTTCGCTAGATCTAAGCCTTCGCCGTCTCCATTGTCCTCGGTCTCATTGTTAACATCGTGAGGTACTTCCTGGGTAGTATCCGCTAGACCAAGGCCTTCATCATCTGCAGTTTGGTCGATCTCATTGTTGTCGTCGTACAAGGCGTACTCACGGTCCTCGTCATTGGTTGCGTTTATTTTGATCCCATTTTCGGCATTTTCGAGGCCATTTGGTTCCGAGCCCTCTTGTCCCTCGGCATTGAAGCCGTCATCGGCGTTCTCTTCCTCGTAATCAATGTCGCTTTCTACGTCTTGAAAGGTTTCCTCGGGCTGAGCAGTATCATCAGTATGGGTCGTTTCGTCGTCGCCCACTTGGCTCTCCACTCCATTAACAGTATTCTCTTCTTTAAGCGAGACTGAGTTCCGACGAGACTCTTCTTCTGCCGCTCGACATTCAGTTAGAACAAGGTCATTACAGGTGGAACAAAAACAAGTGTCAGGAAGAATGCATGGCAAATTAAAATCGGTGGATCTACCGTTTTGTGGTCTGCTTTCATCGGTCACAGGCAGTTCGGGCTCCAAAGCTCCATCATTCAAGGGCTTTTCGATGTCCTCTTCATCCTCGTAATCAATAAAGTCTCCATCTTCATCAATCTCACTATCAGGTTTCTGGGAAGTGCTAGGCGATTTTCGTACTTCTGCAGGTGCTAACTGCTGATGATCAACCTCTCTTTGCACATCATCCTGCTCCCCTTGTGGGGTTTCAGCACTGACTGAAGTGGCAGAATCGGCATGCTCGGGATGCGGTCGTTCATCATGCGAGCCATGGTTAGAGTTCCCGTCATACACATTCTTGGCTTCAATGGCTTTGTCCTTTTCCTCAAGCTCAGGATCAAACCCGTCGGAAGGAGATTGACTATCATCATGCTCCGTCGGCTCTTCGAACTCGGTTTGATCGTCTTCACTCTCGGCGTCCCAAGTTACAAAATCAAGTAATCCTTTACCCTCAGCAGCCCCATTTGAGAGTGCTAAGAATCTATCATATCCTGTAGGCTGTATGATGAGTCTCAGGTTTAAAGGGGGAATTTCTCCGGTCCCATCATTGTTGACCAGTCTTTCATATAGGCGAATGATTTGGCCCAGGCTCAGGTCATCAGGGTAATTTGTGAGTTGAGACTACCGAGGAATTTAGCCATAGTCAGATGTGATGGTGGGATTTTCTTGTGAATACTGACCTCTTCAATCACTAATTGAAGCTCTTCAATAACTAAACTGATCTTGTCATCTTTTGGTAAATTTTCCTCCATTAGAACTTTACGGATTTCTGAGCAAAACTCATTGAACGGTTTCTCCACTACGGAAGGGTCTTCGAAGAAAAATTCGTTGGGATGATCCGTGGCATACTTCCTGATCAATGGATAACTTCGGTCGTTATATTTGACTACTATTTCACGAGCATGATGTTGATTTTCTAAATCTTTCGAGGAATCGAGTGTAGGGCCATTTGGGTCGCTCGAGCTCTTTTCAGCAGGAGCTGTGTTTAGATCGGAACGTTCTTGTCCTTGATCCTCGGCATTTGTGCTAGTATCGATTGGGGCACTTTCAGTGGGTGCCGTATTCAAGTCGAGATGTTCTTCATCCTCGGCATATACATTGGGATCATTCGCCTTGACAATATACGTCGACTCATCTAAATTGTTCTCGAGACTCTTTCTGTTAGACTCATCGTAATTGTGATTTTGTGGGCTGTTAGATTGTGTATTTTCATCAGTAGGCGAATGAGGAAACGAAGCAGGTGCAAGATCCCGGGTATCCTTGGTATTTAAATTCTTGACACTATCGGCACTACTGCCGACTAAGTCTTCTGAACCATGTACGGTTGCTGCTGTGTCCTGCGCGATTGCAGCTTCATCCAACTCTTGTGCCACTTGAGCATCATCCCAAAATTGATCGGAAACGCCGGCATCCACGACGCTCAACTCTGTAGACTGTACCTCGTTGAAAGAATTACCGGAAGGATTATCGGTCGCGAGTGACAAACCAGCAGGTTCCTGTTCCATGTTATGATCATCCGCTTCCTCCTCCAACAAGTCTGCATCTTCCATATGGTATGATGCATCATCACGGTCATCATCAAGCATCAGATCGTCTGTCTCGACATGTGCGGGTACGTCGGTAATATTTGTGTCGAAGTCTGCATCAGCATCAACATCATCTAGGATATCATCTTCATCGACATGGCCAGTGGTGAGGTCAATATCAATGTCAATGTCTTCCTCGACAATGTTATGCCCATGCTCAGAAGCTATCTCCATGGTGTCGTCAACCATAGTGTGGAAAGTTGTAGGGACTGCAAGACTTGACACGCTCATGAGTTTCGCGTATGGCTTCTCTGCCTTTTGGTGAAATATCGGGATTGATTTTTTGATAAAATGTTATCGGCGGAAGAAGACGTAAGTATGTCTTTCAAAAAAGCCCTCAAGCTTGAGATATGATCAATTTCTTGGTTTCGCGTGAAAGTGTGAATGTGAAAGGTTTTCAGTAGGCACTATGGAGAACGGGGTATAACAAAGGACCGTCGAACAAATTGTGCAAGCCAAAACAGTTCAGATACCTTCGTAGTTCCTTCAAGTAATGGCAAAGTAATCAAAGTAAAACACATTTATGTGTTGCTGAGAATTAAATGAGTAGGTAGATGGTGTTCTGAATAGTTTGGGAAACCTTATAGGGATCTAAGGTGGTACTAAACAAGTAGCGCGCATCTGGACCAAGTTGCACATGACGCTAATAAGTTAGCGTTCAATTTTAGCTCATTTATCACGTGGTGGGTCCATGTCGGAACATTGTTTGGCCAACTGCCCGATATACAACATTGCAGTAGAACCCCGAAGCTCTCTGGATTCAAAGTCTTGGACAGCATTGAGAAAGAATTAGATTGCTCAATTTTCACTAATCATGGTGCGTATATTCTAGTATCTGGACGCTTTCTTTACTAACAGATTTATAGGTTGTCCTAGCAGCTTCAATTTGTACCCGGGGGGGAAAAGCTGTCCTCTCCAGGCAGTTTCGCGAAATGCAAAGATCTAGAATTGAAGCTCTTCTAGCATCCTTTCCAAAGTTGGCAGACTCTGGAACTCAGCATACGACCGTGGAGCAAGACAATGTGCGATTTGTGTATCAGCCGCTGGACGAATTATATATGGTCCTCATCACGAACAAGCAGTCCAACATCTTACAAGATATCGATTCCTTACACTTATTCGCGCAGGTAGTCACTAGCACATGCAAGACCTTAGACGAAAGAGAAATTCTAAAGAATGCCTACGAATTGCTCAGTGCATTTGACGAGCTTGTCACACTTGGGTATCGGGAAAACCTTACAATCAGTCAAATCAAGACATTCTTGGAAATGGAGAGTCATGAAGAAAGGATACAAGAAATCATATCGAGAGTAGGCTTTATGCAAGCTGTATTACAGCAACTTGGCTAACAGAGATTCCAGAATAAAGAGCTCGAAGCCACAGAAGAGCGCAAGCGCAAGGCAAAACAATTGGAAATGCAGCGCAAGGAGGTTTCAAGGAGTGGTAAAAATGCTATACCAAGTCGGCCACAGTATCCGACATATACACCACCTGCTCAATCTGCCAACACCGAAACCTACGATTCATACGAAGCTGCCAAGAACAAATCTTTCAAGTGGGTTATTTCATTGTCGCTGCAAGATCATTGACACTGACATTTCACAGAGCTAGCGCACCGAAAGGTAAAGGAATGCAGTTGGGAAAGAAGTCAAAAACTACAGATATGTTTGAGAGAGTCCGCGGCGATATGGGTGCTGAAGTCGAGGAAACTGTTTCGTCGCCACTTATTCCAAATCATCCTACACCAGCTACCGCTGAACAACCACCACATACTCCTTCTGCATTAGATCGTGATGCCATCCACGTTACTATCTCGGAGTCAATCAACGCTAAATTATCTAGGGATGGATCTTTGAACTCCTTGGAGGTCAAGGGCGATTTGAATTTGCGGATCTCGGATCCTACACTCACCAAGGTCAAATTAGATCTTGTTGCCAACCAGAGTCATGGAGTGCAATTCCGCACTCATCCAAACGTCGATAAGGGCATGTTCAATGGATCTAAAGCTATTCAGATGAGCAATGTGTCAAAAGGATTCCCCGTCAATAACTCTGTTGGTGTATTGCGATGGAGAGCTCAGCCAAAAACAGATGACACCAGCGCCTTGCCAATTCAATTCACTGTATGGGTTGTCGGGGGGCAAGGCGATCCTCTCAACATTACCGTGGAATACGAACTCACTGGAGAAGATCCTCTTCAAGATGTCGCCGTTACAATTCCATACGCCTCAAGCGAGCCAGCAGTTTCTAGCTTTGACGCAACCTATGAAGTCTCCGGGGATAGCCTTGAGTGGACAATCGGGCCCGTCGACTCTTCTAATGGAGCCGGTTCTTTCGAATTCGAAGTCCAAGACGGGGATGAGAATGATTTCTTCCCAATGCAAATCAAGTTCGCTAAAACAAAACCTTTCATCGATGTTGATGTAAGTTTTATTCAAAATAAATTTCAGTGCAAGTCTGAGACTAACACCCAATGCAGGTCACCAATGTCACTTTACTAGAATTGAACGAGGCCGTGGATTTCTCAAAAGATATCAAGTCAGTCGCTGACTCTTATTTGGTAGAGTAAGGGGTTTCGTGCAGAAAATGGATGGGATTCAAACGAAGTGCATGGCGTAGGATGGATGGCAATCCATGATATTTACTGTTGTACTAGCCATAGAAAATAAAACCTATTGATCTTCTATAATATGTGTAGAAAAAGCAGCATAGTGATCGTAAACCATCGCAAAAATGGGAACCAAAAATTAATATACACCACAATCTACGGATCTAGCTAAGCACAGTACAGTAAGGATATTTTTGATCATCAAAAAGGAAAGAACGAGCGTTTTGCAAGTCTCGCTTACGTACTCAACGACAACACTGTGGATGTTTACACAAGGCCGAAGTTCTGCGAAACGATCAACTAGCTACTGAGAAATGTTAGAACAACCAGCTCCATCAATATATTACGTCGTCTTAGATGAAACATCTTTGTAGTGGACAAGATGGCGGAGGTTATGCGTCTCGAGCTACTCGGCGAGAAAACTCTGCATCAAATGGTGAATCCTGAACTGCTCGCATATTGTCCATCGATGGACCTAATAGCGTTGGGTAGCACGGATCAGCAAGTCTTGATCTATCGTTTGAATGGACAGAGAGTTTATGGGGCTGCACAAAAATTCAATACTCTTCGCGTTGAAAAGATCAGCTGGAAGCCAAATGGTATCGAACACTCCTAACTTTCATTAATATATTTATACTGATACCTGCGTAGGACAATTACTAGCAATCGCTTGGAGTGATGGATCTGTTCGCCTTGTTGGTGCTGAAAGCACAAAGGTGGTCCACCACTTCTCTGCAACTTCAGATGATCAAGATTTCTCTGGGATCACGTGCATGAGTTGGAGTTCAAACACCATCGGCAGAAAAGTTGCAAATAAAACCTCGAAGCTTGTCCCAAATACCTTGAAGAACATATTTGCAAATGATTCAGAACTGTCTACGGGAAAGGGTGCTTTGGACCTACCAAGAGACCTCGCTCTTCTTGACATTGAACCCAGCCTGCCGAAGCTAAGTGTACTCCCCACAGGTGGGACTTCGTAAGTGTGTCCGTTTTTCTTTCGCAACGCGTTTACTTACTACTTCTTGTCAGGGATGAAGTTTTTAGTTCCAGATCGTCTTTAGATGCCCTTTTTCGTCCATTTAACCCAGAAGATAACGAAATGGCCGATGTTATGGTTGTTGGGACGAAGGAGGGCAATATTCACCTCAGTATCTACGATTCATTTGTGGTAGGATCTTTCAAAGCTCCAGTCGTCGTTCATAGACGTCCGGCATATCTTGTTTCACATGCATCCCACAAATTGTATTCAACGCATGCATTGCTCATGAAAACCACCGAATCTGAAGAAAGGATTTATTTCGTTCCAATGGACCTTCGCTTCTTGTCCGCCTCGAGCGAGTATCTTTCAATCCTTGCATCGCGGTCAACAGCTCTGGAAAACCTTCTCAGATACATCAATCAAATACGAAGCCTTATGCTTGCGGAATGGAAGTCGGCACAAGAATTACCCAGCAGGTTCCTCCATAACGTTAATGAAACCCTTGCTACACAAGATAATCGAGATATTGTACAGGCACTTTACCATTCGGTAGCCACTGGCCACACTTTTCCAGTCGTGCGCGAATGGCTCGTGGATGAGCTGACAGAAAGAGTAAGATTGCTTCATTCTACTGTTAATGAGGTTTGTACTAAACGTATAGGGCCATAAAAGATGGGACAAAGCCGTGGTATCAGGTCTGGAGAACTTGCGGCGTTTAGTTCATGAAAACATGCTTCCTGCCCTTGATCGTTGTTCCGTCATTCTCAGCCGATTAAATGGAATCGCTAAATTTCAAGGTCCAGATTCTTCCTTGGGCTTCACAAGTGCGCAGATTACTTCAATCATGGATACTGTCGCATCTCTGCATCTTGTTTCTGCGAAGATTTTACTTCAGGTGGTAGATGAGCTCGAACTCTTTACTTCATTTTCTGCTTGGCTACGTCATGAGATCGATAGGCTGGCATCTGATGGGTCTTCGTCCCAAAATGACGACAACGGTGATAAAGAGGCTTCAATCGATCATGTTAAAGTATTGCTATATATCCAAACAGTCATGATCAACAGTCCGCTAGCAGCTTTTATCGGTGAAGTTACGCCCGAGGATTACCAGAACGAAAGTGCGCATATAGGGAAGGGCATTCAAGTGTTCGATTTGCTCACAAGGCAGTTAGAAAAGCAAGAACAAGGGTCCAAATACAGAAAGACTTTGCCGCAAGTAGAATTCCTGTACAAGTATTTAAGAAATCAGGCAGCTGCCATATTTACTCAAATTGCGAACGCCGAGAAGAGCAACGTCCACTTTGGTAGGGCAAGTGAGCTAGGCATGGCCCACAAGGATGTGCCTGTCGAGATGAAGATGAATATGATCGTAAGTATTACTATGATTTTGCCTTCCGACGCTGATGGATTTTAGGATCGTAATGTATGCCATAACTATATCGCTTTTGTGCCGAAAGACTCTTTAAATCAAGGTCGGTCAATATCCCACTTACAGATTCATTTCGGACTAGATTTGATGGTGGACAATAGTTCAAGTAGTTCAGATTGAGCTTTTCGTCGAGAATGGAATTAGCACTGTACGCAGCACGAATTCATCCGTCCTCCAGCTTGGCGATGGGCAAATCATGGACTTTAAATTCATGGACGACAGCACCATACTCGTGCTGTGGGAGGCCAATGGTAAGGCGCACACAAATCTGTCTTTCAGAACTAACACGGTTATAGGGAAGTGCAATCTTCTAGGAATACCGTACAACAATGGGAGCGGAAGCCACATAAAATATCAACCTCATCGAATTTCCGCAAGTCGCTCCAAGGCAATCATTTTGAGCAATGAAGAGGTAATTAACAAGTTCTTGCAAACCGAGTTTCCAGGTGACGGTTCGATTATCCCAGAAATCATGATGATCCGATCACAAATTGGCTCGAAAAACGATGACCAGATGAAGAGATTGGTGGTTTTGGCCAAAGATAGGCTTCGTTATAAAGTTTTCAAATTGGCTGGAGAATCATCCAATCGAAACATTAGTGAAGATATCCCAATGTCATAAATACAAGTAAGAAGAGTACTGTGCTACGGTAACAAAAGTTAACACGATAGCACTTTTTGATCGCTTTTGCTAGTTGCATCGAGTATCTCGACGGACAACATCAAACTAGACGACGCACAATATAACATAAAGAAGAGCAAACCAATAGAAGCTCTCCATTCGGCTGTTGGTAGATTTCACTGTCCAAATACAAAGTGGGGAGAGTAGTAGTGGCGGCGACGGACTGCATTAAGCGTATGCACTAAAAAGGGCAGCCTAGGGCTCTTCGATATTTTCAAGCACAACTTTCAGATAAGAAAAACCAGCATCATTGATACTAAAGATCAGTCCGCCAATTTTAACAATATTTTTCTACACACGCTTGTGATACTTGATTTTGATACTTGATTTTGATACCCAGCTCAGATTCCGCTGCACCCCAAGTGAGGTGTCATGGCATCATATAATGAGCATGTCCTTGTAGAGCGAAAGAGCATTGAAAGCGATGCACGTGAAATAGGTCTGGAAGCTGCATCGCCGAGTCCGGGGAATGGGTATGGAGATACTCAAAATGATCTCTCAGATATGCAAAGATTAGGCAAGAAGCAGGAATTTAAGGTATGTAAATTATAGAACAGTTGGCTTCAACAGTGACGAGCAAATTAATTGAATTGTAGAGAAATTTTAATCTGCTATCGACCCTGGGGTTCATCTCAATTTACATGGCAACATGGGAGTTTGTTCTCGTGTTCGTGTTTCACATATCCATTCTCAATGAGACAATCCTTCTTACGAGAGTACAGGTCACTGAGTGTAGGGTTGACCAATGGAGGGTTTGCTGGATTGTTCTGGGTGTTCATTGGAACTGTAATATGCTACTCGCCTATTGTGGCATCACTGGCTGAAATGGAGTCAATGGCTCCTACGAGCGGTGGTAAAGATACCCAAATCCGATTTTCCTATCCGCGAGCAATGATTTAATACATTCACAGGTCAATACCACTGGGTTTCCGAGTTCTCCCCTCCCAAGTACCAAAAGTTCATGAGCTACACTGCTGGTGACGATATCCCTCTCCTACTCTCCTTCTCCTTAAACCTTTGCATTTCACTAATTACACCACACAGGCTGGATGTCGAGTCTCGGTTGGACTGCCAGTTTCGCCAGCAGCGTCTTTATCCTCACCACTCTCGTCGAAGCAATTATTGATATCCGAAATGCAGGCTTTTCGTTTGCACCATGGCAATACACACTAATTATGATAGCTTATCTGTTGATCACCATCGGCTTTAATACCTGGGGCGCAAAACTCCTGCCAATGATTGAAACGACTTCGTTGTTTGGGCATTTAGCTGGATTTCTAGTGACTATTATCCCGTTGTGGATTATGGCACCGAAGAATTCGGCAAGGACTGTGTTTTTGGATGTGGTTAATAATGGGGGATGGAGTAATACCAGCACGAGTTGTTTGATTGCGCAAGTTAGCGTGCTATATTGTAATATTGGTGAGTCATTAATGTGTCGGTCTGTCGGACTATGTTGAGGTTCGTGGCTAACGGGATGAAAACATGTAGGATCGGATAGTGCGGTACATATCTGTGAGTGACCTTTTCCCTCAAATGATATAACCACGAAGTACTCACAGTGCACCAGCTGAAGAAGTAGAAGATGCATCGGTTAATGTCCCGCGTGCTATGTGGTGGAGCTATATCCTCAACGTTGTATTAGGATTTATCATGCTAATCACAATGGTCTTCTGCATCGGGCCGCTCGATGCAGCCATCGCATCGCCAGCCCCTTGTCTGAGGTTATTTTTGAACACTGGGTCTGATGCCATGGCTACAACACTCATGATCATTCTGCTCATCCTTGTGTTTTCTGGAAATATCACGGCATTGGCTACGACGAGTAGAGAATTGTGGGCTTTTTCAAGGGATAAGGGGTTTCCATTTTCAACTTGGATTTCAAGGGTAGGATTCTAGTCTTTCTATTTCTACCCTTACATGATGATCACCTTGATCCGACACCCCGTCTTTCAAAATAATCCCTGACCACATTTAGATGAACCACGCTCTCAACGTCCCCCCGAACGCCATCTATCTCACCTCCATCCTCACCATCCTCCTCTGCCTCATAAACCTCGGTTCTTCCTTCGCCTTCCACATCATCATTTCGCTCTCACTCCTTGCCCTCCTCTCTACATACATGATGTCCATCGGATGCGTGCTCTTGAAACGTATTAAGGGTGAACTGTTGCCACCCGCACGATGGAGTCTAGGACGCTTTGGATTACCCATTAATGCTTTTGCGTTTGCGTATAGTGGGTTCGTCATGGTGTGGAGTTGTTTTCCTAGTGAGGCGCCGGTCACCGTGAAGAATGCTAATGTGAGTTTCTGTTATGGGCTTCAGGATGCAAGATGATAATAGATGGGCTAATGATTCTTAGTGGGCACCGGCTGTTTGGCTTGTTGTTATTGTTGTTGCTGGATTGATATATGTTGTGCATGGGAAGAAACATTATACGCCACCAGTAGTGTTTGTAGAGGGCAGAAGAGCTAGTGATAGATTGCAAGTGAATTAGAATATGGAATGGGTGGTTTTGTATATTTTGCTCGTGATTCTTGTTCATATTTTTCACAAAGGTAGCTGTACAAGAATGAGAATGTCTTCCTTGGAACTGGTCCTCAAGGCAACGTAATATGCAGGTAAACTCGAGCCTCGATATCAGGTCCCCATTTCAACGCTCCATTCAACATAGAAGACATACATTGACTCCGCCATGAATGTCACCGCACTTTTACCAACCAATGTGAATTTTAAGCTGTAATGTCTAGCCCAAGTAGACCGATACTTCAGTCCACGTGTATAATTGTTTGAACAACTGGATAGTTTGCCCATTTTTGGAAGCCCATCGCAACCTCCATGGACATCAACGAATCCATAATATACGCAAGGCCTAGGATGAAATGGAGCTTCATAGTGTCAGCAATGGTCATGGAAGAAGAGGACCTTATGGTCGAGGCAACAGGATGTAGTAACTAGAGCTATAAAACTCCGCATGAGCAAGAGCTTTGTTACTTACCAAATGACAGGCTTGAAAGAAGTGTTGCTTTGATCCTCGCATCTACAGTTCTGCTTCTTTCCACTGATCAGAGACGGGAATTGTGTCGTCACTTCCCGAGGTGATATCTCGAAATGGAATCTCCTCGTAAGTGACATCTGATTGGTCCAGGTCACATATGCGAATTCTGTTTCCTCGATGCACGGTGACATTCTGCATTTTCGTCAAGAAAAGTCCCACGGCCGTCACAGGGTACATTTGATCTCGGTGATGGGGTAGGAACTTTTTTCTAAAATTATCAACAATGTGGTGTGGCATTTTTTGGATTGCTTAGTGATAAGTTTCGTCGGCGGTGTTATGTCTGAAACAGTATATCGCGATTTGTTTCTGGGAAACCAGGGTACATTTCTCAATACTTGAATGAGCTTCCCATGGATGGCCATTGCCTACGGTGAATCAGTCACCCATTGGTATTCACAGTCCCTTTTACTTCCGTATCCTTCTTCAATGTCAATCCTGTCAATCGCAATACTGAATCTTGGCCGTGCATTGGCAATTTCCCTCACGGCATTTCTAATGAGAGAAATGTTGGAGGTGCCTAGGCTCTTGAGTATTGTAATATTAGGAGTCAATTCCAGGGCCTCGTACAAGCGGGTTATTTCAGGACCACACATCTTGGTCAAAAGGCTCGTCACCCTCTTCTCGTCGGAGCTTGTAAAGGTATGCCTATATTGATTAATTTCCCCAACGGCTCAGTTGGTAAACACTTTTTAAAGTATTTGTCAGGGTTCCTGCTAAAAACTCGACGCACCAACATCCTGAAGAAAGCGAGCAGTGCCATTTGATAAATCAAGCTCTAAATTCTAATATTAGTCCTTTCACATTGGTGAATGGCGACAACAATACTCAACCGATAGACTTGCAAGATGAACCAAACCTGATGGACCGCGTCTATTTATTCACGTTCCGGTCCCGTCTTTACGCGCCAAATGCATGCATGATATACAATAATGATAAATCTCTCGACTAGGTGCTATCCAATCCAAAAGGTTGGTGGCCGATACACATATACAACAGACGTGATAATCCTTGAGAAGTACCGACCCAGTTAAAGTAGGATGAGGTTACAATAACTTCACCCCAGAGCCTTACACAACATGATTTTTAAAAACTATATCCAGAAAGTGCAAAAAATACAAAGAACGCTGCATATCATATGAAGTGATCATTATTGGCAGTAAGTATATCATAATACAGATTCCATCTATTGTGCCTTAAGTAAAACGTGCAATATCAGGAATTGCTAGAGAGTGGTCGTAGGAATTTGGATATCAAGAGAAGATATTGGCCCAACGGCCAGAGAAAAGTTTGACAGAGTTTCATTCCCCATCGAAGAAGGAACGCGTCTCTGTCCAATTCCACATTACTTCCTACCTACCTCATTCCCTCTATAAAATCCAAATCATATAGAACCCTGATTGATCAATCTAATAGGTGAATCAACTTGATATCAGATAGCTTTTCATTAGATCCCGCTTATCAAAATAAAATACAATGCTTTTGAATCCAACACCAGCCGTATCACCTGTCCCAAATCAGCAAAATTGACATCAATCATCTGATAAATTCAATGTTGTCCTCGGAACAAAAGCCAATAAACAAGACAGAAACTAAATATGACATCTCGGGCCCTTCACCATATGACAACTTAAGTATTACTCCAGTGTCGATTATGCTTTTCCGCGATTAGGGAGCTCTCCAGCACCCAAATTATAGAACTGCACTCATGGTCAGCCATAACACGTCCGCTAGAGTAAAAGCAGCCAAAATGCACAAACCTGTCTGGCCTCATCCTCTGTCCTCTTAGTATTGCTTGTCTCACCCATATGAATCAATCCTAATTTATTCTTCCTCACGACATCAAACCAAAACATCCTATCAAAACCTTCATTTTGAAGTTGTTTCTTAAATTTCTCAATGAAGTTATTGTAGACTTCCGGTTCAATCAGATCAATCAATTCAGTTCTCATGATCCTCAAGTACTCTCCAGCCTGCGCCCAGGTAGAATTTCCGGTACTTCGTTTGAGTAGTGTGCGGACAGCGTCGCCCATTTCTCGGGTAACTTTGGTGACGCTCTCGGTGGAATCGGTGCTTGCAAGTGCTCGCTTGAATTCTGGAATGGCGTTGTCTACGGTAATCTTTTGGCGCTTTTCTCGACCGAGAAGAGCGTCTACATCGAGACCGGAAAGAGGTTTGACGACTTCTCGGTTGCGTTTGGCTTTAGCTGTCGCGGGCACTGGAAAATTATTAGCTAGGAGAAAATCAAGGAAGCTTAAAGCGCCGTATTACCTTTCTTGACATCAGCTGTTTCGATCAATTTTGTGAGCTGGCTACTTGATTTGTCGACAAGCTCGGTAGGGGGATGTGACCATTTGACTAGAACATCAGCAGGCGGAGTTACACCCTCATCTGGTTTGACAGCACGTCTGCGTATGGCTTGATTGATACGATGAAGCACAGGAGAGTAAGTATCTTCGATGGCCATGTATTCCACCGGATCGCTATGCAGAGTTAATAATATGCTGATGATGCCAGTGGATTTCTCTTACCCTGCCTCGTCCTTTCCAGCTGTCGATAAATCCATACTATCAACGAAACTGCTCATTGCATCTTTCAAATCTTTGCTTGGAAGGTTTCTGTGCTTCTCCATTAGACCGCCGGAGCTATTTAAAACCTTATCTAGCGGCGCGAATCGATAACTTCGTACATCTTCAGCAAATGGGAGAGGCACATCAATGAGGCCCTCTAAATCTGGTTCTATCAATGGAGCAAGAATTATAATCAGTGGATCCGCTCCATCTTTCTTGACGATTCTGGCAACAGCACAAGAATCCAGCTCATGTAGAGCATGGACAAAAGATGATAATGCCATTCGTGCCTTTTCGTTTGTCTTTTGAGGAATAGTGATGCAACTTTCTCCCATATTAAGATATCTCTCGTACTAAAGAAGTTAGGCCAGATATAGGGTGTGTAGAATGTACATATGCTTACGTTGTTGGGCACAAATCCAATGATTGAGAAATCCTTTATTGCCTGAAGCTTTGTGACACCTTCGTCTGCTTGACTAATATGAACAATAGTGCTACCATATTCATAACCCTTTTCCAGATCATCTCGTTCGACGTCTCGCTTACCGCCAGGAGCGGTGGGATCATTGACTTTATAAGTCCTTGTCTGCTTGACTGAGGTAAGATCATCAGCATCCGGAAGTTCCTCATCACCCGCTTCATCTGCCGCCGCTTCAACATAACTCCTTGCGGAAACAGGTTTGGCTTGATGTGTTTTGAAGTATCGAGCGACATCTATCGATACAGCTGTTTCAGGATTTTTCGTCGGATCTCCTAAAGTGAGTGGTCCTGTGTAGGTATTATACTCTCTTGTTGCTTTGACTACAGGTGTTGCGAGAGCTTCTATGGCTTCCGCTGTAGTACCAAATATCCCGTCTGAGCAACCTTCTGCGAAAGCTCTCAGGAGTTTCTCATTTTCAGCCTAACAATAATTAGTATTACAAGAAAATATATCGGGGAACGTGGTAAACTCACCTTAACCAAACCTTTATCTTCCTCCTTAAACCCGAATTCCGCATCATCAAAATCAACCCCTCTAGTTTCATGTCAGCAAGCAAACTCAACCTGCGAAAAGCGACTTACATGACGACTAGTTTTATATCGTTTCTGCTGATTTCCTTGGCAATATCATCAAGCTCCTCCCCATGCATAAACCCTTTCCCATCAGTAACCAAAACAATCTTCCTAGCATATTTACCAGGCTTTCCGGACTTCAACGTAGTATGCTCCTTAATCATTTCCATCGCAACTACAACTGCTGATATAGCATCTCCAGCATCAGTACCACTTGGTTTAATAACCTCTTGCATTTCGTCCAAATCTGTCATCTGGAATTGCCCAAGAGGCTTCAACACGGATATATTTTCATATCCCTCTTCTCCGCCGCTTTTCAAATCATTATTGGTATCGTCAGTACGAAATCCAACAATACCAACGCCATCAGTCTTGCGGTCAGTAGACATGGTCAACGTGATTTTATCCCATACATATCGCATGCCATATTCCAGATCAGTTTCCTTGCGCCCATTGTGGCATTCTCCAAGAGTTTTACCTAGGTCCACGACGTAGACGGTTGCTTGTTTTTCGGTCATGATGTGAAGGCTTTGATCGAGTGTTTACATGAGGTAGATTTCTAAACAAAAGAAGGCTAATTTAAAATCCAATAATACTTTAATCGCGGTTCGAAACGGAGTGACCAGGCAGACGCGCCCTGGATCCACATGAAGTTCAAAGAAAGCGCGATATCACGTGCGACGGAGCACGGAGTTTCGCAGCATCCTGTAAAATGAAGCCGTCATCGTGTGATAAAGTGGATCAGCCCATCTACGGAGTATATTTACGTTCCGGATTCGAGTGACCCCTCTCATATAACATTTGTTGATGTTCGCATACACAATTCTATTGACTTCCCAAAGATTTCTACAATCTAATTGTTCAAAATGCCAGACCTTTCAATCCTCAAAACTCCCGCCCCATACCACATCATAACGTGTGTACCCCTCCACCCCCTCGGCAGCACTCTAACATTCTTCCCTCTAGCTATGGAACACTCTTCGGCACCCAATTTTTCCAATCCTTTATCAACGGCATCGTAGCCTTCAGATCACTTCCTCGAGCCCAATTTTCCGTTCTCCAACAAAATCTCTTCCCAATTTACTTTGGTATACAAACTGCGCTCCCAGCCGTCCTAGCTATCACTTACCCGGGCTCACACACACATCTTGGGACTGTTTCCGGGATTTCCGGAACGCTTGCCGAGGTCAATAGATGGAGCGTATTGGTGCCATTGGCTACGATGTTTGTGACAGGATTGGCTAATATGGTGGTTATTGGGCCTGCTACCACGAGGCTTATGAAGGAGAGGAAGCATCAGGGTAGGTTTTTTTCCTGAGCGAATTTCGGGCACAGGCTAGAGGATGTTGGAAGGGAAGTTTGAAGAAATGAATATGAAAGTGAGGCTAATCATCATATTTACAGAAACAAAAGACGGGAAGAAATCCTATGATGCAGCACCTCATTCAAAAGAGATGCAAAGGTTAAACAAGGCATTTGGGAAAATGCATGGGGTTTCCTCGTTGGTGAACTTGGTATCTTTCCTTGCTACAATGTGGTATGGTGTCTCACTTGCAGAGAGATTGCAATAGATGAATATGCAATTATCAGCATTAGGCCCGTGGGTGGATGAGCCAAATTTGATTTGTAGCTTTGCACACAAGAGCGCTTGTAAATAGCTGGAAGTGAGGTGAAGAAAAACATTGAGCACTAAAGAATGTTAGAAGCTGCCGAATTAACATAGTGATTGCCTAGATTGCATTTGTGTAATGATAACCAGAAGAACTCGATGAGCGAGGGACGGGTAAGCTTTGCCAGGAAGATCGGTACTTTTAAACAAAACATAAGTGATCATAAAGCCGCCCTCTTAACTCTTAACCAATACGTCTTAATTGCTTTTATCCTAGCACTGAATACAGCTACCTATTCACAAAAAGCAAATTATTCATGTATCAACTGAGGGCAAGCATATTCCTACAAACTTTCATATCTCAAACCACCTACAATTCTGGTATTCATAGGCCTATCGAGCCAGATCCTCCCACCCAATTACATTCCTATCGTCACACTGAAACTGCAACTACACACCAAATTTCCTCACGTAATATACAACGGCAAGGTAATTACCACTCATGCATATTTGCGCAACTATTTGAGATATTAGTAGGTGGACACTTGTTGAACGGCCAAAAAAAAAAGGAAGACTTACATCAAGCGTCAAAGTTTTCGAGCTATTGACCTCCTGATCTCTGAAGACACCGACCAAACTCTCACTTCCCTGAAACAATCCCGTCTTTAAACTAATGACGATAAATTGCATTCCAGGCCCTGCGTGCTCCTTGATATAATTTCGGATTTTCTCCACGTTTGCGTTGTCAAGAGCAGCATCAACTTCATCTAAGACGAAAAATGGAGAAGGTTGATAACTATGAACTGCGAACAATAAGGCCAAAGCTGCCATAGTCTTCTCACCACCTGATAGATGTTCCATGTCACGGAAACGCTTGAGTGGTGGCATGGCATGGTATTTGATTCCAGAGAGATACGGTGCATCGCTGTCTTCAATGTCAAGATACGCCTGACCGCCCAGAGGGAAAGTGGCTGAGCGTGTCAGATCTTTGTAAACGTGAGAGATTTGGTCGGAAATATGTGCGAAAGCTTTGTTGAAGCGATCATATCGTTTTTCTTTGATTTCATTGAAAGCATCACGAGTAGCTTTTGCAGCGTCGCGAGCGGCGGTGAAGTCCTTATCAGTATCTCTAAGGCGTGTCTCGACAACATCCAGTCGCTCGATTGCGCGCATGTTAGGATTGAGTTTCTCAAGTTCTGAGTTGAGGTTAGAGATCTTCTCTTGCAGTTGCTCCTCAACATCTTCATCATCGGGCTGTTTTATATTAGCATGTGCATTTTGACCTATTGCGGGCCACTTACGTTTTTCAGCTCATCACCAAGCTTATCAAAATCCACGTATATGCCGTAATCTTTTATCATCTCTTCAGGGACTTGGTCACCTTCATCAACATCCATGGCGTCAGGATCCTCTTGTTGCAAGCTTTCATTCGCAGGGAGACTATCCAAAGATTTTGACCCTGCTGCTAATGGAATGGCTATTTGCTCCATCTTGCAGCGTCGCAACAGAGCATATCGATTCGCGCTAGTCCGTTGAGCTACTGTCTCCAGAGTCGTGATGGATTTTGTACGCTCATCAATTCCTTTGCTCGCCTTTTGTAGGTCGTGCCTTGCGACATTGACTTTCTCAGTCTTAGCCGCGAGCTTTTCTTTTTGTTTTTGAAGGGCATCCTCGAATTCTGTGACGGCTGCTCGGTCCACATTGATTGCCTGTGCGAGTGTTTCTTTTTCTGCCTCATATTCCTCAATATCGGATCCAAGCTTTTCGATGTTGTTCTCAAGGTCGGCCAGACGGTTCTTGATGTCAGCCAAATAATTGTCTTCCCAGGTCACCTGGCTTTTCAACGTTTGCTTTTGTTTCTCGAACTCATTCTTTTTCTCCAAAGCTTCTTGCTCGAGGCTGCCTTGCTGGGCTTCATAGTCTCTAATATTTGAGTATTCCGTTCTCTTGCAGAAATCAGCAAAGATCTTGTCCGCGACCTTTGCAATAGCTCGTTGAAACTCCTCCACCTTTCGCCGGAGCTTTTCAACTTCAGCCCTTTTTTCTTCGTATTTGGGCTCCACGTCCTCTAACTGGCGTTGTTCATGCTTTAGCTTTTTTTGTTCGCTGGCGATGTTCTTCTCGAATTCGGCCAATTCAGTCTGCTCATAAGTAGCTTTTTGGTTTAAATTGTTGATGGCGTTCGCCAATTGTTCTTCCTCTCCCGTTCTTTTCTTGCTGGCATCAAGAGCCCTAATTTCACGATCGTATTTCTCAGCCATAGCCTTAAGCTTATCCATCTCGGCGTCACCGAACGCGCGCTTGTTACCACGACCGTCAGGAACACGACCACCAGTGATATTACCAGCTTTAGCGATCATAACGCCATCCAGAGTAACAGCCTTCACTTGAAGTTTCTTCCGATAACAAATGTCCTTGGCTGTTGCAATATCATCACAGACAATTGAGCTTCCACATGCGTAAGACATAGCTCTCTCGACAGATGAGTCAAAATCAATCGTATCAATAGTCAATCGGGCTTTGGCTAATCCTTTCAACGAAGAGTTTGTGGCGTTGACCTTGATATTATCTAAAGGAATGAAAGTCATCGGAGGCTTTTTGCCATCTTTCAAGTATTGGACGCACTCAGTGCCAGTCTTTTCAGTGTCGACAACGATGGAGTCAAAGTCCCGGCCAAGAGCCGTGCTTACTGCTTCTTCGAATTTCTTCTGCTTTGGCTTGCAAAGGTCTCCAATGCGCCCCTTCACCCCGGGAAATATTCGTTTGATTTCAGTTATGGTTTGCTTGACCCTTCTTTCCTTTTCACTCTCTCTTCGACCATATTCACCCTCTCTAATCTGTTTGTAAATCTCCTGGAGTTTCTCTTCAAGGTCAGTCTTCAATTGGTTGTAGCGAACACGTTCCGACTGAAGGGAGTTATGCTCTTTTTTCTTGGCATTCCTATCCCTGGTTGTCTTGGCGATTGATTCCTTGAGATTGTCTCTTCGTCTTACGCTGGTGTCTAGCTCACCCTGAAGCTTATCCACCGAAGCCTGGGCGGCCTCCATCTTGCCTTTCAAGCTATTCGCCGTTACTTCATCTGTTTTCAGCTGGCGGACTAGATTGTCTAGTTTGGCTTGGTCCTCGGATGTCTTCTTGACGACTTCTGATTTGAGCTTCTGGTACTCCTTGAAATCGTCGTCGCTCAACTGTTTTCCCTGTTTTTTGAGGGTTTCCTGCCACTGGACCTCGAACTGTTTCTGTGCTTTCTCAACTAATGCGAGATCTTTTTTGAGCTTCGCAATATCCTTAGACTTGTCGTCCCGGTCTCCTTTGACGAGGGCAGCCTTCCTTCTCAACATTTCGATTTCAGATGTGACGGTTCTAATTTTCTCATCAAATGGCACCAAGTGAACTTCCTTCTCCTCGATCTCCTTTTCCTTCCGCTTGATGTTTCGCTCTATCCTGCTGGCATCCTTACTAACTTTAGCATGTTCTGCTCTCGCTGCGTCCAGGTTACTCTGATACTTTTCCACGCCACGGCGATACTCCTTCAAATTTTCCTGATGTTCTTGAATGCTAGCGCTGGACTCGTCCATGACTCGTTGAAAGTGGTACAATTTCCATAATATGTGTTCGACAATAGCGTCATCCTTTTCCACAACTTTTTTCTGGAAAGCTTCAGCTTCTTTCTTTTGCTCTTGATACTGCTTGATTTCGGAATTGATGCCACGCCTACGGTGGAGGCTATAATTTTGCTCATCTGCTGCTTTCTCCGCCTCATCCTGCAATCTTTCATATTCTGCTTTGTATTCCAGACTGCCAGATATTTGTTCAATGAGGCGGGTCAAGTCTTTTGGTGATTGCGACGCAATAGCTTCAACATCTCCTTGGAAAACTAAAAAGTTTCGAGCTTTGATCAGGATATTTTCAGATTCTAGGGCATCATTGTATGCTTGCGCTGTGACGACACGGTCATTGATACGATATTCACTGGCACCTTGGTTTGTGATTGAACGCTTCCATTTTTGTTCCTCGCCCTGATCATCCTCGTAAACAGCCATAACCCATGCGCTTTTGGGATCATTGCGCGCCGGTTTCTGAGACTGCGAATCCTCATCTGAACCTTCTCCATCTCCATTCGCATGTCCATTCGCAGCTGGGTCAACCGCGGATCCATCGTCATTGATTTTCGAGGTTTTCAACACTCTTCCGCGGTATACGAGATCCCGTAATTGTGCAGATCGTAAATGGGATGACTTGATGCCCAGAACGAAAGAAATCGCGTCCATACTGTCAGTCATATTAGCAGTTTTCGGACGAAATCTTGCGGATCACATACGAATTCGATTTGCCAGAGCCATTAGGGCCAATTATAGAAGTGAAATATGAATCCCCAAACAGAAGTACATGGTGACCCTTATAGGACTTGAAATCTGCATACAATCAGTTAAAGCAATGGCATAAATAGTGCGACCAGCCTACTGAAAAGTTCAAGACGTTGAAGTTTCCCCATCTTGATTTACACGCGTTGATCGTAGCGGCGGGGTGCACGCGTTAGGGAAGAAGAGTAACGGCGAGAGCAAGATCCAATTACGAATAAATGTACTCGAGTAGATGATTAGTTGTGACGGACTGATATAAACCTGCAGAGCAATCCGAGATACGCCCAGGATGATCAAAAGGGGTTGTATAGAAGGATGGTTAGGAATTCCTCCAACTTCAACTTTCGCAGCTGCTCGGCATCACAAAAAGTCGCGGACGCGAATTATGGATCACATGACTGACACCAGGGAACAAGACTGCATTTCATGGCTGCTACTGGCCAACGTATGTTGCATGATAAGATAGCTACGACGCTGTACTGAAATACCTAAAGTAGCAATGACGAAATGTGTTCCCCAGATCAACTTCAATGCTTTGATTGGTGGCAGTGGCAGTTCCAAGCCGGCCTGGACCAAAAAAAGTTCATGAGTTGCTGTACACAATATTTACTTTTTTTATTTGAAACGGACAACGAATATAACAAGTTAAAAACTAAGAAGGTAAGTAGGTATTTAAAAGGCATTTTCACCATTTCATCCTTCACAATTTTTGTCCTTCACATTTTATCCCTCTAATCTAATCTGAAGAACAACGATAAAGAATCTCTTGTGATCGAGCAAAAATTCACCAGATTTGAGATAGTCTTGTTTACATCTGCATATCAGCATCCAACCACATTGCTCGAAGCAAGCACGACCTTGCTTCCTTTAACGTCAATCACTCACGAAAGAGCTGATCCAGAAGAAAACCTCTCTATTTAGAGGCTTATTTCGAGTCAAGAAAACCGCAAGCACCTAGCACCTAAGCACATAATTGCTCTTCAATAACGTATTATCTGTCGCCATTCGTTCATGTGCGTCGACTCGACGGCTTTTATCACTACCTAGACATTCTTGAAATACTTTACCCTCAGCGCTGTCATTTCCTGTGAGTTGTTCTTATTGTCGTTCCCATTTGTGACATTTGGTGCGTAGCACAAGTTCTATCTACGGACAGATGGCTGATGTAGCACTAAGGAGTGCTTCTGCCTTCCGGCGCATTTGTTTTTACGATCCCATTCACGTCCGTTCACGTTCAATATCAGAAATGGCTGAACCCATACCCATACCAAGCTCTAAATTGGGAGCTGCACTCGAGTCAACTTCATTATCTTCTGAGCAACATGTTAGTGGAGGCTCACCTCAAGAGGTTGGCAAAACATCTACGTTCACAACCTCGGAGAATGGGAGTCCTCATGTTTCGAGGCGCCCCTCTGGTTCTGGAAGTAGCACATATCAAGAAGATTGGGAACCATGGCCTCCACTCGATAAAATCACCGTCTTTGACTTACTAGAGAATTTTGCTTTGCCCCAGCAGCTAGAAAAGATACAAAGGAATCTATCCGCACAATCTCAAAAAGTTCGAAAGCAACGAGATAAGCTGAAGACAACTTCAAGTTATGCGAAGACGCGAGTTGTTGAAGAATGGCGAAAGCGTGTTCCTACTGCGGATGAGCAGCTCGACAGATATAAAAAGAGGATGCGCGATAGTGTCGATAAACTCGGGACGCGCTGGAATGATACGAAATCAGTGACGATTCGAGAAAAGGTCTCCTTCATCTGTGGAGTCTTGAACGTTCTCATCAGTGGCTACTTGATCGGAGGACATCCTGAATTATTTCATTGGTGGTACACTGCTCAATTACTGTACTTCATGCCCATTCGCTTTTATGCGTACCATAAAAGAGGATACCATTACTTCCTCGCAGATCTCTGTTACTTTACCAACTTTCTCTGCTTTCTCTCGATATGGGTCTTCCCACAATCGAAACGATTGTTCATCAGCACCTACTGTCTTTCCATGGGAAACAACGCGGTAGCTATAGCTATGTGGAGAAATTCTATGGTGTTCCACAGTTTCGACAAGGTTACGTCTCTTTTTATTCACATCATGCCTTGCGTTACGCTTCATTGCCTGGTCCATCTCATAGACCCATCCTTCCAACAATCGCGTTTCGGTGCTATCTATAATATACGCACATCCCCAGTAGGGTCTAGTACTCATTACGGTCTCCTATCCATGGCATTATGGTCGTCTATTCCTTATGCGGTATGGCAGCTTTCCTACCATTTCCTCATCACTGTCCGCCGCCGCGAGAAGATTGCTGCAGGTCGTCCAACATCGTTCACCTGGCTGCTCAAATCTTACTCCAAAGTATGGATTGGAAAAGCGGTTCTCGCACTTCCGGATTCTCTACAAGAGCCTGCATTTATGCTTATTCAATACTCATATGCATTGCTCACTATGTTACCATGTCCTGTATGGTTCTGGTATAGATATGCATCTGCGTCATTCCTTATGGCTGTATTTTGTTGGTCTGTTTATAACGGCGCAAATTACTACATTGAGGTCTTCGGCAAACGTTTCCAAAATGAGCTAGAGGAGATGAAGAGAGAAGTTCAGAAATGGCACAATACTCCTGAATTAACGACATCCCCTTTATTGACACCTAGAACCGAGGGTGGAGAAATGCTTGGTGACGACGACGAGACAAAGAGGCCAGGCCACCCAAGGAATACCAGTTTAGATAAGATTCCCTTACTCAACGATCAAATAGGCAGCACAGGAATAGACGGAGGTGCAAGAGATGTCGCGAAGCCAAGGAAGTTAAGCGAGATGCCAGCTTAATTGTGCAAGCGGACATGATTAGTATTAGTTTTGGATCACTAATCTTGAACCTAAAGCCTCAGTGTTCTTACTTTTTGGTTCTGCTTTGACTTTTGTGGAAACGATGACGAGATTTGCTTTACGGGATGGAATAGTGGAAGGATAGCAAGACGTATATACCACGCAGACAGGAATTTGGGAGTTAGGTATTTACGCATACACATACATACACATACATAATAAGCCTCCTAATACAAGCGAGTAAATACAACCCTAATACCTATATCAAATCTTCCCAACACCTTCTTGACCATTACAATCTAAAACCGCAGAACAAGAACACACTTATTTCGGTGTGTCAGTGTACGTCCATATTCATCTATATCGCATGGATCTTTTCGCCTCTTTCACTCTTATTCTCTGTCACAGGGGATACATCACCATTGGTATTCATCTCCCCAGGAATCATATCCAATCCCACCTCCCGGCGTACAACTTCCATTCTCTCAATGTCGCCACGGCTGACGCCTTCGCTGCCGAATACTAGGTCCATTTCCTCCACTTTAAAAATATTAGCACGCAAATATCGTTTCCATTTCATTCCACATCTCTTCTCCTTTTCAATGCAGGCAAAGTTAATAAATATAGGTGAAAACATTGATGCGAAAAAAGAAGATCGGTCAACAACATGACACAACCCAAAAAAATCCAGAAAAGAATACTCACAGCCCAATCTCTTCGTCTCAGGCACTCCCCACCAAATAAAGGCTGCGCCGCTGTAGGTTAACAAGCCGAAGATTATATAGGCTCCATAAGATATACCGCTTAACAGATCAGGTGTTACTTGTCCGACGATAAAATTATTCATCCAGTTTGAGGATGCGCCGAGAGCGATACCGTAGGGCCTGTTGGACAGGGGCCAGATTTCCGCGACGAGGATCCAAGCGCAAGGTCCCCAGTTATAACCAAAGTGAATCAAGAAGAGCCTGTGAAGAATTCGATTAGAAGATGTTACTAGGGAGATGAAGGGATAGACAGGAAGAGGGAAACACAAACCAAACCATAGCCACAGCAGCCCATTCCGCAGCTTTATGCTCGTCCCATGAGTCTCTACTTTTCACTACGATTACAGCGATGATTATGTGGCATGTCGCCATTCCAATGGCATCAATGGTGAGAATGGGTTTGCGACTTAGTTTGTCGATGTAGAGGACGGAGGGGATGGTCGCGATGAACATTACGATGCCGACGACGCCGGTGGCAAGGAGAGAGACGGTATTGCTGGAGAGACCGAGAGAACACCAGAGAAGGCACCTTCGTTGTAGCCCTACATTTCATACATTATGATTTAGTTTTGCAACTCGACTTCTTTGGGTTGAGGACGTGCATGGAGTCACGTACATATAAGAGTCCTCCAATGCAAGCGAACAAGGCAATACTGAAAATACGAAGATTTTTAACTAAAGCTGCTGGGCCACTGGCACCCGTAAGCTTTTGCCGACGTTGGGGAGCCACATCATGAAGCCCATGAGCAGGAGCTCCAACAGCCATGGTAGTGAGGTTTTTGTTATATGAATTTTCACGATAGAGAAAGGCAGAAATGAGAAATTGCAGAAAGGACAGAAAAAATCAGGAAAGTGCTTATATTTGTATTTCTTTACTACAGTAATCTATCCATATGCTGGACGTTCTAAGCTTTTATGATGTACGCATCATGAAGCTGCAAGTATGACTCTGGATAAATCAATGGCTAGATGCATAAAAATTGCATATCATGGCTTCATTTTTACAAACATGAGTTTTCAGCGATGAAGGTAACTTTTTCATGATGCGGAATGAACTTTGTGGTCATCATTCTTCCCCGCATCCGGGGACATTGTGGAGAAAGTGTAGGTTAAATTTAGGCTGATAATAAGATTGCGGGGGCGGGGTTGGTTAAAGGTTGAGTGTAAGTTTGATGGATGCGTATTATGTATGTATAATGGGTGAGATGTAGCTTTACGTCAGTGCTATAGGATTGTCGTTCTGATGCAGTGATGGATTGGATATAGTAGTTGTGAGGACTGGGAATGATAAGCATCGGCTGCAGGACTTATGCACTAGAGAACTACCTGGTCTATGGTTTTTCTACCACTAGCAAATCTACACTGCAGAAATTTTGTGCAACGAAGGCTAGTATGACTCAATTTACAAAAGAGCTTGGACTTCGAAGAGATTGATCTGATGCAGGAATATGCACAATAATGATGGATGGAAATTGATTGAATGTTGCTATCTTGATGTCAATCCTTCTTTCGATCAAGCTTATATGTTTTATTTAAACAAAAGAAATGGAGAGGGTTTGAATACTAATTCGACACCTCTTATATAAGACCACTGGTCTATCCAACCATTGTGCATTTGGAGAAGCTTAAGGGCTAAAGATCAGACTCAATATGTTATTCTGCATATGTCAATTTATGCTCATACTTCTTTTAGATGATGTAGAGCTAGAATTCCGCATAGTGTAAACTTTTATAGGTCGAAAGGAAGAGGGATAGAATAGAACAACGGAGATGGTTTTACTAATCTGTGATTTATTTGAATAATATATACTTATTATTGTTTAAAAGTTTCAGGAGTATAAGAAAAGCACTAGCTTATATAATAATCATATATGAAGTATAATATAATACTCTAGGTTTATATAAAACAACTTCATTTTAATAATTATTTAATATAAGTTTAAAGCTTTAAATATAAAAGAAAGAATTACCAAACGTGTATATTTATAGTCAAAGGTTGTAATATTCCGCAAGTACACCAAAATAACTCTATCATACATTACAGCCAGCTACACTTCCAAAGTTCTGCTGATGCACAAGGAAATGCACGGACCCGACATCGGAATATACTAATACTTTTTTCCGATGCTAAGTTCAACTCAGATGAGTCTGATCCCTGGAATAAGCTAATCCTAATTGGAAGGAGCAACCACATCGCGACTACCAAAGTAAAGATGTTGGCTACATTAAAGGGAGTTAGATCATGATAAGCTTCTATCCTGATAATATTTTCGTGTAATTCACTCTTACCATATCACTCAATTCATTCATCAAAAGAAAGACGCGCAATATTGTGCCTTTATACCATTTGATACCTAATGCGCCTCGCCCCTCACGGAAACCAATACTATTCATCATCACCTCTAACTGCCACACTAGTGGCACAAGCTCACCTTTGTCCACGCTTTTCACATTCCCGTCGCATAAATACTCCAAAGTGAATTAAATATCAACATGGCCCCGACGCCAATACCCGGAACCCCCAGAAGAGCTGCAAGTGGCTCAGGCACAAGGTCTACCCGTCCAAAATCCGCATCAGCCTCAAATCGTAGATTGGAAAATTCAATTATCAAAAATCAAAACTCTGAACCTCCAAAAAAAGGTCGATACGTGCCAGGCGGTCCTGGTGGCGGTGGCAGATACGTGGACGAGAACGGCCAAGATTTACTATTAGTCGGCGGTACAGGACCAGGGGGTTATAATTATATTGGACCTCGCGGTCGTATAGGACGCGAAAACGCTGCGAACGGAGTCCAGCCGGTCGTTTACCCTCGCAGAGATAATCGAACAACAAGAACAAGGACAGTACTTCCTCGCGCACAGCAGCCCCCCATGGCCGCCCCAAGCAGATTCGGATCGTCGTCGCAGGCTGCCGCAGCTGTCGCCCAAAATGATGGATACAAGCCACGAGAAGAACGAAGTTGGGAGGAGTTTCACCCTGATCTAGATATAAATCAAGAGATGATATGTTTCAGTCAGGAAGCAGTCGAGGGAATAACGAACTCGGGGCCTGCAACACCCGCCGGCGCATCGCAATCAGCAGAAGTATCAGTGAATGGTAAGCCTGGGCAAGCGAACGATAATGGCGAAAGTGGCACAATCGCAAGTCCAAATAGTGCAACCCCTACTTCCCTACCAACCGGCGTTCCAATTCCATATACTATTCCCGGTACACCAGGAGGAGGTAAGAGAAGACCTGGTCGTCCTCCAAAAAATCCCGAAGCATTCTACGCTGCAAGGGCTGCCGCGAACCTTGGAATACCCATGGGACTAAATACCCCGAAGACCCCGAAAACACCAAAAGGTATACATGTTGCGAATAGTACTGCTAAGGAAAAGTTGACCCTACCCCAGCCTTCATTCCGACTAACGAACACTCTCAAAAAATTCGACACGCCAGCATTCGACCAATATGTCGATAAATCCATGGCGAACGTGGGATATCAGGAAAGCGACGAATTTATTCGGCCTGAGCAAGAGTTCATAAAAGCTTCTGATATCAACTTCAACGAAGATTTGGATGGAATAGGAAGCACCCTTGGTCGTGTTGAGTATGACATGGATGAAGCAGACGATAAATGGTTGCAACAATATAACGAGAGGCGGAAGGTGGAAGGCGTTGATGAGGTTCCCCGACACATTTTCGAAGTAACTTTAACAAAAATAGAGAAGGACTGGCATAACCTAGAACGAACTATACCAAAGCCGAATCCCAAACCTCCTCAAACCCATCGACCCAGGTCCAGCTCCGCTGCTGCAGTTAATGGCGAGGCTCAGGTCGGGGAAGAACAAGACAGCAAATGTGCTATCTGTGATGATGGAGATTGTGAAAACACCAATGCAATCGTCTTTTGCGATGGTTGCGATTTAGCCGTTCATCAAGAATGCTATGGTGTTCCTTTTATCCCTGAAGGTCAATGGATGTGCAGAAAATGCCAATTGATTGGACGTTCTACTCCCGTAAGTCAAGTTAAGATTCTTATTATCACTCTCAATGCTAATACATCTTTTAGACCTGCATCTTCTGTCCGAACACTGATGGAGCGTTCAAACAAACAAACGCTTCGAAATGGTCGCATTTACTTTGTGCAATGTGGATTCCTGAAGTCTCTCTCGGCAACACTACATTCATGGAGCCAGTTATGGAAGTCGAGAAAGTGCCAAAGAGCAGATGGAAGTTGAACTGTTATATCTGCAACCAAAGCATGGGCGCATGCGTACAATGTGGCAATAAGGCATGCTTCACAGCGTTTCATGTTACTTGTGCTCGCAGAGCTCGCCTGTTTTTGAAGATGAAGAATAATCATGGGACACTGGCAGTTCTGGATGGGCATGCTGTTCTGAAAGCCTTTTGTGATAAGCACTCGCCCCCAGATCATGCTCGGGAAAATGACACTGTCGCCGCTACTGCGGAAGCTCGGAGGTTCTACAAGAAAACTATGCGTGGACGTGTATGGGCTGATTCCAATGAAGCGGCAGGTATGTTGGCTCTAGCGCATCGCAAAGCTGGAAGACAATCCGGAGCTGCGGATTTGAATGGTGCCCGTGGATCATTGCTGCAATACAACCAAGATATTCAGTCGGAGGAGCCAATCAAAGGTGTCTGGAAACTTCCTTCGGGCGCTCCGATCATTCCGAAAGTTATCTTCAACTCTGTTGAGATGTCATTGCAGCGTTATAATCTTCGCAGGCGTAGGGAGTGGACTGCAGATTGTTGTAAGTATTGGACACTCAAGAGAGAGGCCCGTAGGGGTGCAGCTCTTTTGAAGCGATTACAACTCCAAATGGAAAGTTTCTCTTCTATGGAAATCACCCGGCGCAATTTTTCCGGTATGGGTCACGTTGGGAGGGAAAGACTTACGCGTCGTATTGGCTTCGCTCAACTTCTGCTCAAAGACATCGAAAAGCTTCGTGAACTTGCTGGAGAAGTTAAAGAACGCGAACTTAAGAAGTTGGAGGCTGCAAGGGTCGAGAAAGATGCTGTTGATACGATATACTTCCCTGTTGCGCATTTACTTCCTCCGGTCATTGAAAGGGCTTTGCAGTAAGGTTTTCCTGATTGTGAAGGGCGAAAAAAAAGCTAACAGGATACAGACTCGATAGCAAGAAGGCTTTTGCCGCTGGCCTCAATCGACTCAGTGAGAGGCTCAATCAACGCTTTTATACTACTACGGGAGCGTTTGCGAAAGACTTTGGTTCGGCGATCAATACTGCTATCATGGGCGATGCCCAACAGGGTGAACAGAAAGGTAATGTTGCTGGGGAAATCGAAAGGACTTTCACCAAAAAGGTTATTATCGAAGTCCGAGATCGCCGTAAACTTGGAAAACGCATAGTCAAAGCTGTCCAGCCTATGTTGGAGGCTGCAATTCGAGCCGAGTCTGATGTGGTTAAGACGACGCCTGAGGACCAACTAAAAGTGTTGAATACCTTACTCGAAAACTGTCTACTTCCTCCTGAAGGTTCGAACGGCTCACTTGATGCATTCGCAGATGCTGGAGCACTGGAGCCATCGCAAGACGAGGACATGATTGATGTTGCACAATCAGAGGAGGTTGCTTCTGGAGCTTTAGAGAGTGGCGTTGTACCACGCTTGGGATCTCCCAATGCCAAGGCTGAAGATATAGATACGGATATGCCAGATGTCGATGCCAGCGCCCACGCCGAGCATGATGTCGAGGATGTTATTCATGTCGCGTCTGGTGCTACTCCCGGTACAGACCACATGATAGATCCGCAGCTCCTTGACAGCGGTATCGAAAAAGCCACTGTAAATGGTAATGCTAACGGTATTACACCACCTGATACCAACGGGTATTCTTCTACTCCAGAGGATAATCAAGCTTCTCCGCCAACACCACCGGTTTCGAATGGTGAAAATACTACAGATGGTGCAGATGTCCTTACCAATGGGGGCATCCCATGGTATGTCAAAGATTTCCAGCCTGAAGGAACAAGCGTCTTGCAAGAGGTTTTGGTTGAGAATTCGAATGGCTCTCACGCAAGCGATGACCTCAGCGAAATGGACGATGAGGATGTCAAAGCATTAGGTGGCATTCAAGATGGCCCGAGTGAACAGAATGGCACAACAACGGCCACAAAAGGAAGGAAAGGGAAGGGCAGAAGAAAATTTCGAGGATTCAAGTAATTTGAGTTTATTTTTATGGGTTATGGTTTCTTTCCGAAGACTACGGCATTTGTATAATATGGGCTTTAATTCTATCAAAGTGTGTTATTAGTGTGGGAGTTCTCTATATCCAGGTCCGACAAGTTTCGTAGGGAAGCCATGGAGTTATCGGTCAGCTTATTAAGGAAAAGAATCGATGCGTCATGCTTTAACGATGGAGTTTATATGCACAGAGGTTAATGTGCTTGGAGGATTATTGTGCCGGAAGGAAAATTAATGCCATGGCTTTTGTGCGTTCTGGAGGCTATAAGGAGGGACTTTTGCGATCGGCATGCACAGCGCTGGACGGGCAACATACTTTCAAGGGCGCCGGATGGAAATCATATAACACTCACTTTTTTAATGGATGCTGTACGAGTATAGTAGTAGACAGATAGAAGCAATGAAATTTTGAAGCTATCCGTCAGTATTCTCTGTTTCCTCCTGTTACTGGAAAGATTGAATGCCCAGTATTCAAACTGCATATAACTCTTCAAAATTGGAGACAACTTCATATAAGATATTATTTAATATAAATTTGGAGATTAGCTGATATAGATTTCGAAAGGTATCTGGTGGGATCTCTGCCTTGACGTTAAGAGGAGTATCGTGTTTACATACTGCTCCTTTATTACAGAAACTGGTGAACTAATTACGATATAAAGATCCATCGCCTTCCGCGAATGTTGCAGTACCATGTACCATGATGATATTTCCCCAATGCCGCATTTTAACTGGTGGAAAAATAATCAGCCGCATTGATATCAACGTATCAAAGGCGACCTCCGCGGTGACCCATAAAAATGGCAGTGTCACGGCAACGACCCCGGGAAAAATCTTAATGCTATGAATTCATTTGATGAGATAAATCCGAGACAGGAACCCCGCCAGGATGGTGGGGGTGATCGGCCCTCAAATGGAAAACATATAACCTCCATCGTACATACATGCTGAGAAGGTACCTAGGTATTTATAGTTGAGAAAATCCCTTTCGCTTCTACCTCTTCCTCCTCTTCCTCCTCTTCCTCCTCTTCCTCCTCTTCCTCTCTTCTTCTATTTCCTCAACCACTACTCCCATCATCTATCTGATCTCTCACACTTCCCCCCTTCAGAAATCCCAACTTCTCCCATATTACTTACCCCTCCAAACCTTACCCTACCCCTCAATCACCCCCATAATAAAACCAAAATGGGATATCCAGACACCTTCACAGGATTCCAAATTGAAGATCCTGCAAAATGGACCGAGTTTCACAAGAATCAATATACACCCAAACCATTCGGCGACTATGATGTCGATATCAAGATTTTGGCCTGTGGTGTTTGCGCAAGTGATTTGCATACTGTTAGTGGAGGGTGGGGTGAACAGAAGTTTCCGCTTTGTGTGGGGCATGGTATGCTTTCCCTACGTTATTCTTAATTTGCTGTTTTATATTTTCTTTAATTCCTGATTTGAATTGGGAAGGAAGTCAATCTTCTGAACAAGAAATCAACCAAAATGTTCTGGAAAAAACAATGAAAGTATACTAATATTCCCAACCCGTGCATAGAAATCGTAGGCGAAGCCCTCCGCGTCGGCCCAAAAGTAACTCTCATCAAGCCCGGTCAACGCGTTGGTGTTGGCGCTCAATCATACTCCTGTCTCCAATGTCGTCAGTGCAAAAATGACAATGAAACATATTGTCGTCACCAACTCGATACCTATGGAGCTGTCTGGCCCGAAACGGGTATCGTATCCCAAGGTGGCTATGCTAGCCATGTGAGAACTCATGAGCATTGGGTTTTTCCCATTCCAGATGGATTGAAGTCTGAAGAGGTGGCTCCTATGTTGTGTGCTGGTTTGACGGCTTATAGTCCTTTGGTTAGAAATGGCTGTGGACCGGGAAAGAAGGTGGGTATTGTGGGATTGGGAGGAATTGGTCATTTTGGTGTTATGTTTGCTAAGGCTTTGGGGGCTGAGACTTGGGCTATTTCGAGGTATGTTGATATTACTACCTCAATTTATCTAGGGATGATTGAGATGATCTGAGATGAACATTAAACTAATCCAAATCCCCAAAATAGAACCCACGCCAAAGAAGCCGATGCAAAGAAACTCGGCGCTGATGGTTTCCTCGCCACCGCAGACAAGGACTGGAACAAAGAGCACATCATGACCTTCGACTTGATAGTCAACACAGCTTCTTCCTCCTCAGGATTCAATTTCTCCGAGTACCTCGAGCTCCTCGATGTACACGGACACTGGGTATCCGTTGGACTCCCCGAAGGCGAAGGTCAAACCATCGATAACTTTGAACTATTGAAAAACGGCGTTCTCATCGGAGGAAGTCATCTGGGTAGCAGAAAAGAGGTTTTGGCTATGTTGGATTTGGCCGTGGAGAAGGGTATCAAGAGTTGGGTTGAGACGATTGAGATTGGTGAGGAGGGATTGAAAACGGCGTTGACGAGGTTGCATAATAATGATGTAAGGTATAGATTTACGATGGTGGGTTATGAGAAGTGCTTTGGTACTTAAAATGAATGGGTTATTGCTCGTTTGTAAGATCTTATGTAGGCGAAATATTAAGCTTACATCTTTACCAATATATATGTATTTGAATGTGGAAATTTAAGTGACATCGTTGGGGGTTTTAATGGTAATAGGTTGAAAGTTCAACTAGGGACGTGTCGCGGGATTCATGTAACTTGAGAAGGTATATATACTAGAAAGCACTCTCTTGTCATTATAACACAATATTGACAATTCACATACACGGACGAGGAAATATGAGGTTTTCGTGGAGTTTTTACACTTGAAAATCATAATTTTTTTTTTTCCAAATACACAATCATTAACCTGAATATGATCCCGCACACAGCCAGGACAACGAATATTTCCTCATTACCACTCGTCGATTGTCTCACATCACCGCTAATATTACTTCCCATCACCAAATTCCCATTATCATTATCCTTCACTAAACCTATGGTTCTCTGTCCATCCATACATCCTTCCTACATCTCACACATGTAAGTTACAACACTACCAATCGCAACCACTCACTCACCACATAGAACCCCCTACAATTCAACCCCATCCAATCCCCTCCAATCCCATCAAACATTTCCTCTTCATCCTATAGCTCCAGTCCCTACGGATATCTATCTGTCTCTCATCAATATTTACAATATTTACAGTATCTACAATATCTAATCAGTCTACAAGACTCTAATCGAAATTCGACAGACACTTGTAATTTTGCAGGTCTTCTTGATTATTTGTAGCATATAATAACTCTACTCTCTTAATGGATATTATACATTTAAAAAAAAGTAAACTCCTATAATTGTTTATTTTTTATTTTATTTTATTTTTTTATTTTTTATTTTTTTTTCCAAGTTAATTATCAGTAGGTGAAGATAAAGATGAAGTAGATGTAGTAATTAAATAAAATCATATATTAAACTTTTTTATTCTTATAAGTTTATAAAATCAGATACAAAACTATTTTATTAATTTCATCCTGTTTGTATATTTATAAAAATCATAAAATCTTCATATATATATAAATCAAAAACCGAAAATTATAATTCTACAATCTTATATCAAATACAAAATCTTATATCAGATACAAAATCTCATCTACTTGAGTACTTATATACTATTTATCTATCTATCTATATACTATATACTATATATATTTAACAAACACCCAATACAAAACATTAAAAAAAACAGCTCATAAATATATACAAATACATACACAGATATCTCGATTCACAATCCTATCTCTATTTTTGCAACCCCTCCTTCTCTCCCTCCCTCCTCTCACACTATATATATCTGCTACACCTCCTACACCTCCTACACCTTACATATTACATATTACATATTACATATCATATCCTCTACACACATAAATACACCCACACATATAAACTTTCTCTACACACAAACTTTCTCCCCATACAAAAAAGAATATAAAAGTATACCCCTAAAACCATCAACTGAAGAAAAAAAATCAACATCAAAATAAAATAAACCCTAATCACCCACCCATCAACTCGAAATAAAATTATAATATACCTACCTATCTATCATCCCCACCGCACCACATCATATCAAAGACCCAAGCCAAGGAACTCATCTCATCCCACAACATCTCATCCCTATCAATTCATCAAATCATCACAAGCACAAGCACAAGCACAAGCACAGACAAAACAAAACTAGGGTATAACGCGATCTATAAATTCTCTCCATCTCATCTTATCTCATCTCATCTCCTATGCATTTTTTTATCAACCTGCACTGAACTCATCTCATCTCATCTCAAATCAATCGATCAAGATCTACATCGCACAATCCTAATACCAAGGGAAAAAAAGATAACACAGACGGAAACATTTTTGATTGTACATAAGGAGATTCATCTCTCGTCTCCTTCACCTTAAAGCGATCCATTTCCGCGTGCCTGATTTCCTTCTTCCTCTCAGTGTGTAATGCACAGATCGCCACGAGAAAACCGCCACCTCAACCCTAGCCGACCGACCCAACCCAGAGGAACCCCGTAAAATAGAAATCACATTGCATATCGCATACAAAACTAGTCCCAGTCTAGGCGTTCATCTACTTCATAAGAGAAGATAAAAGAGCACAATAGTTTATCAACCAATGGCAAGACAAGGCAAAACAAGCAAGATATCCACCTTGCATTAATTGCCACTGCCAACCCGCTCCAACCAGTCCGAGAAATTTCTGTTCCTTCATTCCCTTACAAGCACCCGATTTTTCCCAAATGTCCGAACAAACTCACAAAGATGGCGAGGGTGTTGAAAGCTTCATAAAGAAATCCATCATGATCATCAGAGTAATCCCAAGTAGCTCCAACCAACACGACAGGCCATAGCGCCGATAGAAAAGCCGCATCAAAGAAAAACTAAAAGAGAGATAGGTAAATAGAAAACTTGAAGCGAGCCGATGGCAATGTCTAGCATACATAGAACTCGCAAAGCTATGCAATGAAAACAAAATAGAGAAAAAATTAACTAAAATAATCATATACAAGTGGGGTAGTGGATGGTGTCAAAGTTGACTAAATGGTGAATAGAATGACATCGAGAGACTTTTATAATTCAGATGACGGCGAGTTTGGGGAGAACTCTATATTGGTTGTTGCATGAGTTGATGTGTGTTGATAAGCTGACTGGGGGCAGCCATACCAGAATTCATCATTCCCATTGACATAGGCATGCCGTGAAAATTTGAGGTCATGCTTTGTGGGAGATAGCCATTTTCCGAATTTGGGGATGCGTCTTCAAGAGATCCAAGATGATCTTCTCCCTCGAAATCTTCGTCTTCACCACTGTAGCTACCATAGGCACCTTCAGATCCATCACCACGATCATGTGTGCGACGATGCCTATTAAATCATTGTTAGTTCATGTTCTAAATACCCTTCATCGAATTGAGGCGATGGATGCTGTGCTGTGCTGTGCTTTTTGTGGATAGGATGAAATTCAAATAATGTGTTACATACTGGGCTAGGTTGTCTGAGCGGGAAAATGCTTTGCTGCAGTGTGGGCAGATGTAGGGTCTTTCTTGTGTATGGGTTCTCACATGTCTGGAGAGGGGTAGGTCAGCGGCTTGATCTACAGCCGGACAAATGAAATGATGAAAAATGAAAGTATGGAACATACCGTTTAAGATGTTCTAAACGCTTGAACAGACGGGCACAAGTGGGGATTGGGCATGAGTGTGACTTTTGGGGATAGGGACCAAGTTCCATCATCGTGGCGCTTCGTGCTCTTCGCACTACTCCACCAGGTCCTTGCATGTGTCCTCGTTGAGGTGAGTGATCTAGTAGACTATCCCCTGAAAGATCATCATTATTTAATTGAAAGTCTGATTGTTGCAAGGACATTGGGTTCACGTGTGGAGAATCCTCGACGGTAGAAAGTGGGGTTCCATGTCGGGAGAAATCAACGAGTTCTTTGTGATGTGTCATTTGATGGGGTATTTGGTTGCTGTACGTAAGCCCAGGTGGGGAGTTTTCGCCCGACTCGTCGCCCTCAGCTACGGGCCCAACAGAATGCGAGACCGATCTCCTTAGGTCCGACGGTCTGTGAGCCGGGTGAGAATGTTGACCAGCTGCTGCCGCAGCTGCAACGATGGATGCGACTCCAGGTGGAATAGACGAGCGGCGCCTTCTTTGCTTGTAAGTTGGAGATCCCTCAATCACTGAATAGACATTGTTTGCTCCATAACCTCTGGTTGCATGCGAAAATTGTGGGCCAGACAAGTTTGATGGGGGTAACTGCATCATCGTGTGTAGGCCATTAACACCACCCATGTGATCCGGAATTGCTGTGTAGAGACCAGTTTCTTCATTGGCGATATAAGCTGGCTCAGCTCCCATTCCAAGCGCTTGTTGAGGTGGAGTAATGGGTTCAAATGAGATACCACGAGCACTGTAATCTTCGTAGTGTGATGAAACAAATGATGGAGCGGGAGAGTACTCCAATCCATATGCAGGCATGGAGGCATGTCGCTGATGTGTTTGTCCGATCGGGACACCATTCTGGTTGTATTGAACGCGGTTGAAATCTGGTTCCCTCTTAACTTGTTGCATCTGCTGTTGATGATGCTGATGTGGTTGCATTTGTGGTTGCTGCATCGTCATTTGTTGATAAGTTGCCATATGGCTCATCTCTTCTGGCATTGCCATAGCTTGTGGAATCATCTGTGGAGGGGGCATTGAATCTATCGCTCGCATGACTGGGGATGTTGATTGTGATGGGTTATATGAAGGTTGTTGCGCAGAGAATGATGAAGAGTTAGCTTGCTGGGCTTTTGTGAGTTGCTCAAACAATGATTGCGATGAGTCGAATTCGAAAGATAAGGCTGGTTCATTGACTGCAACAGTTGTAGCCTCCTGACCCATCTTCTCCCTCTTCAAATCCCGCTCAAGTGCATCCAAGAACAACCTATCGTGGGGCACACTATACCAATAGAAGACCTTTTGTTTCTTTTGAGTTCGTATGCAGTTGTTCTTGTATAAGAAATCGAGGAAGCCACTCTTTGGCTCCTCAAGGGAGGCATCGGTCCCAGATTTTAAATTTCGCAGATCGGAGAAGATACCCTCTTCAAATTTCTTTGAGTTCTTGACCGGTCGACCAAAGGCTTGGAATCGGAAGGACAGGCATCTTACAATGTCAGTACCAGAAATGTGAAAGAGGTTATTCCTATTCGATCATTAGCTCCACTACACTCTTAATAAAGAAACGCTTCACTATACCATAACACGCAGGAAACGTATTCACCAGTTGGAAGGAGAAATCGTCTGATGTATTGATCCGGCGACCAATCAACAGGAGCAGATATTAAAAAGTATTTTACTGCCACCAAGTCAGTAAGATGCTTATGTGTATTGCTCATTTATACTTACGATTGTCGACTTGTTGAAGGGCTACTTGAGCATCTTGAGGAAGACTTTGTTGTGCTTCACTGCTCAGCATGAAGGTCTCTGGTTTTTGTGGAGGAGCCATCGTCGCATGGTGTTGGGAATACATCATATGCGCCATTCAATTGAGTCGAAACAACGACTCAAGGACTTGTTTTAAGTGATAAGATATCAACTGAATCGATAAGGAAATAGGAACGCCGGCAGGGCCGTAAGGCTGAAGAACACAATGTATCGAAGTATGGCACGTATTGATTGATGTTTGAATCAACGGAAATTCCAGCAACGGCAATGAGGCAATAGATAGTATCCTTGAAATTTCGAAGATTGAAGCGAGCGTCGGAGAAATGAATTGGTATCGGTATCGTGGGGATGTTCTATGAAATGATGGGGTTGATGTTCAGATGGAGGGCCTGCTCCCAGATAAAGCCAGATGGAACAGTTCACGTTCGAGGGGTTCGAGGCCAGCAAGAACTCGACACGAATCTTCTGAAATGTATGTGAAGAGGAGTGAGGAAGAAGAAGTAGAAGAAGTAGAAGAAGAATAAAAAAAAGAAGAAACAAAACCGTCTAATCGCGGTTTGGTTAAATTAAGAGAAGGATTTAAAGTAAAAGGTAAACCGGAGGACTGAAGGGAAATAAAAAGCTTCAGCGAGCGAAAAGGTGTGAATAAAAAGGCTGCAACAACAACACTTTTTAAAAACAAATCTAATCTCTTTCGTCGCGATGATTTCGTTCCCGTTTCGTTCGGTCGGTAAATGAAGAGATACCCTCGGGTGAATGCTGCGATCAATAGAGTAGGCTGACTGCGGCTGAGGGGTGGAAGCTTTTTCGATGTACGGGCGACCTGCGACGAGAATGAGAGACGTATATTTTTTTTCGAGTTTGAGATGAGGAAGGCACGGGGGGGTTTAAGACGGAAGGGTTGAGTTAATAGTCGTTTGAGAATCTCAAATCTGAGCCCTTTGGACCTGGTCTGCGCGGTCGAAATGTGGTAGGGGCCTTGGATCTTTTTTTATGTTACCTGGGTGTTGAATGTGGGTGGTATGTGGGTGTGGTGTATGTGGTGTGCACTTGGATGGACAACTGGAAGAGGAATAATAATAATAATAATAATAATAGTATGACAATAATAGTAATAAAATAATAATAATAATAATAATAATAATAATAATAATTGGAATAATGGGCTAGGAAGGAGTCTAGGAGAAGGAACGGGTGAGAGAGAGAACGGAGAACGGATATGTGATAAGGAAGAACGCTGGTAAAATGAGTGGAATGATAGTCCGCTCTGTGTGTGCCTTTTTCTCTTTTCGTTCTAACTTGTTTTTGGTAATACTTTCAGAGATGATAATCGTTCGCGCTGGCTGCTTTGGCTTTTTGCTTTACCCTTTTGCTTTACCCTTTTGCTTTACCTCGCTTTGCTTATTGGGGAGTGTCCAGGTGTGGTGGTGTGGTAAGAAAATGGGTCAAGGGGTTGGTGGTGGGTTGTGCTTGGGTTTGTGCTCAAAAAATGATGTCGTCTCCAATCTTTTTCACTTGCTCTTTTAAAAGTTAAGATCTCCAGAGCTTGGATCGCGCGTGGTTTGATTTGGTCGCTATTAGTTGTTGAAATGGATGGAAAGGTATATCCCAGACGGCATAAAGTGGAAATATCTACTTGTAATCGTAGTTCGAATCGTTCGAATGGTTCGTGCCTCACGCCTTGGATAAGTCGTGAAGTTCTCCCCGTACCGCTTTACAGGTAGATGTCGCCGTTTCAAACTCGAGGGGCAGAGAAGGATTATTAGACAACCTTTTTGCTTCTTCTTGTGTTTGCCCGTTATTGTTTTGAGGTCGTAATGTTCGTAAAACGTCGTTGAAATAACTAGCTATTGAACAGGGTTTCTTGATGATAGCTCTCAGTGACTAGGTTGAAGAAAGTTCGAAGGATCAGATTGGTTACTATCGTGATCTGAAGCAGAGCTTCCAGGGGGAGAAAGTTGAAGGTTATCAAGGTCGTATTGATTATGTATGCTGTATGCTGTATGCGGAATGCGGAATGCAGGTGAAGGAGCGCAAGAAGAAGGGAGTTATTGAAGACCGAAGGATGGAATACTGTACCTGTAGAGGTATTAGGTAGTAGTACAGAATCCTAAGGGTGGTGCTAATAAAGATTTCGGAAATGGAGCGTGAACGTGCGTGCTTATGTTGTTGCAAATGGCTTTCTTCTCCTCATCGCTATGTGTTGTACGGAGTATGATTTCACGTATATCACTTATATTCCCTTTCCGGGCATCCTCTCCATTCCTAAGTTGATATGGATTCCGTGAACTTTTGATCTCTTACTATTGAGAGAGAATTGGCGGGTGGGTTTGGATAGAAAAAAGTGGATGTCAAATGGAAATCCTTTTCCTTCTAGAGCAGATGAATAATATGAATAATGACTTTTTTTTCACAGTGAGACAAGAGATAACCGAATAAGAAATAAGAGAGTGGTCGGTAGGGACGTCTTTGATTTAGAACCAAATTACTATGTAGTTATGTAGTCATGTAGTCATGTAGTTATGGTAAACTCATTAGAAGATAGAACTATCAGTCGACAAGAATCCAAAGAGTTACATTATTCAAATCATGACCCTCGATTTTTGATATTGGATTGGATTCAACAAGTTCATTAAAATTGTTAAAGCAGCATCAGATACAGAGGACCATACAGAATGTAATGTACTGCGCGACTCAAGAAAAGTAACCGCTAGGGCATCATTATCCTGATATTGGGCAATAATATTAAAACAGCGTGGAGAAGCAAATATTATTAATAGGTTGGTTTTGTGCTGTGGGTGTTCAGTTCATCTAGGCCAAAGTACTGGACACAGCTGACGGACGATAAACATGACTTGTACACCTCGTGAACCAAATGATTCTCAACCAATTAACCGAATCATCTAAAATTGTATACTCTCGTTATACTCTCGTTATACCCTCCACCCGCCTATTGGATGGATATCTGTATTTGTATTTGTAAGGCCTAATTAGCAGGAAAATAAATAACGGAATGATTGATTTCTAATTTCCCACACTTCCACTTCAATATGGCTTCTATTGCTGGAGTTTATAGCTTATTACTATTATTTATCCGTCATAAATCTGTCTATGTCTACTTCCATAAAATAAAGCAGATGTGAAAATCTCCTCGGTGGCTTAGAGCCCTGTCAGAATACCAATGGGATGCTATCATCTCAGGCCTTCGTGTTTGAGAAGTACTCCGATCAAGGGTAAGACTGCACGCGGCACAATCTGCTCCTGGCGCTTGTTTCTGCTTTCCCTCTCCCTTTTTCTCCAGTGACTGTCAAGCTGTCTCCCTGTCTAGGTAGTTACCTCATCTCAGACATGTATACAACCTTCCTGTCCATGTTCTTTCATGTCAAGATGATGTACCTAAGGAGTAAGAATGAGGTAGGAATAGGAACGAGGTGAAGTGAAGCTTAACCGAACGTACCGAAAGTGTAACCCTGATAATGAACTGGCGATGATGGAGGCGTACCATTCCTAGGAATCTATATTACCGTGCCGTTTTCAAGGTGGTGGCTTTGTTTCTCGTGCAGCACCTTAGGAAAGGAAAGAAATTTGTGTTTCAGGGTTGTTTTTATTAACACTGTAGTTAGCTCTGTCTATAGTCTATTAGGTCTTTTGAGTGGGTCTACAAACAATTGAGAAAATGGAATCACCCAAGCTCACTCTAGAACCTTAGATCAACGTTAAGAGAGGATCATTCGTTATTGTAAAAACTGGGTACAGTATAATATTTCACAAAGAACTTTCATAATGAAGGGATTAATCATTAAGATCATGGAATATGAAACATATATCTTTTGAATAAGGAAATGGTTCCTCCCTTTCTGTTTCATTCCTTGTTGTGATGATGCCCGTGCTAAGGTCTGTCTCATGTGATTATGCTGTCTCTTAAATCTTATAAGTTATGACACCACTTGCATCGGCTTCGTATACCTCATTTGATAGGTAATCTCCGCGTAACCTTGCCATCTGCATGTCTGGGCCATGCTTCTTGCATCGGGAGTAAATTATGTGGTTCCTCCCTATGCAAACTGCTTTCTCGGTCGAACCTCACAGAAAGCAGAAAGGAAACCTCTTTCAGTGATATGACGATCTAGTAATCATTGGTCTATTAGTGGAGCATGGAGGGTCGTACCGGCAGGGAGAGCGGAGTAATATTCTCACTGGGAACGAGATTTAGAATTGGACATCCAGACAGGTATCACAAATCGGGCTAGTACGACCGCTTGGGGACTCGGAACTCGCAGTTGAGAAAGCTGAAGACCGCATGTTTCTATATTTGGTCTTGCTAAGAAATGGAAAGACCATGTAGAACAAAAAATCACCTTTCTGCGTGGGGGAGGGAATGGATCCTGTGGGGCATAGGTTGTCAATAAATGAGGCGAGAAATATTCGTGGTGGCATTTCACAGATGATCTAGTCAGTGCAATACATTGGTACATTGGAAGACCTAAGAAGATTCATGCGTTGGGTTGACAGAGAGGAAGAAATCTTGACTCGAAAATTGAAGGCTCAGATCCTCAACTACTTTGTAATTTTGTTAGAATTTCTAACTAGACCTCAGTGGTCATAAGGCTTAAAGGGAGTACCGGTGCATCGTACTGTTAGTTAACTCACCTGCTAAATGCCGCGGCGTAAATGGCGCGCGATCTGAGCGTTGAACTGTCGTTGCTATGACGGTAAACTTACTCAGTGTGGACGTGTAGACCCACGAATATCCCAGGATTGAAATCCTCAAATACCACCCTTCTGGTTGATACAAACGATGCGATCTGAGATCTCCGCTCAAAGATGGATACTTCCGCACGCGAGTCACGAAGAAGTTTAGTCTGTCGTCCCGCGTCCGTCAAGTTCATAGAATGGTCGATATGTTAACATGAAACAATGCTGAGGATTTCTCGCCTTGCCTCAGAAATGCAGGTACCTACTGGTTTTTGTGATGGCTTCGAACCGTTGAGAGGCATATGAGTTGCTAGATGCCTTGCTAATCTTCCAGTCCTCGAGCTTGAGGATATTTCTCTCGTGACCCTGGTTCAGGTCTTCCAAAAATGGTGATAATGCGGTAAAATCTTTCGCCACCAACGTTGATAATACTCGAGAGTTCGCATTGTTTTTGGAATGTCGTTGCGACTTTTATCCATATTTGGGGTGTATTTCGGCAGGGAGCGATTCGGCAATCTATAATATCCATCCATTTCGGTCATGGTGAAAGTATAAAATCAAATCTTGTCCTTCATCGCTGTCGGTTCTTGCTCGCTCATCGTTTCTCAGATTTTACCAGTGATAACTAGTCAGGAGTATACCCCCGCCATCAATGCATTACCTTATAGCGGCGTGAACACTGAACTGGACCCTTCTAATTCTGCCAATCAATCCACACGCATCAATGCAGCCCTTACTGCACCTAGAGCCATAAAATGACACACACAGCATGTACCTTGCCTGTACGGAGTACGTATGGTGGGATGTATATTCACAATATAGCCAATCCATGGCGCCCGCACCCCCAAAATGCAAGAGGTGATATTTGCGCACATTTGCCCCTCTAAAACCGAAATCCTATGCTCACTCCCGATAAATTCTATCGCGGCCATATGGCAGTGCCTTCGCCATCGAAATTGGGAGCTGTTCCTATCATCGATCACAGTTTCTCGGGAGGATTTCTTAAATCGGTTCCTGCGTTTAGTTTCAAGGTATAACGCAGGTAGATCTTCTAAATCAGGTCAAGCATAAATAGCGGTACCTGTTTGATCATCAATTTAAAACTTGATTGCATAGCAAGGTACTGCCGTCGAAATCATCACGGAATGGATAGATCTAACTTTCTTCTAGAGAAAACTTTTGAGTGTTGTGATGTTTCTTCATGGTGAATCCCAGATGAAGGGGATTCCGAAAATTAAGCGATCAAGTTTTGTAAATGGGCTACCACGGAACACGGGCATCCATCACTCATTTTTCTGGAGGATTTCTTTTTGGGCACTTCATACAGACTCTTTTCGCGATGTGATAACAATAGAGACGGACCGCAGAGATAGCCACGAAGATCATCATCATCCATATCATGCATTTCTTACTAACGCTTTCCCACAATTCGCAACAAAATCCCCGAAATCTTAAAATTCCAAGGAATTTAAGCAAGCAGTAGGCAAAGTAAAGCAGGTACGCGCGAAGCATCTTTCTCTCGAGATTTTTCAACCATTTGATTTTTCAGCAATTAGACTCGGCGTTTACATACATATGATATATATGTACCACCATAGAGTCAACTCAATCTCGTACCTATTATTTACCTTGCTCTGGGACTCCACTATACAATGTGATGCAGTGATCCCGAAAATAGAGTATTCGGTAAATACTTACATACAATCCACATTCGCACCTTAGCCCAAATTCCAAAATGCTGATGTACCGGTAATAATTTCTCATTTAAGGCGAGATACCTTCCGCGATATAGGATATAGAACACAAAATTCTACAGCTACACATATCATATCATTGTAGATTCAACAACTAACTAATCTCTGAGGAATATCTACAACACAGTAATCTAATTCAAATTGGCCAACCATCATACGATATCACAAACTTAAATGCCTAAAAGTCAAAAGCTGTGCGGTGCGGTTTATTTCGCACATCGCATAGTCCATTTCTGCAGAAAACGAAATACCGAGCGCTTGCTCAATATCCAATCTGCCCGCATTTCATGAATTAAAAAGATTACTGGCTGCATCTCCCAAGATACACAACCTCTAATCGATTGGCTCATGAGGTTTCTCCATCTTCTCTTCAAGAATCTGATACATCGCTAATTGGCTAGCTTCCACTCTAAGAATGCACATGAATAAAATATTGCTCTAAACAAGGGATAAATTAATGCAGGTATGCATGAAACATCTACTCAAGCTTGAGCTTTTCAGGATTATTACTGGAGACAAAGGTACGGCTGTCTCAACTTTTTCTGTTTTCCACTCTACGGGAATTGATCGCCCGTCCGCCGCGTTGCCGCTTCTTTCCTTGTTTAGATCTAGATCGTCGAGCACCAATCCGTGGGTAAATAACACAAGAATTCTTTCGGGGTTCGAACTGGAAAGCGTTAATATATTCATTAATGACCATTCAAATATAATTCCAAGATCGGTATTGAGGCCACCCTGACTACGGGGTAAGTCTTTGCTGTCACTTTTACCCCAGCTATCAGACCCGAATCTTGTAAGCTCGTGACTATGAAAGCGCTTCCAAAGACCGCCAAAGCGACCACCCCTTCTATAATTATCTGCAAATGTTCTTCAGCTGTAATTGCTGGGCCAGTAACTCGGTGTCGGCGTCTAATTCATATCTGTTGTACTCCAATGATTTACTTCTAGGTCAGTATCTTCAGATTCAAAGGAAATAGGAATACCAGGCATGACATCACATGCCGACTGGTATTTCTGCCCAAATGCTTGCTCGGTATGATTATCAAAGCTTGAAACGACGGTGTCTACGGGTTGGAATCAAGAGGAGATCCTTTGGACTAGGTCCTTCTAGATTGTGTCAGAATATTCTATAGCAAGTGATTATTAGCAGTATTTTTCCTTCATCTCTTTCTAGTAGGCTAGGTGTCTACCGTGCTTCTTTATGTCAATACTGCAGTTGCAGTGCCAGTGTTAGTGTATCTGCGCACGCTGCAGGGCGAAACAAAGAAGGACTAGTTACCTAATTGTGGCTCGCTGGTTTTCAGCATTTTTGCGCAAAGATGGTGCCTTTGCTACCATATTTTAATATTGTAATCTTACCTATCATCTAGTCGTAAGATGCTGAAGTGGTGGATAATTCAAAACAGTGTAGTTGCATTGCTCTCAGACATTCTGTACATCAAATATCTGAAATCACATCCTGCATGAATAAAAATCGAACTACAAAGAGATTAAGTAAACGAGCTGGAGAGCTTTTGTACGAAATTTCGGTAGTTGGATCCCCTTCGTACTTCGCCGCAAAGCTACAGTACTTTGGTACTCTCTTTCTTTGTATATTCGTCTGTAAATGTCTCATTCTTATCCGAAACATCCATTCAATACGAGAAGGATTTCGCTTCAAGCTTGATTCATATTAGGATCTCATCTTGTGCCTTATCTCATCTTGAGCAATAAAGAAAGTGCTTACTTAATAAATCCTGAGATAAGTTCAGTGGCTGAATAACGAGGTAAGAAAGTCTTTTGTTGCATATCGTGAAATGGAGGATCTAAGATCGGATTCTATGCCATGCTTATCCCATCCACCTGTCTTTCGCAATGAGCGAATAAGTGCAGAGGAGCGGCTCATGTAGATGGAAGGATGCTTCTTTGCACACCCTGCGATCCGAAATCCTTCTATTGATTGCATTGCATACTGTCAGTAAAGAATGGATGAGATGCAGGAAAAGGATTCTAGTGGTAGCGAGTGTTTGGCGTGGAGGTGGCAGTGAAGATGAGTGGGGAGACACCTCGGTACGGGATGATGGATCCTTCCACGTTTGATGTCTAAACGGATGGCCGTCAAAAGTTTGGATGGAATTTCGAATCGCGAGCCTTATGTTCGGGGCTGAGGAAGGTTCTTCGTGGATTCGATGGCTCCTCAGGTGTTGTCATGGATAATGGAGTTTTATGCGCTATAAAATACGACGGCGAGGGCGAAACTGCGGGAGGATTTAGTCGCATGTCTTCATGTCTTCATGTCTGTTTCGTGTTTCGTTTCGAGGGGTGCTAGTGTTGAAATATACGGCACAGGTACAAACGTTCACATAGGATTGAAGAAACTTCTGTGATGGTGGCTTTTACTACCTGTTGGGGATAATATTCCCTTGCATCATGATCCTGAGCCGAGGTAGAATCACAATAATCATGCGTTTAGCATATCAATTTTGGTTTACGGATCCTCCTGAGAGGATAAATTCATTCACTTATATGCGCATAATCAATCACATCACATCACATGCACGTTCATTCATATATATCCAGCCATCTTTCGCATCCTATTTCTTGCTGTGAACGATTTTTAGCATTAGAAACCTCACACGTCCTACAATGCAAAGACTCTAGAGGTACGATTTCGTCCATATGAGATACCCAAGTATGCTGCGTGTAAGTTTTTGAAGTTTCCGCAGGAGATTCTTGATACCGTGATTGAGTAGGATAGAGTACATGAAATTGTTGTATCGCCAACTTTCTGCGCCGGAAAATAACTTAGATCATGTATTCTGATGCGAGTAGCAGGTGCTATTCACGCGAAATGAATGTCTGTATCCTAGAAGAGACAATATCAGTACAAGCAGGTTCCCTTCACAAACCCTTTCCACAAACCTCTGAACTTTTCTTGCAACGCGGAGGAGTTCTAGAAATATTTACAAATTACTGCGGTTATGTCCTTTATTTTCCTTGTGGTAACAGCTGCATATTTATATGGCATCACAAATTCCTTTCCCATATATGAATGGGCATCGGAAAAGGAGGTGGATTGTAAAACTCAAGGCTCCTCAACAAGTACCTACCACCTCGAAATGTAAAAGTCAGAACTGGGCAACAGGGAATATATATAGATCACTAAATCGCTATTAGATATCTGTCACTCTATTTGTAACCCTTAGGAGATATCCTATGATTCATGATTTCCTTTTTGGAGAGTTGATAAAATCAGAGTCCATCCCATGTCTCCTCCCTTTTTTCCTTCTCGTTCTCTTTTTTACACCTTTTAATATCTTTTTTGGCATTACATTCATCCCACCCCCTGTGCTTTCCATTAGTTCACCGCCACTATTTTGATTTGACACACACCACTTGATCGATATCTACGTTTCTTAGTCTTTGAGCTGCGCCTTTGCATCGATTGGCTTTCTTTTTCGACTCGTTCGCAGTTCTCAACTTTGTTTCCTGTTCGCTCCTGCTCAATATCTTCTGAAGTCAGCTCTTTAGCTGATGCTACTATTACCTGCTGGTCCGACATGTTGCTCGAAGAATCAATGTGCGGGTATAGCTTTGCTGCGTCAGACAAACTCCTGGTATTTATTCCCTTGCATGTTTGAAACAGTAGAGTACTGGAGATGTACAGAGTAGTTCAGTTGTTTCTTCGTGATTCCTGTAGGATATAAATTGATTCGACTCTGTTGCACATATGCTTTCTCTCCTTCGTGGGACAGCGAAATTCCTTATTCTTGCACTTGAGTCTCGAAAACAAGGGCCAAAGCACACTTCCAAGGAAGGATTTTTGTAAGTACTATTCTCCTTGGTTTTATTGAAAAGGACAAAATTGCTAATGTAATCGTGTGAATTTGGATTCACTGATCATTTTCATTACTCATTAATGAGTATGAGTGAGGGATCTGGAGGTCAAAAGCAATAGGATAAGGAATATATTGGCGTGGTAAAATGAAAGTAATATTACATGTAGTTTGCCAATAGCGTTACCAACTTCCCCCCTTGAATACCACTTCCACTCCAGCACAGCCCTCAATATCCACGACAGGCATCCCACCTACAAATCTATCCTCCCATTGACATTTTACCATACCTGGACCCCCTCCCTCACAACCACCATCCCCACATCCGCATCTCTTTCCCCCTCCACCACACCCCTAACAAAAGCACCCCCAATCCACGGCTCCAGAGCACCCATCCCCTTCATACTATCCGACCCAATCCCACCCAGTCCTGTAGCCAACCACCCTGGACTCACCGCCCACACCTTAACCCCATCTTCATGCAGCGCACGATACCATTCCCGCATCATCATATTCAATCCCGTCTTCACACTTCTGTACGCCGGCACGTTGAAATTCTTGCCGTCGAAATTCTTCTTGGGCCATCCTTTGGCCGAGTATTTGTTTGGGGGCAAATTCATGTTGGTCGTGTTGCCGAGACTGGCTGTGCCGGATGCGATGAAGAGGAGACGTGGGTTTGGCACTGAGTTCGAGAGAAGAAGGGGCATGAAAATGGATGTCATGACTTGCGATCCTGATACGTTTATATCCCAGGATTTATTCCACATTTCGCGTTCGGACATTTCTCCACCGGTAAGTCGTTGGTCGAGTTGTGCGCCTGGTAAATTGTTAGATATGTTTGTACAAATTCCTAATTTCCTTGCATAGCATCTTAAGTCAAGGAATGGCAGGAGAGTATGAAGTCATGGGGTAAATTTCATACCGGCGTTATTAACGAGCACATCCAACTTTCCAAATTTTTCCTTCACTTCCTCAAATGCCCTGGCGATTGCGTCGTCGTGTTCGATATCCACAACCAACGGATATAACTTGCTATTCAATTCTTTCATCTCACTCGTAACACAGTCGATAGCATCTTGAATTTTAGCCGAGAAACGTCCGCCAAGGATAATATCATATGCTTTCTCCGAAGCGTAAAGGGATTTCACAATTTCAAATCCAAGGCCCGTATTAGCGCCTGTGATAAGGATTACTTCTCTTTGGGTTTGAGACATGGCCGAAAGTACTTTTGAGAGATGAGATACGATGCTCGAATGAAATGAGGCGTTGGTAGTTTGATCGTGAAAATCAGTAAAGCTCGAAGTCTGTGATGTCTGAGGCGAAGGAAGAGTGAGGGATGTAAGATTTTGTCCTTCAAAAATGCAGATACAAAAGAGCATGTTATATATCCTCCATGAGATATTTTCCAGGTGGTGTTAAAATGCTCTCGCCCGGGATTCGGGGTGCTCCCTTTCCTCTCGGCCGAGTAATGCCAGGGGGAAAATACCAGAATTAGGCGAACTGTTAAATCCATTTATGTCCGAGCTCCGGATTTAGGATAGTTAGTCGGTGATAGAGAGTTCGTTTAATTGTAAATTGTTCATGCGTATTAGATTGGGAAGAGAAGGTAAATATTCACAGTCCAACTCAATAATCAGTCTATTTTGGGCATGGTCGATCGAGAGTAGACTGGAGACTCGGGGTGCAGATGGACTCAAGGCATCGTAACTCTTAAAGTCTGACCATTTATGCTAAGGACTTCGACTAGGTAGTTTATAAAACATCAGCCATTAAATCTTCCATGGCATCCACTTCTATCTCGAAATTATGCATATCAATCACAATACCATCTCATCATTTGGTAAATCTAAATATTGGTACAAAAATGTCCAGCCGGCATCATCTCTGCCAGTGCTGGTAAGGTTTGGCGTGTTGCCGCCCCAGATCTCGGTATTTTCCTGAATAGATACATTTGCATGCCAATTTGTATCGGGCACGTCTACTTGACCATCCTGGAATGAGTAGTACATATTGGGCGTTTCGTTAGTTAGGCCGCACTTGAGAATAGTAGCTTCAATAAGCCGTCGTACTTTCCCAGTGCCTTTGCGTCTAGAAGACTGCTCCTCAAATACTCTCTTAGCTTCCTCTAGCATCGCCAAGGAAACTGGCACATCTACTACTGATGTCACTTCGAATTCATGCAAACCCTGTCTCGAATAACAAATGGTAAGACACAAAGCCGCACATGCAAGCAAAAAGTCATGCCACGTAAGGCTACCCATAAACCAGCGCTGTGTTTCCAATTGTCCACCAGGCTCAAACTCTTTATACATATCTAGAAATCTTCGCACCAGTTCCGATGATGACTCGTAACAAGCTTGAAGGCTCTTTGGCGATCCACGCGTAATGTATTTTCGATGAAGGACGCAGAGACATTTGTGATAAATGAAATATACGCAAAGCCGAGTGACTATCAGAGATGGAGAATCAATCACTGAATCTGCCATGTCTCGTGCTTTGAAAACTTCTGGAAGATTTATGAACGTGTCTCTAATATCTTGATCGAGCTTTTCCAGCTCCTCACTTGACATGTCAAAAACAGAGAGAGTGTGTCGTATGACTTTTTCAAAGACAGTCACTAGTTTGTGTTTTACGATGAAGAAGAGTAATTCTGTAGGTTCATTTACCGGTCTAGCAGCTGGTAGTTGCAAAGTGTTTTCATCAAAATCGGAATCCAACAAATTCGTCGGGGGCTTTGTATCCCAAGTTGGGAATTGGATACTACTAGGTAATCCCAGCTGGAATGAAACAAGCATATCGATTTGCAGTAACATCGACCAAGTGCGCCTGCGAATTTCTCCCTCAAAAGCGGAGAATCTTCTTCCGGATATATCAGCATCGCGATGGTAACCCATGACTGTTGCTAAACGGACGAGTGTCCCAAGAAGGATAGCTATGCTAGAATCGAGATCTAATCCTGCGAGACATTTTGAATGTACTAATAGAAGAAGCGCTTCAACCGAAAATTGTTGAGGCCGATAGTAATCTCCAGCGACTAGGCATTGTGCAGCGGCTACATCATATCGTTCGATTGAACTCTCCTCATCTGTGACCTGATTTGTTGACACTGCCCGGGTAGCTATATCGAGGATTGAGAACAACATTGAGGTCCAAAGTGGCGAAGCATTGGAAGGATTGGCCCAGAAGGACTGATAATACTGACGGAACTGTGTGGTATGCACAAAAGGAGCCACGACCGTTTTCGTCCTAAAATAAGCTCCGACTAAACGATCAACTTTTATTTTTGGAGGTAACAATTGTGATAGTATTTGATGGAATGTTAATGATGAGTCCTTTGCACTTAGTAAGTAATCAATTGGATCCTCATGTGTACCAACGAAATCCAGTCTCACGCCATCAATGTTATCATATTCTGTGATTACTGTCCGTAGTTCTTCAATATCATCAAGCATCGCAGACCAATGAGTTTCGCCGTTGTGGAGTGCTCCTTGAGGTACACCAGCTCTCTCAGCTTGAAACAAATTACTACCATCCACAATTACGGGAGCTTCCTGTGGCTGTGATAGTTGCTGAACCAATTGTTCCAAGTGTTTAAGTCTCTCTGCAGCGGACAGCCGATTTTGATCTCCACTTGGTCCGGCCTGTGATCCTTCAAAGCCTTTTTTTGAGTAGACGCAGGCAGCTGCGTCATTTCTTCGAATGCAAGATGAGCAAGGAATTTTGAGATCGCATTTCAACTTGCGCTTTCTGCAAACTGTGCAAGCGCGCAATTCACGATGTCTTGTGATTCGGCGTTGTTGTGTAGACTCCATTGATATTTGTCAGCTTTGAGACCCTTTATTCGCAGTTGCTAGTTCTGCGAGGTGGTCGAGTTCTTGGACAGATATTTGTGCTTATCTAGAAGCTTCCTCTGCGATAGCCATGAATTATGATCGATGTTCGATGCTCGATATTCGATATGTGTAATAGAAGTGGAAGTTTGAGGGAGGTTGGTAAGATCCCCATACTGGTTCGGAGCTTGGACCAGCTGAATGCTCGTTCAACACGATTTATCACGGTGATTTCTCAGTGTTTCTTCTCACAGTTATCTTCGCTCCTTGACCTTTGATGAAGGAGACACGGAGTTTATGTGAGAAGTTCCCAAGTAAAATCTTTTGATGTGTTTCTCCCACCACACACTCTTTTATCGCCTTCCATCCTTAAATTCACAAGACCAAACGCATTCGAATGATCTAATCATTAAAATGATTGTCGTCGAACACGCTTCCTTGAAGCACTTATAACGTAAAAGGTTGCATCTAATGGTAACAACAACCTTCCTCCATTGAGGCATACCTATCATTCTGCTCAATTGCAGTAGCTTTCTTTCGGCGCTGGATAGCGATATGATGTAGTCACGAAGAGCTCTCTACATTCTCATCATAAAAGCAAGCGTTTGCGAAGCCCAGCGAGAACATAAAGGTTCTGGTCATGGCAGTATTTTTTGGGCATCAATTAGGCATTTTTTAAGAATCTGGAGTCCAAGTGGATGTGCAATTAAAAGTGGAATCTGTCTTGGTTCACGAGCAGCATCATATCTAATCCTCTGCACAATTGCCTATCTTTAGTTTCCAGGGGGCACAGTGTGTACCTAGTGCAGAAACTCCTTCCTCAGATATTTTTTCATTTTATGTCATATCTCGCTGGTCTACTGTGCGTGATATTTCGGCGGTAAGATCAATCAGCTTTTGATGTTGTGCCCATGCATATCTGGCCCACAGTCACTATTTTGCCACGAAGAGTATTTATATACACGTGCATACTATCGTGGCCGTGCAATGGAGCTGCCGAGATCTGCAGCAGAGGATTAAGCATAATCCTCTAGAGCATAGGAAGTGAATCAAAGTGAGGATAAGCCACGATTCCAAGTTAACAGCCAATCATTTCAATATCCTTGCCAAAACAGTGCGTGGTTATCTTTTACCGATTTCGTCTGGTGGATTAAGCATTCCACCTTTGACTATCTCCATCCTTCACGTAAAACCGTATCAATGGATAATAGCCAGCAATTCTCTCCACTGTATTGGAAGTTTCGGGCACGAACGGGACACCTTCTCATCAATCAGGGTACCATAAACCAATTGACCCTACATGCAAAGCCCGTTAGTTGGTGATAATTGTAATTACTCACCACGGCCTCAACCTTTTCGGGTGATTATGTGACGAGTAGGATTATCCAAGCCTCTTAGATCACGTGTATATATGTAAATCCATATTGTTTTCGGGTCTGTTTATGTCAAACTTAGTTTATAGGTTGCTTTTGTTGCATGTCGGATTTTTATGTCAACCACGTCCTGGTCCAAAAGTGGCTTTTGATGGGAAGTTATTGGAGATGTGCACATTTGGTGGGCTGGGAATAGGGAAAGTTCTTTTATGAATATTTGCGGTACCTTTTCAATGTCTAGTTGGGATAAAGTGAGACCTGAGAGATAATGCCTCAGATCAGTTTGCATTTGCTAGAACATGAAGGAGTACTAAACGTTTTTTTGTCAGAAGCGACGAGCCCAAAGATGGACGACATTGACGAAGTGGAATACGTGATGTCATAGTATTGTGTGCAGCTAATTTTGGCCACAACCAGTCTTCATTTTCATCCCTTTCAGAGCACTTCCAACAATAGCGTTCTTGATATATACCTCTATATTCTACAGGGCTCGCAGTTGTTAGTCCGCTCAACCTTTTGCTATTGCATTTTCAATACTTCATGGATATCAGCTGCGTGTCTCAAATCCAAGTGCGCAGTCCACCCGATACGTTAGGATTGTCCCATGTTACAGCTTCTTCTCTTACTTTCTAGGAGAAGTCCAATCATACAAAAGGCTTACATAGCGTCTTTATTGGAAATCATTTGGTTGTTATCACACTATCTCTTTTCGCTCTATTCCCACTCCCTTCCCTCTCTTACCCTCCTAATAAAAATAAAATTTGAGAGTTATAGGACATCTACTCTCTCTCTTCCCACTTCTCTCCCACTATATATACCGTTAAGACAAAATAAGATTCGTAAATAACATCACCCATCCATCAAAACCCTATCTATAACCTTACATCTAAGAAAAAGTATTAGAATACTCGCTTACTCATCCACTCACAACTCCCGCAACTCATAATTCCCAATATGACACTAAAACGGTTTCTCAAGACGGATACAATAATCTATACAGCAAAGAAGAGATCGAAGCACGAAGCTCGAAGCTCAAAGCATACTTCGCTATCTAAGGAATTTAAGATCTTATCTTAAAATTGAAACCGAAAGAGAAATTGAAGTCGCATATCGTTCTTTCTCTGTTGGAAGATAGTGCATTAGATACCTATACCTTCCTTAAGTGAAAAGAACTGATAGCTAAGAAAAATATCATCTCAACACCTGTCTTTCTATCGCCTCCCAGCTTTGTGGATATATATTTATTTGACCAGTTCTTATTCATTAGTACAATATTATATTCATAGACCTATCATTAGCTTATTTAACCACTCCACAAGTTAATTCTTCTCAGTCTTCATCTTCAAACAATGGATAGGCCATCATCAGAAAAAGAAGAGCCACCTACTGCGTCTCAATCAGATGAACCCCAGACTCATGAGGTAGAAGTCAAAAGTTCCAATGGAGACAATAAAGATCATGAGCGTTCCGAAGGATTAATATCGAGATACCACAAACAAATTCTCAAGGGGCAAATTCCAACGGAAACACGAAGAGATTTAGAAAAACTTCCTGATGTGAAGGGAGAAAGTTCAGCTGATGGGATGGAAGGATATGGATCAGCAGAAAATCAAAAAACCCCCAATCGAGCGAATATAAACCACCGACAAACTCATTCGGATCTAGAATCGATGACAGCACGGGTAGCTCGAGCACGTCGCAATGCAATTTTAGAGGGATCAGTATCCGAACCAGAATCTCATGAAGCCACGCAGAAACATCAGTCATGGTCAGAAGAGGTGGATGGTTCAAAGACTGTAAGAGTGACCACGGAATTAAGTGAACATGGATTAGTTTCGACCGATTCACGAAAATCGCTTGAACCATTATCTTCTTCAGCATCCTCGCCGATCCCAATACCGCCATCTGGAGTCTTACCACCACATCATGTTGGATCCGAGGGAGTATATCGTAATGTGGCGGGGCTACCTTCGGAAATGTTGACTCCTGAAGAAAGCGAATCCCGCACTACCGCTGCTGAAAGTCCAGAGTATAAACTACAGGTGGATGCTTCGTCGTTTGGTCATACCGTGGAGAAGAGGCGTACCCCAAGGAGTATGTCTGATGGATTTGGAGCGACAGTGGCGATGTACAATAAGCTGAAAGATTTGTCTGTAAAACTGGAACAGAATAAGAGTGAGGAGCTAGTTGATAGGATGAAGAAAAAGACAAAGAACGCGGGGATGAAGGATGATGCGGAGAAGAATTGATAGAAGTAGGCGAGGTTACTTTAGGAGTATGAGCAAGCATTGCCAATAAATCTTCTGATTCAGTTCTTGCCAGCGAAGCATCCATAGACTTTCAATTCTATAGCACGTAATTACTCCTAGCGGAATTGAATATAGAATTCTTACAATATCCTGATAGTCGCATGGCGTAAGTCAAATACCCCACTTTCGAACCATTCTCCTCTTGAATGGTGATATTTTCTTACTAATGAGTTCACTTGTAAGAGGGTAAACCTATAGGATTACTCTGGCATCGATACTGGATCTGAATCTGAAGTAGAATGAGAATCAGAAGTAGAATGAGAATCAAAATGGCACCGGACGGGAACGATGCTTGCGGTCTTTGTCCTCCGCAGATGAATCTTTGGAGTGTTTGGAGGTCCTGGAATCCTTGGATTGCTCCCATTTCCTAGTCTCGAGTCGAAGTTTCTTTCCGAATTCTACTACTTCTGCGCCATGTGAACAATCTCCTGTATAATGGTCCTGATCTCCACAGCAGTAACACTGGGCACAGGGCTATCGCTATCAGAGCCAGAACGTGTGCGATTTCGTTGAGAACTACCATATCCTCGGTCACGATGGCGTCTCGTGCTGCAAGAGCATGTCCTTTGATTTCGTAATCGGTTCCCTATAGCACCTTCAGGACCCTCGCCTGAACAGGAATTTCTCATTGTGCCCGCAAATTGATTTGTAACCGTACACTCCGCAGGGAGCGAATTGACAAGAACTTGACACGAGGCAGAATCATCCTAAGACAACTTCATATTCGGGCAGCAATTACGAGCTTGCGATGACAACCCTTGAGCTTATCCCAAGTATTTTTTATCCCATTTTCATCGGTGTATTGAAACTCGTGATTTGGCCTACTAAAGGTACCTAACGATCTTTAGAATTCTTTATACGGTAACCACCTGAATAGCATCTCGTGGTACCACTTTTGGCGTCAGTTCCTATGTTGTGAATTCAGACCCAGTCTGATTTGAGTTCTTGGATGAATCAGACGCCAAATTTGGATTTTGATATTCATCGTACTTTTGAGGTTCTAGCCTAATAATACACACAAGTAAGCCTTTTCAAAAAAGGTTCGACAAATGGGTTAGGGTTGGAGATGCTCAAATTCCGATGCTTTTTCAATCTCATGTCGGAATATATGAAAATCCGACCTCAGTTGACCTATGAAATCTCCGTTGTTGTGGGTAAAACTCGCGTTCTCGTGATTATGTAAACAAGCTGTGAGTTTAAAACAACTACACACAAAGGTCTGTGTGATGAGCTCTGCAAAATTATCTTTGAGGGAGTAGTAGAAATTCCATCATCGTTGGCCCCTCCCCTGGTTGGCCGAATCATAATGTAAAGTTTGATACATCTTGATTCTCAGAAGGTTCGATAGGAGGGATGCGTGCTGTAGCTCGAATTGTGCTGAACGTTTTTTAGTGATGATGTATATTGTTGCTAAACGTCAAGGTGACGAATTCGAAGGATACTAGTTGTCTCCGTATCTTCGAGATATGCTTTGTCTTCGAGTACAGCATCAAATAGATCGATATGGCCTGATAATTTCACTGTATAGCACAGAACCAATATCAGCTAAGCATATATCCATTAGACCCAGCATGTATTATATGATTAGTTTGGAGACATGCAGGTCAAAGTGCAACTGTATGATTGAAGCATCCTTTTTAATCTTTCTCTTTTCAATAATTATACTTCAGTTCTTTTGCAGCTAATGCCCGCTCTTTCCTCTGCATCCAAAATATCACAGTACAATCATAATTTCCCCATCGCTATTGATAGTAACAATAGGTATATACTTCGGGGCATAAAATAATAATATATTTGTACATATCGAGCTGAACCACACCATCCCATCCCCACCCACCCACCTTCTCCTCCCTTTCCCCTCTCTTTCAAAGCTTGGAAATCTCTATTGTTTTCACTATTTTTCCTCCTGATCTATATTCAAGGGAATGTTTTGGAATAAAGATTTTTATGTATTTGAAATTATTTTTTCCTTTTATCTTCTGATAATAAAGATAAGTTCGAGGAGTATTAACTATAAAAATTCTTACTGATTAATCTTTTGTGAAAAAGAAATATTAAGGTAAGTAAGTGTCTTCAAAGTAGAGTGATTTGATGTAGAAGTGAATATTGTAGTTTTGTATAATTTATTCAGCTTTAGGGTTTGATAATTATCTCTTGTGTGGCTGTTTCCGATAATTGATTTTTTTATATATTAAGAATAAATACTTTCTTGATACTTGTAATATCAACTTTTGAATCTTATTACTTGATCAAAAAACCAAAATCAAATCGTATCTTTCTATCAACAAAAATAAAATTCAATTAATCAAACTCAATAAATAATTCACTATAATAATAAATAATCGAGTAGTACAAAGAATAGATTTATTTATAATTATCTTGAATAGTTTTAAAAAGTAATAAAAGTCTTAATTTTTTAATTCTTTTGATTTATTATATAATTTTTTTTAAAAAAATATAGAGATTATAATTTTGAAATTTAATTGATAAATTTTTGTATATTATAATTTAAAATAAATAATTCTTTTATTGTTTAATTTTTATTATTATTATTATTGTGATATATAAAAGTCTTATAAGAGTTAAATAAACAAGATCAATTATATTCTTTAGAATTTACAATTGAAGAATTATAGTTTATAAAAAGCATTTATATATATATTATAAAAGTGATAGGTCGAGATATATACATCCCGATAGTATATTATGAGGAGGGAATTGAAAAAGAAAGCTGAATTAGATTATATTGTAATATATCACTTATAAAGAAAACAAGATTTATAATAATTTTAAAGTTGATATTATATAGATTTAAAATATATATATATAGAAAATTGATTATTCTCAAAAGAAGAAACAAAAGCTCTTCTTTTATATTTAATTATAAGAGGTTATATAATTGATTAGTTAAAAACCTTTATATATTTGATCTATAATTTCAACTTTCTTATAATATACAAAATATCTATATAGTAATTATATAGTTATATATTTTCTTCTTTAAAATGATTATAATGTTATATTAAAAAGAATAAATTTGAAAAGATATATATATATTATTAACTCATCGATAAGAATTATCGATCAATTGAAATTATATATTTGTTCTTTATATAAGGTTTGTAATATTATTCTTTTTTTCAAAAAAGCTTACCTTTGAGCTTTTTTATTCTTTTATTTTATCGATTATTATTAGAAACTAGAGTTCAATAGATTATAAGTTTTAGATTGATTTGATCAATCAGATCAATCAAATCAATTAAATTGACTTTTTTCAACTTTTTCAATTTATTAAAAGGAGAGTTTAAAAGGTTTATTAGCTTTAGATCGATTGAATTAATTGATTTTGAATGATTTGGTTGATTATATTAGCAAATGATTAAATTAACCAAATTGATTAAAGAATTGATCAAATTGATTTTTAAAGACCTTTTAGGAGGAGAGAGTTTCAATAATAGAAAAGTAAAGTTAAGTCTTTTCTTTTATATTAATTTGAAATGATAATATATATGATTTTTTGAATATACTATTTTAATTATTATATAGATGTAATTTATTTATTTTTAGAATTCAGATCTTTATATATATATGATCAAATTTTTGTAAATTTATATAGGTTTTAGATATTTTTGTGATTGTATATATATATATATCTTTATAAATTATAATGATTAATTTGTTGAGTTGAAAAATAACTTTTTCTTTTTTGATTTTATATCAAAATTGTTATTTATACAATTATAATTATTCTTTCTGCTTTTGTAAAGTTTTATTCAGTCGAATAATTGATTAAGGAGATCAGATTGTATTGAATTGATTAGATAGAAATCATATAATAAATATAATGACATTTTAAGATCGGAGATAGAATATCAAATAAAATCGATATTATTATTAAATCATGAAACCTTATATAATAAAATATTTTATAATTTTATTATTATTAAAATCTTTTTTATTTTTTATTTTGAATCATCAGTGATATTAATAAATGATGATGATTTAAGTATTTGATTAAGAAGAGAGTTGTTGTATACTTTGTGTAATCGATTTGAAAGAAAAACAAGATAGATTTTTATTATAATTAAAAGTTCGAGTTTGAAAAAGTTATTAATATAATCAATAATCTTGAATCTTTTTTGAATAAAGAAACCCAATTTCTTAAATAACTTTTGAGTAGAATAATTCTTTATATTGAATTATATATTATCTTTAATATCAAAATCAACTTTTTATTGATAAATATTTATAGATTTCGATATCTTATTTTGAGTATAAAATATATTTTCTTTTGTTTAAATAAAAATAAATTTGTTGTATTTTATATATATATAGATATTATAAATATTTATATTGTTAATTGATTTATTAATATAATTTTTTCATTCTTATATATATTGTAATATATATCTATATAAGGTTTTTTAAAATATAAACTCTTCTACGAAATTATATAAAAGAATAAGTTATATATAATTTATTATAAATAGAAATTCTGATTAATTATCTTAATAATAATTAATAAATAGTTTCAAATATTATTAAAAATATTGATTATATATTTCAATTTGATCATTTATTTAAGGATAATAAGCAATTGAATATATAAGGTTAATTTCTAATATTTGATAAAATTCTTTCCAAAATTGAAATATAAATTGGGATCTATAATCAAATATTATAGTTTTAGAAAGGTTATAATATCTATATATATAATAAAAATAAAGTTTAGTTTAGTTTTAGATATCAATTGATTTGTAATAAAGAATAAAGATTACTTATTTAATTAATCGATTGATAATGATTAGAATATTATTGTATTTATATTTATTCTTATTAAGATTATAATAATTTATAATAATATATTGTTATATTTGATTAGAAATCGGAAATAAATATAATAAATTAGAGATATAATTATATAAAACGATATTGTATTTATAGAGATAGTAATTGTATATATATTTAATTATAATATTATATATTATAAGAAAGTTGGAATTATAGATCAAATATATAAAGGTTTTAACTAGTCAATCATATAACCTTTTATAGTTAGATATAAAAGAAGAGCCTTTTGTCTTTTCTTTTCATAATAATCAATCTTCTATATATATATATTTGAACTTATATAACATCAACCCCAAAACCATTGTGAACCTTGTTTTATTTATAAGTGATGTATTACAATATAATCTAATTCAGTTTTCTCTTCCAATTCCCTCCTCACAGTGTGTTATCGGGATGTATGTATCTCGACCTATCACTTTTACAATATTTTAAATTAATAATATTATTAAGATAATAAAAGATAGATTTTGTTTATATTAAAATGAATAATGAAGATAGAATTATAGATTTTATAAATTAAATGTTATAAAAGATACGATTTAGATTATATAAAAATAATCTGAATCCTCGAATAATTTATAACTAGATGTCAAATAGAAGTTTTAAAATAATATCAATAATTGCAATTTGTAATTAATAATAGAATATATTAAATGATTAATTTTGAATATCAAGTTTTTATATAAAAAACCCCTTTGGTTTATATAGATCTTTATATTTTGTAGATTTATATAGATTTATGATTTGTATAGATCTATGATTTATATAAATCTACAATTTGTATAGATTTATAATTTGTATGGATTTACAATTTGTATCCTTGTATATATAGGGTTTATTATATGATATCTAGGATTAGATTATATATTCGAGTTTGTTGAGGGTAGGGAGATTATATAAGGCAATTATTATATAAATTTATATACAAATTGTTTTGTTTTTCGATAGGGTTTAAGTTTATATAGATAAATTGATTGTTATTTTGTAATATTATTCTTTTTTTAGTTTAGTATTTATTTCAAATTTTTATAATTATTTTTCTTATTGTATTATAAGTTTTTTGTAGAATAAATCTTTTCTTTTTTTATTATATTATTTATAAAATTAAGAAAATATAAGGAATAAATTGAATTTGTTTTAATAATCGAGTTTGAAAGATTTAAGATACTTTTGTATA